AACTCAGGAACGACTCAAGGGATTGAGCTAAAATTTGAGATTCTTTCATTTGGTCATTTTTAGAAATGTTTGGAAATTTTTTCAGCCAAATCTGAGATGGCTCATAGGGGAGATTCCACGAAAACGGCTGATTTCATACGGACTGACCCATGTGTGTATAAATAAATAAATATATATATAATATAATATAATATTATATTTATATTATATTATATTATAAATTATATTATGATATATTTGATTTTGTCCATAAGGGATTTCTGCTAAATAAATAACTAAATAAAACATTGGATAAAGTGGATAAAGTGATTTTCTTTTTGTTAAATTTCAAACTGACTCTAAAATCAAACTAGCTGTAACAGAGTGTGTGATGAGGAACAAGGATATCATTTTAATGAAAGGACAAACCTTCGAGAGAAAGATACTGATCAGATTTTTTAGGTGTGGTTGTTTTCAGTTTACCAAATATGTTGGCTGCATCTAAAACCGCTGTCCCAATCACCCCTCTCCAAGTGTCACTGTCATTTTTTTTTTTTTTTTGACCATTTGATCGTCTCAAGTGGAGGTACATGTTCAATACATTTAGAAATTTTAGGTTTGGTGAAACATTCCTCAAATGAATACAACTGTTATATTCAGATCCAACAGCTGCAATACAGATTAAGGATCTAATGTCAGATTGGACCTTAACCTAGATAAAAAAAGACGCGCGCGGTCCCCTCCCACGCGACCGCCGAGGGCTCGTGACCGCCCCGGCATGCCACTCCCTCTTCCGGACATCCGCCCAGGCCGACAGCTCATCCATTAGACACATTACATAATGCACCTTTAAATATTTTTAGGAGTCATTGCGCCCCTGCTGGCCAACAATGGAAAATGTACCATGTCCGTTATATATTTTTTTGCGCATAATCATGCATAGAACTTATTCCCTGAATTTGGTACAAATCCAATAATGTTGACGTTTCATGTCTATGGTAGGGGGCGCTATAGTGTTCACTTTTCATATGTTTTATAGTGTATTATATTCAGGCCAAAATCTTGCATTAATGATTCAAATTTAAGCATGATCGAACCAAACATGTCCCTGTAATAATTTTTAAAATATTTTTTGGGGGATTCTTTGCGCCCCTACTGGCCAACCGTGAAAAATACATCATGTCCGTAATACACATTTTTGCTTGTAATCATGCATAGAATTTAATCCCCGAATTTGGTACAAATTCAATATTGTTTACTTTTCATGTCTATCCTAGGGGGCGCTATAGTGTTCACTTATTAGTGTATTATATTCAGGCTGAGATCATGCATTAGTGATTCAAATTTCAGCACAATCGCACTAAGTCTGTGTGTGTAATCTTTTTTTAACTATATTTTGGGGGAGTCTTTGCGCTCCTGCTGGCCAGTGGTGGAAAATGCACCATGTCCGTAATAGACTTTTTTACTTGTAATCATGCATAGAATTTAATCCCCAAATTTGGTACTAATCTGATAATGTTGACGTTTCATGTCTATGCTAGGGGGCGCTATAGAGTTCGCTTTTATTAGATTTCATATTTCATTACATTCAGGCCTGGATCACGCAATTGTGATTTGAATTTGAGCTCTTTAGGACAATGCCTGTGACCGTTACAGGTCACCAAAGAAACAGGAAATGAAGGCGTTTTTCGCCGGCGTGCTACGGGCAAACCGTAAGGAGTATCAAAAAACCTTCTGATGCATTTTGTGAGTTTATGTCTGTAGATGTGACATGTCAAATTTGTGAGTTTATGTCTGTAGATGTGACATGTCAAATTTGAGATCATTTGGACTAAACCCCGGGGACTTGAATCTTTTTGTAGACACCCAAGTCAAAACGGCGCCAAATTTTTGATCCAATATGGCCGACTTCCTGTTCGTCATAGGGGTGCACAATGATTGGCTTTTTTGCTTGTCTCCATGAGTTCTATCACTGTTCCGAATTTCATGACTGTATGCCAAAATTTGTGTCTGAGCCTCCAATTCATTTCAAAATTTTGAAATTTCAAGGGGGCGCTGTTGAGTGGGGGTGCTTTGGGCATTGTCATGATGCCCATTTTATCAAATTTTTTGCCGGACCGGTCGATCTGAACCCCGGTTTGAGGACTTTTCGTCGACGTTCAGGGGGTCAAAATCGCGATCGTTTGCAAAGAAAAATAATAATAGAGCAGAAGAAACTGAGGAAGAACAATAGCCCTCGCCAGTTACTTCGTTACTGGCTTGGGCCAATAATCAGATCAGATTTTGCAACTGTTTTGAGGTTTAAGCCATGTTATAATGTTATTTCATCAGAAACATGGAGTTGTGTTTTATTTTATTCACACATGTTTGAGTAATCCTTTATTATTAGGAATTTAAAAACACAGTGGAGTACATCACTACGCATCACTACATGACATCACAAGGTGAAGTGGAGTATTTTCCGTTTTAGAGAAGAACTCAGCCTAAATATGTAGGACTTTTGTGTTAAACGTGCGACTGAAGCAAAACACAAGTTTGATTTGGAAACAACAATGTAACATAGATGAGAAAATAGCATAATATGGGCCTTTTAAGTACAAGTAGCATTCTTTCCCATTAATGCAGGACATTGTATAAAATTTGTATTAAATTAATAGTCAGAAATTCTCCTCCACAGACTAAAACCAGTCAGGACTATAGTGGCACAACAAAATTTGATGGCCTTGCTCATTGTATTATCTTTTGTCTTTTATCTTTTGTCCTTAAATTCCTACTCCTAATATATTATAATATTCCATATTCGCTCCTATTACTGCTAGCCTCTTCATTTAACTGGAGCCAAATGCTATGGCTGACGTCACACGTCACATTCCCTTAGTCCACTTCTTTATACAGTAATTTTGATTAGATTGTGATATCCTGTGCAGTTCTAGCCACACTTTGAAACATGCTTCTTCTGACCCACTTGGCCCACCAGTTGACAGCCCAGGCCATCTACATTAGAGTAACTCCTCCATAAACCAGGTTATGTCATTACCATCTGCAAAGTCAAACCCCCTCAACACTCTCACTCTCTCTCTCTTCTTCTCGTTGATTAGCAGCACATTAATTTGGCTCGTAATGATTGGCTCAGGGACCGGCTCTACTGCGTCTCATTGGCCAGGGACCAGGAAGTTGATTTCCCCCGGCGCTGGTGCGAATAGTGGTCGGCCTCATTTACCATCTGCTGCGTGTGACTTCTTCATAAATGTTTCAGGAGCGAGTGGAAAGAGCTGACGACGCCTGGATTAGCCGTAATGAGTAACACAAGCAGAGTAAACAAGCCCCACTGTACAGCACTGCTTTATAATGACTGGGTACTGTACACATAGACCAGGCTTAATGGTATGTTTGGGAAGAAAACAACAAATCCAACTCTTTGGTTTCAAAGTTGAAACATTACTGAATACTTTATGAAGATGAGAGTCTGGTCACCGTTCAGATGGGAGTGGGAGTGATTGACAGGTGGATTAGGCAGTCAGGGACATGCATGGTTTGTCTGTAACAAAAGAAATATGACTGCTTATGAGGAAAAAATAAAGGAAAAAAATATCACATTGGACTCAAAAATCATAGCTGATTACTGTATTTTCCGGACTATTGAGCGCACCTGAATATAAGCTGCATCAGTTAAATTTTAACAAAAATTTTAAATTGTACATATACAGGCCGCACCTGAATATAAGCCGCAGGTGTTCATATCTTCAAAAACGTTTTCAAGTTCAGGTCATCTGCTTTTATCACCTCTGAAAGATTTTGTCGTCTTTTTGCATTGAGTCAGTTCGTCACGCTGCCGTTGCCAACATCTCACCATTGACTCAAAGACGTCGAGCTCACATGCAGCAGCTCTACTTTCTTCATCCACAGCCACATCAATCACCTTTAACTTAAAAGCTGTATCATCTGCAATTCTTTGTGTATTTTCCATGAAGAGTGTGTGTGTATGAAGCGTAAAATAACTGTTCAAAACACAATTAAACCAGCATCTTCCTCAGTGCATCACCCTGTCTCTCCCCACGCTCTACGGCGCATGTCTCCTGCAGAAATAGTCTCTGTCCTGTCTGTATCATGTCAGTGTCTTGGAGGATTTCAACAGATTTAAGACTCTCTTGGGGCCGGGGCTAGTTCTATCAATCAGGTATGTGTGGATGTCCGGCTACTGAAGTTTCTTCTCATCATTTTACCATCACTAATGTTAATTTAGCATCTTAAATTATTTTATCACACAGTAATAAACTATTTGAGTGCGCTGACAATATTGCTAGTTAGTGTAGCAACTTCATGTGAACCCTAGATCCATGTGTAACCGCACAGACAGCGGTGCAATTTCTGCACTCAGACTGTGCTGTATCTGCTGTGTTGCCAAACCATAGTGTATATATGAATGGACAATGTGCCAAACAGAGAATCCGTCCATATATTAACCGCATCATTTTATTAGCTGCAGGATTCAAAGTGTGAGAAAAAAGTAGCAGCTTGTAGTTCGGAATTTACAGTACTGCAAAAATCTGTGAGCGAGGCACTAAACAACTCTGTTAATTTGAGGTAAGCAAAATTATATTTTACTGAAACTAATGGGTGACCAGTGAGCTCCTACATCACTGAAATAAACAAATCTGATTGGGCGATCATGTTTGGTTCTGTTGGGAGGGTGTGGACCTCAGACTAAAAAAAATACTTAAGAGATCATTATGGATTTACAGAACAAGGTGCATGGTATAAACTTATGCAGAAAATCATAGTCTGTTCTGTATCTGAGTGATACAGAACAGACTATGAAACACAAAAACTAAGTGTTGAACCTGCTACAATGTTCGAGTGAAGCTGCAAAAACTGTTAATCAGAGGTGAGAGCAGTTATTCACCCTGAAAAGCCCCACAACTGTTATTTCTTCTGCATTTGAATGACACAGACAATGAGTCATGGTTTTGCTCATATGATCACTGACTGACCCTTTGTCTCTGTGTGCTGTTTGTGTCCAGGTAAGATCAAGTACTCGGAGCAGGTGTACGACTCGTGTATGGAGGCGTTTGACTGCCTGCCCCTCGCCGCGCTCATGAACCAACAGTTCCTGTGTGTTCATGGAGGACTGTCCCCAGAAATACACACACTTGATGACATCAAGAAGGTAAATCTACAGACCAAGTACACATAAACAGTGAATGACATGACTAGTGATACTTGCAGGTTATCTTATCAACATACTCGGTGGTGTGAAGCTGGACGGCACAGTGGCAAAGCAATTAGCGCTCTCGCTTCACAGCAAGAAGGCCCTGGGTTCAATTCTGGGGCAGGGCCTTTCTGTGTGGAGTTTGCATGGTCTCCATATGCCTGTCTAGGTTTGCTCTGGGTGCTCTAGTTTCCCCTACCACTAAAAGTATGTACAATAGGGGCCAGGACTCCCTTGAAAAAGATATTTTATCCTTATTAAATAAAGGTCAATAAACAATAAAAATAAGATAACTAAAGCATCACTGTCTGAAGCTCTGTTACACAAGTTAGACTTTAATCTGAGATTATATCTGAGAATTTAAAACAATGTGACCAGAAAGAGTTGACTTGGTTGGAGGTGAGATGGTTTGTGCTCTTAAAAAGTCTCTTTCAAATAAAATTACAATCATAAACTAGCTAGTATTAGCCAACTTTTTTTTTTTTTTTTGTTAGTCTCTCTAGGCTTTTTGTTCAAAAAGTCTTTAAACAATTTTTCTCTGTGTTTGCCAGTGTGTGGCTTCTGTCACCATGGTAACTGATGAACATTCCACCAATAAAAATACATGTAGAACACCCCCAGCCTGATGTCACTGCAAAGTATCAATAATATAGAGAATCAAGCAGGAAAGCAGATCAAGATTTTTGTCTTGGTGTTGTAGTAGCCATAGTTCTAGTAGCAGTAGTAGTAGTAGTAGTAGTAGTAGTAGTAGTAGCACTGGTAATAATAGATATAGCAGTAAAATCACTCCAAAATCCACGCTCCACGTCTCTGAGCCCCACCACTACCGGTAGTAGTAGTAATGGTAGTAGTAATGATAGTAATGGTAGTAGCCATAGGCCTAGTGGTAGTAACACTAGTAGTAGCAGTTGTAGTAATAGTATTAGTATTAATATTAGTAGTTACTACTACTACTAGTAGTATTAGTAGTAGTAGCAGTAGCAGTTGTAGTAATAGTAGTAGCAGCAGCAGTAGTAGCAGCAGGAGTTGTAGCTGCAGTAGTAGTAGTAGTAGTTCTAGTAGTAGTAGTAATAGTATTGTTAAAAACAAAGATAGAAGTAATAATCACTCTACAAATCCAAGCTGTCTCTGTGCCTTGCTGCGGTTCACACTCGGACTGAGCTGTGATGGAGGCGGTGACAGTCACTTCCTGGTCCGAGGCAGCGTTTCCAGGGCGACGGTGGTCACATGACAGCCGACTCTGTTGCCGTGGAGACGCTCTGCTCGGCTGACAGCTCTGTTTGTGTTTGTCTCTGCTGTTCGTTTGTACTCTACTCTTCAAGAGAGGGAGAGCAGTTGGTACATTTTTATATCTCCAACAGTTTTAATGTGACAAATGAGACTGGACTGGGATTTTAACACATTTACATTGCGAGTAGACATCTGATTGATAGATGGATGGATAAGTAAATAGATCAATAGAGAGCCAGAGAAAAAGAGAGAGAAATTGCTTGGATTTACACATATTAATCTACTACGCTCTTAATTCACACGTGACACACGCTACCGAGATCTTTTTAAAAACACCTGCATTTGTAAATAACCCGTTTAGACAATACTATGTCTTATAACATGGTTAGTGGTAAAAAGAAGACAGGAGAGATGGTTTTTATCAGAGGGAGGAGAGGGGCTGCTGCTGGGAACAAGGTAGAAATGTGCAGCTACACAGACATGAGAGGAATTTCCGGTACTGCAAAAAAAAGGAGCAGATACTTATCCAAAGAAATTGTCAAAATAAATAAATGCAGAAAATTTAAAGATTTAATGGTGACGTTAATGTCTAATAGACTTTAAGTAGCAGATCATAAACCACATGCTCCTTAGACACAGTATTTTTTTAATGATGGTAGCCTAAATATGTATTCATAGTGGTCAACTGCTATGGGTCTGTTTTAGTTCAGAACTGGTGGCCTATTTTTTATTTAATATCGAAAGTTTATTTATTTTTATTTTTATACAGTAGGAACACTAAATGTTATGATTTATTATAACAGTGACTGTATTTTTCTATTTAATGCTGATATTAGTATAGTAATAGATAGTGTTAATGTTTTAAAATAGGAAATAATGTTATAATGTTAATATATCATTGAACTGCCACCTTAACGTGGGGGAGCAGTTTGACTGTCCGAATGATTCCAGGAGCTATGTTGCGAGGGGCTTATGCCCCTGGTAGGGTCACCTAAGGCAAACGGGTCCTGGGTAATGTTTCAGACTGTGTCAGCCGGTGCAAAGAGATCTGGGCTTCAGTCAGAGGCAGGGGCCTCGACGACAGGATCGCTGGACGTGGAAACTGGCTCTGGGGACATGGAATGTCACCTCGCTGTGGGGGAAGGAGCCTGAGCTTGTACTTGAAGTTGAGGGTTACCGAACAGATATAGTCTTCCTCACCTCCATACACAGCTTCGGCTCTGGAACCCATCTCCTTGAGACGGGCTGGACTCTCCATTTCTCTGGCATTGCCTGCGCGGAGCAGCAGTAGGCTAGGGAAGAACAGCCTCCTTGATGTGAACCCGAGCAGTGTTCTGTTATTGCATTTCTGTGCTAGCCACATTTTGTCCATAACAAACACCATGTTCAAGCACAACGGTGTCCATCAGTGTACGTGGCACCAGGACACTGTCGGTGGGGGGTCGATGAACTACTTTGTTGCATGTCTTGGACACTTGGATGAAGAGAGGGGCAGAACTGTCACTACCTGGTGGTGAGTTGGGTCTGCTTGCGGAGGAGGAAGCCAAAAATGTCTGGCAGACCCAAGCGTATCGTGAGGGTCTGTTGGTAACATCTGGCAGAGCCCTCTGTCTAGGGGACCTTCAACTCACACGTCCGGGAGAGCTTCTCCCAGATTCCGGGGGAGGCTGGGGACATGCAGTCCGAGTGGGCTATGTTCTCGGCCTCTATTGTTGATGTGGCTACTCATAGCTGTGGTCGTAAGGCCTGTGGTGCCTGTCGCAGACGCGATTCCCGAATCTGGTGGTGTACACCAGAAGTAAAGTAAAGGAGCCTTGCTGACATATGGGACTCCTGAGGCAGATGACAGGTGCTGATAGGCCAAGAGTGCTGCAGCCCATGTAGTCGCAGAGGTAAAAAATTTGGGACTGGGAGGAGTTCAGGGAGGCTATGGACGAGGTCTGTCAGTCAACCTTCAAAAAATTCTGGCAAACTGTTTGACACCGCAGGAGGGGGAAGAAATGCTTCACCAGCAGTGTTTACAGTGCGGGGGGAGAGCTGTTGACCTCGACTGGGGATGTTGTCGGACGGAGGAAGGAATACTTTAAGGATCTCCTCAATCCCACCATCATGTCTTCCAAGGAGGCAGCAGAGGCTGGGGACTTGGAGGCAGACTCATCCATCATTCTGGTTGACATGACTGAGGTGGTTGGCAAAGCTCCTAAATCTCTGGATGTTGTGGGGCTGTCTTGGCTGACACGTCTCTGCAACATCGTGTGGTGGTCAGGGACAGTGCCTCTGGACTCGCAGACTGGGGTGGTGGTCCCTGTGTTTAAGAAGGGGAATCGGAGGGTGTGTTCCAGGTACACGGGAATCACACTCCTCAGCCTCCCTGGTAAGGTCTATTCCAGGGTACTGGAGAGGAGGATCCAGCCGATAGCAGAACCTCGAATCCAAGAGGAGAAGTGTGGTTTTCATCCTGGCTGTGGAACACTGGACGAGCTCTATATTCTCCATGGGGTGCTTGAGGGTTCATGAGCATTTGCCCAGCCAGTTCACACGTACTTTGTGGATATGGGGAAGGCATTCGACCATGTCTCTCGTGGTGTCCTGTGGGGGGTGCTCCGGGAGTATGGGGTCCAGAACCCTTTGCTAAGGGCTGTCTGATCCCAGACAGACCTGGCAAACCAGGCAGACCTGTGCCCGGTGCATGTTGGACTCCGCTAGGGCTGCCAATTGTCACCGGTTCTGTTCATTGTATTTATGGACAGAATGTCTAGACGCAGTCAGGGGCCAGAGGGAGTCGAGTCTGGGGACCACAGGATCTCATCTCTGCTGTTTGCAGATGATGTTTTCTTAAGGCTCCATTGAACCAGGACCTGCAGCATGCACTGGGGCGGTTTGCAGCCGAGAGTGAAGCAGCTGGGATGAAGATAAGCTCCTCCAAATCCGAGGCCACGGTTCTCGACCGGATAAGGAGGCTTGCGCTCTCCAGGTGTGTGAGGGAAGTCTGGGAGTCCCTGCTTAAACTGCTGCTCCTGTGTTCCAGCCCCGGATAAGCAGAAGAAAATGAATGGAAAATCTGGAGTCCAAAATCTAAAGTTGATTTGAATCGTGACTTAAGTGAATCAAAAGTGAAGCAAAAGAAATTGATTCAGTAAAAACAATTGGTAAAATGTAGGCCTGTCATGATAAATACTATATAGACTTACAATTCAGTATTTTATAAATGAAACTATATTTTTGGGGGGTCAGTATTTATCATTTTTATTTGTAATTGTGGGAAATAATTTATTATTTAGTTATTTTTAACTGCAGTATGTTAAGATTGAATTATGAACTAAAATTACACAAAGGTGTTGCATTCTGCTGTTTATTTATACAGCTCAGCAATATTTAACAATATTGTACATTTAGCATATTTTTGTGGATAATTTTGCTTTGGGATTGGTTTCAATGTTTTTGTTTATTGTCTCTATGCATGTCTATGTATTGCATTTCAAAACTTGTTGTGACAGACCTAGTGTCATCTCTTTTAACCAATGGATTTTTTGAGTAATTGTTTTATTTGAAAGACAAAGTACAATACAATGAATTTTAAATAACTCTTTCAATTTTTATAATTTTCTCTTTCATTTTTGTCTTTTGTTGTCACCTTAGTCACAACAGTTTGCCTATGTTTTGCATAATTTTCCTTGTCAAAACCTGCACAGGAGTCAGCAATCATAAATTTATCTTATCTATATTAGACTAATGCATTGTTCTTGTGTTGTTTCAGCTGGACAGGTTTAAAGAGCCCCCAGCCTTTGGGCCCATGTGTGACCTGCTGTGGGCCGATCCTCTGGAGGACTTTGGCAACGAGAAAACTCAGGAGTATTTTGGACACAACACGGTCAGAGGCTGCTCATACTTCTACAGGTACAACACATACTGTACTATACTATAATATACTATAGATTCTTTAAAGATGGGCATGGACTCACAAGCATCACACTCAATGACAGAGTTTTCTGTACTCTGAAACTCCATTCTCTTTTGAGCCTTTTGAGCCTGCTCTTTGAGATGACCATCATATTTTACAAAAGTAACCTAGCAAGGAGGCAGCAGCAGGAATCAAACACTATATAACTTATATTTACAATTAATTCATAAATTAAATAATTTGTGTTGCCTAACTAACGAACATGTTGTTTATCAGATTGGTTTAGTCAAAAGTCAGTTTAAACTGTCTGTAAAAATTGATTTAAAAGTATTTGATTCTTAGCATTTTTATTGAGTTAATTAATGAATGAAATAAATAAGTAATTGAATGAATTGAAATGAACTGAATTATTTAAATGAATTATGTATTTGTCTAACTGTCTGCCTTCATGTAGTCATCAATACTTAAATTTAAATTTAAATCTGTAGTTCAGACCTCTATAAACATGTTCTGACATGCGTCCAGTTCTTGTGTAAGTAAGGCAATTTATATTTCAGTTTTCTCTCAAATGAATACGGACCTGTTTAGATTGGAAATTGAGTTGTAGTGTGGAAAAGGTTTATACAGGTACAAGACCTTGGTTGTTAAAAAGAGAAATAAAGACGTTCACACCTAAATAAAGTGTATTTTCAGAGTACAGACCCATTTAACTGTCTTAGTGAAACTGAAAAACGAAACCACAAATACCTTGAATCTTCTCAAATCTGGGCCACTTTTGAGGCCAGTGTGAACCGAACTAAAAATAGAGCCACGTTTGAACAAAACTGCTTCAGCTTCAGCTCCAGCTCTGTGACAGGAGCAGATCACCAGAGCTTTCACTGTTTTAGTGTTTGGTTCATTTGAACATCGCTTTATGCACAGTAAAAACAGGAATAAACTGAACCATGTTTAAACTAGGCTGAACCAGGTCTAAACCAGATATGAACCAGGACTGAATCAGGACTGAACCAGGTCTGAACAAGGTCTAAACAAGGACTGAACCAGGACTGAACAAGGTCTAAACAAGGACTGAACCAGGTCTGAACAAAGTCTAAACAAGGACTGAACCAGGTCTGAACAAGGTCTAAACCTAGACTGAACCAGGTCTGAACAAGGTCTAAACAAGGACTGAACCAGGACTGAACAAGGCCTAAACCAGGACTGAACCAGGGCTGAACAAGGCCTAAACCAGGACTGAACCAGCACTGAACAAGGTCTAAACCAGGACTAAACCAGGTCTGAACCAGGTCTAAACCAGGACTTAACCAGGTTTTAACAAGGTCTAAACCATGACTAAATTAGCTCTGAACATGGTCTAAACCAGGACTGAACCAGGTCTGAACCAGGCCTGAACAAAGTCTAATCAGGACTAAACCAGCTCTGAACAAGATCTAAACCAGGACTTAATTAGATCTTAATAAGGTCTAAACCAGGACTAGACCTGGCCATAATGATGTCTAAATCAGGACTAAATCAGGTCTAGTTCAGGTCTGTTTTTTATTTGATTCATTCATTTTATGTAGCGTAAATTAAAAACAGGAAACCAGGTCAAAACAAGTCCTAAACTGGGCCTACATCAGGTCTGGTTGTGTGTGTGTGTGTGTGTGTGTGTGTGTGTCTGCATGCGTGCGTGTGTGCGGGTGTGGGTGTGTGTGTGTGAGGGGTATTGGTTCTTTATACTATAATTTTTTAAAAATCAGTAAGTGAACCTTAAAACATGCCGTCATTAAACCAGGAATTATTTACAATTACTTTGACACTTAATATTTATACATTTCTGAATTGTAAACAAAATAATAAAAAATTTGTGAGAAAAATTTTAATTGGTTCATAATGCAGCTCTGTACTTTCAAACGCCAAAGAGAATACTCATTTTTACAGCAAACATTTAGAAACTAATGTGATATTTTAAAAGAAAGTATTATTCAAGAAAAAAAAAAATGCAATTACCTGGTTTTAATGTAATCTACAAAGAACAAAATATGCAGTCTCTATGGGGTCTTTTTACATACATTTTTTATACACAAAAGCCTGAAAAATTGCAAATACAATTTTAATGGAGCGATTCTTTTTAAAGTAATTAGGCCAATAATATAAAAACAGCCTTTATTTCAGTATAACAATGAATAGGGGGCTGTAGTTTTCACACACTCACACACACCAGCACACACACAGCACAACACCACAGCGCACTTTGAGCATGAAACGATTTCCCACAATCCCCTGGGACTACCGGGCTGCTGTTGCCATGACGATCAGCGCCAGTGATATGAAGTGATTTGAAGATACAGTGAAAAGCCAAGAAGGAAAAATAAAATACAAGGCTATATTTATTGTTATTATGGTGGAAAGGGGGATTGTTAAAGTTAAAATGTGCAGGTAATTTTGAATTTGAGATATTTGTGGACTTTTCTGAGTCAAAATGAAAGAATCTATTGCCCAGCGTACACAGCCTGCTCTGCCCCCCCCACGTCTCTGCCTTCACACAAATGAGGTGTTTTTATACCACCTGCTGGACACTGTTGGTACTACTACTGTAATTAAAACTGAGAAACATTTAAAAAAAAGATCTAACGCTGCACAATATACCAAGAGTAGACATAAATACTTGTAATGTAAAAGTGTACTATGTAACATTTTTGGTCCACTATATAATTTTATATACCACTACATACTATACTACCATATAGATGTTATTGCTTTGCCTGGAATGTTCCACAGTACGGCATTCACATTTTTGAAAATAACCTCATCATTATATTCAGTGACTTGTGTTTCTATTGCTAAAAGATATAAAAGCACACAGTTTTTATTTGCTGTGTTGCATTATCAGTGTTGCATCTCTGCAGATCTGACTTGTACTTTGGCCTGGTGGCAATATGTTTAATGCAGTACTGTGAAACATTCTGGGTAAAGCAATAAAGTGTACCATCTACTAGATAAGTTGCATAGTACACCCTTAAAAAATATGCCATAGTCAGCCTTTTTTTTTTCCCCCCAATATTATCTTAGCAGTTAATGAGGTGGTTTCACATCTTTCTCTGCTTTGTTTCTTGTATTGTTTTAGCTAATACATAACTATGAACTTTTAAACTGCTTACAACAAACACGGGACACACACACACTCACACACTCTTAACTATACTGTGTGCAGTTACCCAGCCGTGTGTGAATTTCTTCAAACGAACAACCTCCTGTCCATCATCAGAGCACACGAGGCCCAAGATGCAGGGTAAAAACTCTTCTTTATAATAATTTAGAATAAAAGAAGATCTAAAAATATTATAAACTCTTTAGTGTATTTTTTTTTTTCATAACAGTACTTTATTTTAGTTATAATGTGTGTTCTGTCGCTCTCCTCAGATATCGGATGTACAGGAAGAGCCAGACCACGGGTTTTCCTTCTCTCATCACGATCTTCTCCGCTCCAAACTACCTAGACGTCTACAACAACAAAGGTGAAAATGCAAAAAATACAATAACTCTTCTGATATTAGTAGGAAGTAAGTAGGAAGTAGCAATTATAAAGTATCAAGGTGGCACAGTGGTTAGTACTTCATCCTCACAGCAAGCAGGTCCTGGATTAAGCTCCTGGACATGGTAGAGGCTTTTTTGTGGAGTGAGGATTCTCTTCAAAATAAGATCTTGGTTAAATAAATAATAAAAGTAATAGTTCTAATTGTGCAATTGTAGTAATAACAGAAGCTTACAAAAAAGTCAATTCAAGAGAAACATAATTGATTGGGAACTTTCAAATCCAAAACTTACGTACTGTCACCCAAATAATTATTCCATAAACACCGTCTTTCCAACCTCAGACTTTATTTAAAGCTGCACTAACTTTTCTGGTGGAGGTTCCCTCCCCAGCATCTCTCCATGGAGATGTTTGGAGATTACACTTGTTTATCTCTAGGAAGACAGCAGGTGACACCATAGGACCAAGTCACATGTGAGATCTGTGGAGAAGCGAGCCCATTCATTGTAAGAATGCAATAAAAACCCATGTTATTGTGTAAATGCAAGCTGGATATGTTTAATGCCATACCAGGACATTCCAGACAAAGCAACAACATCTCCATGGAGACAAACAGGTGATGAACCACTAGAATGTAGGGCAGTGCAAATTTAAAGACTTTTTAACTTAGTACGTATCAGTGCTTTAATATTTTCCTAAAAGCTTTTCTTCAGGGCTGAATCCAGTCTAATATAATCATATTTGTGTTTCTGTATTTTCTAATATGCATGGTGCTCTGTATAACTTTTCTGGTGAAGGGTCCGTCACCTGCTTGTTTATATGAAGATGTAATTTCTCTGCCTGTAATGTTCCATAGTATGACATTAAACATCTTTACCTTACGTTTATTTAATTACAGGTGGTTTTATTGCTCAAAAATACCTACAAAAACTGCATTCAGACTGTGAGCGGGGTCGTCTCTCCACAGATCTGACCTGTAACTTGGTCTCATTTGGTCTCCATGATGATAGAAAGGTTTAATATCATTCTGTGAAACATTCCAGACAAAGCAATAACATTTCCATGGAGACAAGCATTTGACAGACCCTCCACCAGAAAAATTACACAATGTACCTTTCAAATGCATGTTGTGTGTTTCAGTATTTTCCAATATAAAGTGCATGTTGTGTGTTTCAGCTGCTGTGTTGAAGTACGAGAACAATGTGATGAACATCCGTCAGTTTAACTGCTCTCCTCACCCATACTGGCTCCCCAACTTCATGGACGTCTTCACCTGGTCCCTGCCCTTCGTCGGAGAGAAGGGTGAGCCTCCAAAACAGTGGTAAACACAGACACATGTACAGTGGACCCCCAAAACAGCAGACACATGTACAGTAAACAGCAGACACATGTACAGTGGACCCTCAAAACAACAGACACATGTACAGTAAACAACAGACACATGTACAGTGGACCCCCAAAACAACAGACACATGTACAGTAAACAACAGACACATGTACAGTAAACAACAGACACATGTACAGTGGACCCCCAAAACAACAGACACATGTACAGTAAACAACAGACACATGTACAGTGGACCCTCAAAACAAACAGACACATGTACAGTAAACAAACAGCAGACACATGTACAGTGGACCCCCAAAACAACAGACACATGTACAGACAGACACATGTACAGTAAACAACAGACACATGTACAGTGGACCCTCAAAACAGCAACAGCTCTGGCTTTCAGCATTCAAATTAGATCTGCAGTTAATTATCAGTTTATGATCAATCAAGTATCAGTACTTGTGGAAATTTAGGCCTCTCGTCAATGGTAATTATAAATGGTCACATTTTTATTTAGAGCTTTTCCACCTTCAAGGCTCTCAAAGCTCTTTACATCAAGGAACCACTCACCCATTCACACACACATGTTCATACACCAGCCTGATTTTCTGCAAAAAAGGTGAGAGTGACTAAAAACTGTTGGCTTGGTGTGAGAGACTTGTGTAACACCACAAATCAGCTCACCTGTTGTAGTTTCAAATAAATCAGCTCTTTTTGCTCAGGTTCTGTTAAAATAAAGCACAGATTAAAGATTAACTTCAGCAACAGAGCTTCAGACAGAGCAGTGCTTCTAGTTAGCGTCACACCACCAAAGACTGTTGATGACATCAGCTGCAAAGTATCAGTACGTTTCTATGTCTGTTTGCAGTGACTGAGATGCTGGTGAACGTGCTCAGTATTTGTTCAGATGATGAGCTCATGAACGATGGGGACGAGATTTATGACGGTAAAAAAAACATAAAAAAATAAAAACATACATATTTTTAGGTTGTATTTTAAAATGTTGGGTTTTTTATGTTATATTTTACTCAGACAATAATCTTAAATTAATTACTAACAATTAATAAATTAATGAATGAAAGAGTGTTTTGGTGTGACTGACATGTGCTTCACTGTGTTATTTTCAGCGAGTGCAGCGGCCGCCAGGAAAGAGGTGATCAAAAACAAGATCAGAGCCATTGGGAAGATGGCCAAGATGTTCTCAGTCCTACGGCAAGTGTTAAGGCTCATTTTCAAGTGTTTTGGGGAATTGTTAGCATCTAGTAGCACGCAATTAAATCTGCAAATAAAATCCAAAAGGGAAGTGAAAGGACAGACTCAATAAAATCAAATGTCTGGGTGGTTGATTATTGACAAATCTTGGTATATATTACCATTTTATTTTCATTAGACTTATTTTTTCTGGTGGAGGATCTGTCCAATGAAATTAATACAAATTAGGGAAATTATTATAAATGACATTTTAGACTGTTAAGAATTTTAAGAAGAAGATTAAAAAAAGATACACAGCAGAAGAATGTGCTGTAGGCAATAAATGCTGACATGTTAGTTGCTTTAGAACTATTTTGTTATCTTGTTGTGTTTGCACTTGAAAACACTTCACTACATGAAAATTGTGACTAACTGGTTACTAAATCTACAACTAAACCTGGATCAGACCAGGACTAAACCAAGACTAGAACAGGACCAAACCAAGTCTACGTCAGGACTAAAGTGGACTCAAACCAGGAGAAGTGTGAACTCCCGCAGACATGTAAACCAGTGCATTTTCATTTTACTCAGACGATAATCTTATCTTAAATCTTAGCAATTATCTTTTGCACAGTATTTCTAACTGATATCTCTCCATGTTTCTTTTTTTAGGGAGGAGAGTGAGAACGTTCTGACCCTCAAAGGTCTGACCCCGACCGGGATGTTGCCCAGTGGAGTCCTGTCCGGAGGCAAACAGACCCTGCAGAGCGGTAAGTCCACAGTCCAAGTCCCGGTCCAAGTTCTGGTCCAAGTCTTGGCCCGAGAGCCCTGGTCCAAGTTCTGGTCCGAATGTTGTCCTAGTCCTTGTCAGAATCCGGGTCCAAGTCTTGGTCCAAGTCCTGGTCCATGTCTTGGTCCTGGTCCAAATCTGGAACCCTTTCGATATCTAACCCCACAAACTCACTCATGAGGTCTAAGCCGGGCCCATCCTGTTGGCTTCACCTCACCGCTGGAGAGACTAACCCAAACCGCTAACAAACAAACCTTGGATTTAGTCTGATCGTAAACTAACATTTGCTAATGCTAACTCCAGCTAACCCCTGCTAACTTTGGACATGACCTCATTTGAAAAAGCTGAAACATGCTTTTGAGGATGACCAAGAATAGCCTAAAATCTTAGCATATTTTTGACATAATTTTGTATTTCTAAAGATCTCCAAAATGCCATATAATCTTATAATATAGCAAGATCTAGAGGACTTTTCAGTATAGGTTTTACATTCCAATACTGAATTTCTTTTTAAGTCAGACGGAGAAGCAGCTCTACCCAAAGCTTTTTGTGATTAAACAGTGTTGGGAAAGTCACTTTTAAACTGTATTCCCCTACAGATTACAGATTACATACCCCAAAATGTAGTTTGTAACGGAATCCATTAAATTACTTAAAATGAGTAATGTAATCTGAATACTTTGGATTACTTGATATTGTCATGCTTTTTAAAACTACATGAATGTATCAACCACATCCTGAAAATTCTTGTTTGTTCTCTTCAAATTGGCTGAGCCCAAGTCTCCATGAACAGGCATTTGTTTGCAAAGACTAGAATCTTAACATAAGATGTTTTGTCTGCTAAAAGACAATAAAAAGCCCAGATTTCCTTAACCAAATTTTTAAAATTATTGATAGAGAAATGATTTTTATATGAGGTCACTGCTGCCTTAAAGTATGTCCACCCTACTGTTAGGTATCATATTGTTTAGATCTGGTTTAGTCCTGGTTTAGACCTGGTTTAGACCTGGTTTAATCCTGGTTTAGACCTGGTTTATACTTGGTTTAGTCCTGGTTTAGACCTGGTTTAGTCCTGGTTTAGTCCTGGTTAAGACCTGGTTTAGTCCTGGTTTAGTTCTAGTTTATTCCTGGTTTAGACCTGGTTTAGTCCCGATTTATTCCTAGTTTAGACCTGGTTTAATCCTGATTTATTCCTGGTTTAGACCTGGTTTAGTCCTGGTTTAGTCCTGATTTATTCCTGGTTTAGACCTGGTTTAGTCCTGGTTTAGTCCTGGTTTAGTCCTGGTTTAGACCTGGTTTAGTCCTGGTTTATTCCTGGTTTATTCCTGGTTTAGTCCTGGTTAGTCCTGGTTTAGTCCTGGTTTAGACCTGATTTAGTCCTGGTTTACTCCTGGTTTAGTTCTGGTTTAGGTTTTAGTCCTGGTTTAGCCCAAAATCTGAAAACAGGAAAATACCACCATGTAATCCATTTATTTCAACAAAGTAACTGTAATCCAATTACCACTCACTGAAACAGTAACTGTAACTGAATACAGTTACTCATAATTTGTACTCTAATTACGTAACGCCAGTACATGTAATCTGTTACTCCCCAACACTGTGATTAAATATTAAGTAAGCACAAAGCTACAGACAGACACTGTAGGCAGGTGAAGTTTTTTCAGCAAGGACACAATAGCAACAATTATTTCTTCTTTAGATTATTTTAAAGCGCCTGTATTCCACTATATTCTGATCTATGTTCTAATGTTATTTCCTCATCCCAAACAGACCTGGAGTTGTGTTTTGTTCATTCACACGTTTAACACACAAATCCTGCATATTGAGTTCTTCTCTGAACTAGAAAGCACTCAGGTCCACCTTGTGATGTCATGCGTTAATACAGGAAGTGCTCCATTGTGTTTTTAAAATCCATACACATTTCTTTGAATCATTTGGGCTGTTAATTTGGAAAACTACAACATCATGACATCACAAGGTGGAACAGAGTATTTTGAGCTCTGGAGATATATATATAGAAAAAAAAAATGCAGGGTTACTTAAATATGTGTGAAAGAAACAAAACACAACCTCCAGATATGTTTTGATGAAGTAACAACATTATAACGCTCACAAGAATCAAATTTGTGTATTATTGGACTTTTAAGCTGTACTGGTGCAATGAATCTACAATAATCCTTAATTGAAAACTGTCTTATATTTAATTTAAAAAGTGCTATTTCAGCTATATCACTTATACTGTGTCTGTATTCCTTCATTGTATTCAGTTCAAGTTAACAGTTGTTTTAACTAACAAAAAAAACAACCAGAGAAACTGTTGTAATCATATATAATCATATGGCAACTGATCTTTAATTAGTTCTTCTCGTTATAGTCGTCTTCTGTCCATATAAGATCCTGAATTTGACCTTATCCCTGTAGTCATGGTTACACTCCCCTATTTGTCTGATCCTAAAATGTGCTCAGTGTGAGGTTGTGTTGTGTTCAGTGCTCCACACCGCCCCCTGGTGTTGACCCCAGACTGTTACAGAAGCATGTTTCAGCTCCGCTCCTCTCTCTCGTCCCATCTCTCTCTCTCTCTCTCTCTCTCTCTTTTTCTCTCTCTATCCTTCTGTCTACTCTCCTTTTTCTTCTCTTCCCCTCTTTCTCTCTCTTGTTGTCCTTTTCTATTTTTCTTGTTCTCTCTCTCCCTCTTTCTCTCTACCAATCTCTCTTTCACGCCTTCCAACTCCTTATCTTCCTCCTATCGCTTTCCCTTGCCTCTCTTTTTCCCTCTCTCCCCTCCTCTCTTCTCTCTCTCTTTCATACCTCATTCTATTCTCTATCCCTCTTCTTTTTCCTCTCTCTTTCTCCTTGTCTCTATTTCTTCTCTCTCTCTCCTTTTCTCCCTTGACTCTTTCTCTCTCTCTCCTCTCTCTGTCCCTGTCTCCTCTCTCTCTGTCCCTCTCTCTTCTCTCTCTGTCCTTCTCTCTTCTCTCTCCTCTCCCTCTCTCTCTGTCCCTCTCTCTTCTCTCTCTGTCCTTCTCTCTTCTCTCTCCTCTCCCTCTCTCTCTGTCCCTCTTTCTTCTCTGTCCTCTCTCTCTCTGTCCCTCTCTCTTCTCTCTGTCCTTCTCTCCTCTCTCTCTGTCCCTCTCTCTTCTCTCTCTGTCCTTCTCCCTTCTCTCTCCTCTCCCTCTCTCTCTGTCCCTCTTTCTTCTCTGTCCTCTCTCTCTCTGTCCCTCTCTCTTCTCTCTGTCCTTCTCTCCTCTCTCTCTGCCCCTCTCTCTTCTCTCTCTCTCTCTCTCTCTGCCCCTCTCTTCTATCTCTCTCTCTCCTCTCCCTCTGTCCTTCTCTCCTCTCTCTCTGCCCCTCTCTTCTCTCTCTCTGTCCTCTCCCTCTGTCCTTCTCTCCTCTCTCTCTCTCCCTCTCTTCTCTCTCTCTCTCCTCTCCCTCTGTCCTTCTCTCATCTCTCTCTCTCTCTCTCTCTCTTTCTTTTCTGTCCTCTCTCTCTCTGTCCCTCTCTCTTCTCTCTGTCCTTCTCTCCTCTCTCTCTGCCCCTCTCTCTTCTCTCTCTGTCCCTCTCTCTTCTCTCTCCTCTCTCTCTCTTCCCCTCTCTTCTTTCTCTCTGCCCCTCTCTCTTCTCTCTCTCTTCCTCTCTCTCTGTCCCTCTCTCCTCTCTCTCTGTCCCTCTCTCTTCTCTCACCTCTCCCTCTCTCACCTCTCCCTCTCTCCCTCCCTCTCTCCTCTCTCTCTCCTCTCTCCTCTGTCCCTCTCTCTCTCTCTCTCTCTGTCCCTCTCTCTCTCTCACCTCTCCCCTCTCTCTGTCCCTCTTCTCTCTCTCTCCCTCTCTCTCTCTCTCTCTCTCTCTCTCCTCTCTCCCTCTCTCTCTCTCTCTGTCCCTCTCTCTTCTCTCTCTCCCTCTCTCTCTCTCCCTCTCTCCTCTCTCTCTACTATCTCTCTTCCCTCTCTCCTCTCTTTTCTCTCCCTCTCCTCTCTTTTCTCTGTCCTCTCTCTGCTCTGTCTGTCTCTTCTTTCTTTCTCTCTCCATCCCTCAGCCACCATTGAGGCCATAGAAGCCATCGAGACAGTGAAGGACGCTGAAGGTAACGTGTCGACCATGAGCCCATGAACTTTTACCCACAATCCACCACACGCTCACCACCGCTACAATGCTAACACGCTAACCACAGTCAAAATACTAACCACCGCTACAATGCTAACATGCTAAAAACAAATACAATGCTAACACGCTAACCATAGCTACATTGCTAACCACACAGACTAACACCATCACATCCAACATTACTCTTTCTCTCTACTCTTTTTCATTTTAGAAACAAATTAAAACCAAAGTCATAGAATTACTTTCACTCATTCATCACATGAACAGTTGAGTTCTAACAGAGAGGCCAACGTCCAATTTCATGGCATCTGAAAATCATTGAAAACCAACAATTTAGCAAATGAAGTGCTGAAAAACTAAAAAAAAATAAAAATAAAAATAAAAAAGCATTTTCAGGAATTCCTTAACTGGTTCTATTCCAAAAGAGGCCAAAGTGCTGTTCTGCTTTCACTTTTACTTTGATGCATTTTTTTTCTTTTTTTTTTTATTATTTAAAGATGCACTATGTAACTTTTCTGGTCGAGAGCATTCAATTACATGGACTTTTATTGCAACAATAAAAAAATATCTTACTGTGGTGTATGAGTAGCCCTCTCCACAGATGTGACCTGTAATTTGGTCTTGTTGGCCTTGCTTGTTTTATGAACATCCCAGGCAAAGCACTAACATTACCATGGAAACAAGGAAAGAAAAGTTACTTAGTGCACATTTAAATCTGTGTAGACTGGATTTATATGCCTCTAACCACATTGAAAAATGTACATGTATTAGGCAGGTTCCCCTTTTTTCCTCTAGGTCATCTAACTTGGTATGAATAAATGAAAAAGTGAACAAGCAAAATAATGTAAAAATAAAACCGATTTTAATCAGCAGCTTTACATCTCAATCTGCAAAGCACATACACAGCAACACATAAGATATTTCTGTAGCACATTTGAACACATATCTTTCAGCGTAGTGGATCCTCCTGTCCTTTAGACCTGGTCCGGTGTCAGTCTTGTTTTTCCTGACTGCACATGCACCAATCTGTCTCTGCACAAGCTACAGCAGCACATCTGGGTCTAAATACAACTAAGAAAAACAAAAATACAGATGACGATGTGTGCTGTGTGCTTAAACAGATTTTGTCCATGTCCTTGTAGTTTTTGTGTCTCTTCTCCTGTAGTCTTCTGTTTGTTGCTGTTGCTTCCTCCGGCCTAAGCCATAATTTGTTCATGAAAATAAATTATGGGTGAATTATTGTTGCTTTAGATTTTATATTGTGCTAAAATGTTGCTTTTTGTACCTGGGTTGAGACAACTGTAGCTCCAACACAGTGGCAGTCGTGGCATGTGTTTTAAGGTGCATTGTGTAACTTTTCTGGTGGAGATTCCATCAAATGCTTTTCTCTGCGGAGATGTTATTGCTTTCTCTGTAATGTTTCACAGTATGGCATTAAACTCTCTACATCATCCAGGCGAAGTTACAGGTCAGATTTGTGGAGAGGCAACCCTGCTCACAGTCAGAATGCCTGTTTTCTAGGTATTTTTGAGCTATAAAACCTCCTGTAATTGAATAAATGTAAGGTAGAGCTGTTTAATGTCACACTGTGCAACATTCCAAGCAGAGAAATGACATATCCATAGAAACAAGCAGGTGACGGACCCCCAAACAAAAAGTTACACAGCGCACAGTGCAAAGGGAATTTTAATTGCTGTTTTGAATTACAACTTTGGGAATATTTGTGAAGGTTTTTCTTTTACAGCGATGAGAATCTGAAACGTATCTGTCAAACTTTATGGTATAAAATGTGGCTGACACTGAAATCGCATGAGTTTCAGGTTCGAGTTATGGGCGCCATTTTGAGGACTTTTGACCAATCCAAAGAAAGAATATTGTGCTTGAATTGTGTTTTGAATTGAATTTGCTACCAATTTTTTGTTACAACCCAAAAGCCCATGGATAGTTATATAATACTCTCATTCAATTCCCGTTTTAATTCCTTTGTTATAATTTCAATATTTTCTCAAGTATTAAAAGGAAAAATCTAGAATGAAAAATACATTTATATATTACTACACTGGTCTTTTTTTTTTTTTTTTTTTAGTTTAGCTCCAAAATCAGTCTCTATTTTGACTCAGAAAACTAAGCTGAAAAGACTATAATGTTTGACAAATATGTTAATCATATTTATTTATTTATTTATTTATTTATTTATAGTATTTTCTTGAGGTGACTGTGATTCTGCTTCTTTGTGCTTTGTAGAAAAAATACTCTTTGTATTTTCTGCATTTAAAGCTTCAGTCTGCAGATTTTGAAAAATTTTACACAGTTTGCCCAAAAAATAAATAAAATAAAAAATAACTGATTGTATACGAACAAGTGGACAAAAAAATTCTACATTCAAATTTTATTAATCTGACCAAGTTTCTTTGTCTAAATGGGTATTTGTTTTCCACTATTTTGGATGTATTTGGAAGCAAACTTGAGAAATGTTGTTGCCTAGTAACAAACAATGCTGCGTACTGAATCTTTAAATGCCCCTCCACATTTCAATCAAATGTGGTTTTCGGAAATTTCAGTTTGACCCTGAATATTTCCACTTTCCTTCATCGCGACAAGTTTGGAATCGCAAAACTATCCCGAAAAAGTTTTTTTTTAAAGGTGCATTGCGCAAATTTTCTGGTGGAGCGTCCGTCACCAGCTTGTCTCCATGGAGATATTATTGCTTTTCCTGGATTTTTCCACAGTATAACAGTGCTACCTTACATTTACTCAATTACAAGTGGTTTTATAGTTAAAAAATACCTATAAAACACGCATTCAGACTGTGAGCGGGGTTGCCTCTCCACAGATCTGACCTGTAACTTGGTCTGGTTTGGTCTTGATAGAAAGGTTTAATACAATACTTTGAAACATTCCAGACAAAGCAATAACATCTCCATGAAGAAAAGCATTTGACGGACCCTCCACCAGAAAAATTACACAACGCACCTTTAATTTTATGCTTTTAAATTTTGTGTTTTTTGTTTTGTTTCTTTTTTTTCCAGCGATCCGTGGCTTCTCTCCTCAACACAGAATCAGCAGTTTCGAAGAGGCTAAAGGACTGGACCGAATCAATGAACGAATGCCCCCGAGGAGAGACGCAGTCAACTCTGTGGGTTTGTCTATGGGCAGAATGAACATGGCCGAGCCCAATGGAACAGATAATAACAGCAATATACCGTGATACACACAAACACACAAACACGCACACCCACATACAAACATATATAGTGTACATACGCATTTAACTCAATACTAATAGGCAACACTTGAGAATATAGCCCTCCCCATTGTAAAAGGTGTAAGCTCAAATGGACCTCTCTACGGGCTACGCTAATGGACTACAACTCCCGGAGGACTACAGATCCCAGAGGACGGAGGGCTCATATGTTTGTGGCGGAACGTTGTGGCATGATGAGTTGAGCTGTGTCTTGGTTGGAATGTTGTGTCAGGAAATTTGGGGGCTGCCCAGTTCCCGAAAACAGGAAAAAAACTGGAATATTTTTGGGTTGTGGATAGTTCTGCCTGCGTGCGTGCGATGCTTAACTATGTAAATGTGTGTGCAGTTATACATATACATATTATATATATTTGGAAATGTGTTTTTTCTTTGGGAATTCTCTTTGGGGAAAAACATACGTGTGGACAATATGAATCTGAGCCTGTAGTTTTATTATAATGGGAAGACGATGAGTTTTGTTTTGTAGCGAGACACTGGACCCATTGAAATGAGTGGACTTTCTTTAGACCGCCTTTAGACCCCATTAAATCTTGGTTGAGACCTCAGTTAGACCGGTTTGACCCTGTCTGTCTGGTCCTGGGACAGTCTCAGAGGAGGATTTTGAAGTTGTACATGGAGCAGCGCCTTCGTAGTGGTCATTAATATTTGCTTTTTAACTAAAATATGCAAACTTTGTATTAAGGAAAACTAATTAACTATGTCATTAAGAGTGAAACATACAGTAGCTTCATTACTAAAGATTTTAACATGTTTGGAGCTTCCACAACATATAAAAGAAGGCTGCTAAGAATATAAAGAAAAATATGTGAAGTTAGGCTAAAGTGATAGAGAGTGTGTCCGTGTTTCAAAGGATTGCTAAGCCAACAGTCTCCCATTAAGTTTATTGTTCAATCTGCATCTTAAAAGTAATGTAATTCTTTTAGCTGTGGGTCCGTCACCTGCTTGTTTATATGGCTGTCATTGCTCTACCTGGAATGTTCCACAGTATGACATTAAACAGCTCTACCTTACATTTATTCAATTACAGGTGCTTTTATTTTAGGTCAAAAATACCTAAAAAAAAAAAAAAAAACTAAAAAAAAAAACCAGGCATTCTGACTGTGAGCGCCTCTCCACAGATCTGTCCCGTAACTTGGCCTGGTTCGGTCTCCATGGAGATAGAAAGGTTTAATGCCATACCGTGAAACGTTCCAGACAAAGCAATAACATCTCCATGGAAAAAAGCATTTTGACGGGCCCTTCACCAGAAAAACTACACAACACACTTTTAACCACATTGTTTTGTTTTAGAGTCCATCTGCTCCATTCAAAACTCAAAATCCTCACCTTTCCGCTTTCCGTTATCTGTCTCTGGACCAGTCTGCTTAGTCTGTGCGAGTGTAAATACGACGTTTTTTCTTGCACATAATCGAATATGCAGTACCGCGCAGTAATCCGACGCGCTTGTATCCATGCACCCATCCTCCTCCAGGCCCGTAGGTGGCGCTGTCCGCTCACACGACAACGACGACGGCTGGGAATCCTCTAGTTTAGATTTGAAATAACAGAGAAAGTGAAAAAGGTCTGTGTAAAGCATTTAAGCTCTCCTCGGTGCATGCATGACTTCAGTTCTTTGATAAAAACGTGACGATTTCTGTTTGTTTAAGTGTGCTGCGTGTGTCACTACTATCGTAAGGATTTTTTTTCTCTCGTTTTGGCTCAGTATTAACTTATTTATTTTGTACATAACATTTTTTGTATTCATTTTGTGTTCTTTCAATCACTGGACACTGTATAGACCTGACTATATGCTACTGCTTCTTTCCTCCTTCACTGTTCCCTCTACTACTTTGTACATGACTTGTTTTTAAAAATACAAATAATATCGATAAACTATAAATATATATATACGGTAATTATCTTAATGAATGACCTTAAATATTATATTGTAAACGGCGGAGGGCAGCCATAAGCATGATTTGCATGGTTAAAAACTTGAAAGATCCTGGTTTGGTTGCCATGTATACTGACAGTTCCTCTTGTTACCATGGAGATATTATAATTATATTTATGATATAATGGACGTTTTCTCGATATCTTAAGCCAGTAACACTTTCTCTCTCTTTCTCTTTTTGGTTCATTATATTGTGCTTCTTTGAGAGACCCTCCTCAAAGCCCTGTGCCATAGAAATTGTGCCACATTTTCTGTTTTCTTTTTTTCATTTTTGTACAATTTTAAAGTGCATATGACAAGTAAGACTACACATTTCAATAAAACAGAGTTAACATAATTATATCTCTCTTAATGATCTTCATTTTTCCTATAGTTTTACGGTTTTGGTGAAGTTTATCATTTCTCTTCCGGGTTGGACAGGTACTTTGAAGCGCATGTGACTCTGGTGGCGGAATGTTCAGCGGTTACCATGGCGAAGCAATGCACACATTAACCCAAACTGTCTGAAAACATGAGAAAAAATAAAAAAACATTTTCATTTTCAGGAGCCTGTGATCGACACGAGCATTCATGGTCCTGTCAAATGACTCAAAAATAAAGCACTACTTCTAACAGAGTAGTGCCTCCAGTTAGCGTCACATCTGTTACCTGGCAACCATAATATTAACAACAGCCAATGGTCTTGTCTAATTTACACAATAGTTATGATTAGACAAATAAAAATATATGACAGCATCTTTATTTTTGCTTAATTAATGTTTAAACTGTCAGAAAAATGAAAATTGTCTTTAAATTTTGGTTGAAATTTTCTGTAATTTTCAACTTTTATTTTTTAACTTTTATTTACTGTCACTCGACTGAGCTAAAACTATTATTTATATTTACCACGGTAACCATTCCACCAAACGAAATTATACTTTGAAAATCTTTTTTTAAAAATGTCATATGCACTTTAAATCTTTTTTTTTCTTGTTATAATTGACTTTTCCCCTGCAGTTTTTCTGTTTGGTTCCCAGTCACTAACACTGTACGCATGCCCCTTGGGACAATTCACTTTTTTACTCTTGAATAAAATATGCATGAAGCTTTGGTATGGATATGGACCCTTTATTTCATTCATAAAGTGTCGTATATGTATTTGTGATTCTCTTTTCACACTCACGAACCAAGGTTGAACTGCAATAAAACTGGGTGTAGGACAGTATTTAAACAGATTTACTCTCAGACCATAAACCCTAAGACTAATCCAGGTCTAAATCAGGTCTAAAACAAGAGGGAGGACTAAGCCGTGTGTGCAACAGTAAAACAAAACTAAAACCAGAACTGAACCAGGTCTAAACCAAGATTAAACCAGGACTAAACCAGGTCTAAACCAGGACTAAACCAGGTCTAAAGCAAGACTAAACCAGGACTAAACCAGGTCTAAACCAAGACTAAACCAGGACTAAACCAGGTCTAAACCGAGACTAAACCAGGACTAAACCAGGTGTAAACCAAGACCAAATCAGGACTAAACCAGGTCTAAAGCAAGAGTGAGGACTAAGCCATGTGTGCAACGGTAACACGCAACTAAAACCAGGACTAAACCCAGACTAAATCAGTTCTAAACCAAGATTAAACCCAGTCTACCAAGACTAATCCAGAACTAAACAAGGTCTAAAACAAGAGCCAGGACTAAGCCATGTGTGCAACAGTAACACACAGCTAGAATCAGGACTAACCCCAGATTAAACCTCGACCAAACCAGGTCTAAACCAAGACTAAATCAGGACTAAACCAGGTCTAAACCAAGACTAAATCAAGACTAAACCAGTACTAATCAAGTCACTAAGCAAGGACTAACAAAGTTTAAAGCAAGAGTGAGGACTCAGCCATGTGTGCAACAGTAACACTAAACTAACTAAAACAGGACTAAACCCAGACTAAATCATTTCTAAACCAAGACTAAACAAAGAGCATGAACCGCTAAACCAGGTCTAAACCAAGACTAAACCAGGACTAAACCAAGACTAAACCAGGACTTTATCAGGTCTCAAACAGGACAAACCTGGGACTACATGTCAGGTCTAAACTAGCACTATCTCAGGTCTAAAACAGGACTAAACCAGGACATAAATAAGATTTAACCAGGACTAGTGTGAGCTTTGACTGGAGCTATATTCTGCACTACATACAGGTTTAAATCAGGAATGAACCAAGACCATTAACCTGGACTAAACCTGGATCATCTGAGGTCTTAAAGTTCATGTCACTGGTTAGACTATTGAACTGTCTAAAACACAACAACATCAATATATTTAAGATTTTACTAAAAAGATGGCTAGTCTTTTTTAATTTTGTAATTTAGTTTGACTTAATTTATTAATTTTATTATTAATTTTAGTTTATAATTTTATTTCCTGGTTGCAGATAGGTATAGACACATGTTACTTAGCAACCATAATGTAAACAAGGGCCAAAATGTGTCTAAATTACACAAATGAAAGTCAGTGACCACACCAGTATTTTTGTTTTTGTCTTTTGTTTTCTGCTTTCCTTCACTAACTACGACTCAACTGATTAAAAATGATGATGCATATTTATCTCAGGCACTATACAAACCAAACCTGTGTAACTTTTCTGGTTGAGAGTTCACTCACTGTCTGTCTCCATTTAGATGTTATTGCTTTGCCTGGAATGTTAAATTAAGGTACACTTTACTGTCATCCTTCAGTCATTATCATCCTTCAGTGGCATCCAGTGGGACCCAACTCCAGAGGAAACCTGCCCAGACACAGGGAGAACATGCAAACTCTGCACAGACATGCCTGTGTGACCTGGGGATCAAACCTGGAATCTGCTGTGAACCATGAGGGCCAGATGGATTTATGACACTAACATGAAATTACAGGCCAGATCTATGGAGAGGTGACCCCACTCCATGTAAGAATCCATGTATTTCAAGGTAGTTTTGAAAATAATAATAATAATAATTGAGTGGATACTTTTAATGCCGTACTGTGCAATATTCCAAACAGAAACCGAAGCTAAAATGTGGTGGGACAGACTGTTTGTGGTCGGATGGAGCCAGTTGGACCAGTTGTTTGACTTCCACAGGTTCCATGCAAAGTAAAACCAAATGACAGGCCAATATTTATCCTTGTAATACTTTTTCATGATCCTGACACTGTGATTAAAGGACTGCTACTGCACAATTTTAATCTGTTATAGTGACATATAGTGCATATTTAGGCTGCGCTATTTTCTCACACTGAAACCTGTTTAGGTGTTTGATTTTCAACAAAAAGGTGAGAGTGACAAACTGAAAAACTGTTGATTAATTTTATTTGAGAGAGACTTGTTTAAGAGCACAAATCCACTCACCTGTTGTAGTTCCAACTAAACCAGCTCTTTCTCAACAGATAACTGGTGGAGTAACAGAGCTTCAGACAGAGTAGTGCTTTCAGCTGCCAAGTATCAATAACAGGTAGGTTCACGTCATAACATGCCCATTCTACACGGGAGGTTTCTTTTTCACTGTCAAAATAAAGATCTAGTCCTGGTTTGGGGTTAATATCTGTGTTACTGGGCCACATGAGTCACATGAGTCCAGTGCCTTTTCTGACAGTATAAATCAACTATTATTTCTCATAACAGCTTCAACAAGTGATGCCATTATTCAACCCCAGAGGGTCCATCAAATCCTTCTCTCAAAGGACATGTTAATATGTTGTCTGGAATGTTTCACAGTATGGCATTAAAGCTTTCTATCTATCTAGCTTTTAAACCAACTGTTATTGAATATCAATATATACAATAATATTGAATTGAGACGAGTGTGCTGGAGGAGAGGGAGCAGTCCGAGAACACAGAGAAAAAGAAAAAAACATACTGCACACTGTCTTATTTGCAAAATGTGAGAACAGTACAACTGTTTATCCTAATCTTTTTGTAAGTATGACGATGTGTGGGATTTTTCTCCCTTTACACACTAAAACATTTCATATTAACTATATAAATCATATAACCTTTTTCAATGTAATTAGGCTATTTTATGTTGATTCAAGCAAATCATTTTTGGTATGATCCAATTAGAAATATACATTATTTTAACATAACATATTTAAATGGAAAATGTGATCGTATATTTAGTGGTTTCATTTTATTTTTAAGTTAAGTGTATTTACAAAATGTCACACTTCTTTTAGGAATCACGACCACAGGAAACGTGAATGTCGCTGAGGTTAGAACTTACACTTCTGAAGAAATTTTACTTCCCTAAAAAAATCCCTCTTATGATCCTGTGATGTTCCACTGTACTGTGATGCTAACTGTAAGCACACCTCTGTTGGAAGCTCTGTTACTCAAGTTAGACTCTGCTTTAAGCTTTATTTTTCCACAGTCTCAACACAAAGACGTGGTTTAGCTGGAACAGGTCAGATGATTTGCGCTGTTATATAAGTCTTAAACTGACAGTCACAAGACAGCTAGAGCAGTATCCAGCAGCTGTTCAACTGTAAATCAAACACTTGACCATGAACTCTCAAATAGATCACAGGCTTCTGAAAATGTGTTTAAATCTTCTTTCTTTTTTTTTTTTTCAGATGATCTTTAATCTTTTTGGACAGTGTTTACTGTGTTTACTAATGTGTACGTTGTGTCACCATGGTAACTGCTGAACATTCCACCATGCAGGGACATGTAGAACCCCCCCCCCCAGTGTGATGTCACTGCAAAGTATCAATACTGACCATTGTACACGACCAAAGCCTTTTCAGTTCAAGCCAAGAAGGACGGTGTAGTGGACCAAACAGAAAGGCAAAGACAAGGTATAAAAATAAGTTTAAATTTAATAAAGTCAAAAAAGATAGAATTTAACAAAGGCTCAAATTAGGCAAATTATTATCAAAAAAAGCTGGGCCCAACTGGGGTAACTCAAAATCAAACTGAACAGAACAAAACTAACCCAACCAGACAAAGGAACAGAGGTGTTTAAATACCTAAGGACCAACTAAAGCTAAACACAAGAGGGAGGAATTACACTAATTAACTAACTAAACCAATAACTTAATCAAAGTAACAAAAAAGCAAATAATTATAACACAGAAAATAATAAGTGATAATAACGTGACCTTAACACAAACTAAACAAATTAACTTAGTAAAACAAACTAAATAGTGCTCCCCCCCTTTGCTGAGTCCTGATGGTCTCTCCCAGGGTCCTCCGGCCGGTGCTCAAAAAACAAAAAGAACAAGTGTAAGTAAATTAGACTTATATTAACTAAAATGTGTGCACTCAAATTAGAACATAAGTCTAAATAAATTTAATTATACATAATTAAATTATGTGTAGTGTAATTAACTTAATGTAAATAATAATAATGAAAATTAAATAATACTGACACTATGGAGTGGTGGCAGAGGTATCCACCACACACGGCTTTAAAGGAACATGTAACTTTCCTGGTGAGGGGCTATTACTTACTTGTCTCCAGGGAAAGGTTGTTGCTTATAGTCTGGAATGTTCCTTAGTGTTCCCCAGTAAAGCACTTTTAAAAACAAGGTTTACAAAGTGCTGTACAAGCAGCAATGAACAACAAAAAGAGTATCCAGAAAGCATATAGAATCAGACAGTGAAGTAATTGATTCAATTTCAGTATTAAACGTAGATAGATTAAATACAGTACAACATGAAGACTCGACTTGCAACAGGGGGTGGATTTACAGGCAAAACACAATACAAAAACACAATACAACAACAAAGGTGTGGGATGCGGGATGGGCCTGACCTTGTTGTGTCACCTGCTTGTCTGCTTGGTGATCTTACTCGTGCCTTGATTATTTTACAGTATAGAAATAATCTTACATCACAATGGAGAAAAGTTAATGGCCAGATCTATGGAGAAGCAAGCCTGCAAATGGTAAGAATTCCTGTTTTTCAAGGTATTTTTCTAGAACTTACTGCATTTTCTGCTTAGTGCCTAAAATTATAAAGTTATTATAATAGTACGATGCCACATTTGGACTTCCTGTTCTGAGGCCAGTCCCTGCTCGCTCTCTCTCTCTCTCGCTGGAAGTGGGTTTGGTTTAATGATACAAGGTGAATCGAAAGTAAAACTAAAGTTGACAAAAGGACAAAAGGAGGAGTAGAGCATCTCAGAATCACTTTCCAGAAGCCACAGAGGTGAGTGCAAGTTATAATTATGTCATATTATAAAAGGAAGAGTTTTGTCTGTTATGTGCATGTTTTTAGATGTTTTTAGAGGTGCACTGCAGTGAGTTAAACTTCAGACTTTTAAACTACTTGTACTTTTATCTTGTTTTGTTCAGTTTAAGTTTAGGTCAGGGGGTGTCCAAACTTTTTTTTTCACCAAGGGCCACATATCTAAACACAGACAAAGCAGAGGGCTGATAGAGGGCCATAGGCTGGTGCTCAGTACAGTGAATAATTGAAATATGTGTATGTTTTAAGATGAGCCATCAGTCTTTATTCATGCTAAGATCCTTAAAACCACTAAATAACACACTAAATATTAAATATTCGCTTTATCAAGGGGTATTTTCAAAAAACTTGCAGTAAAAAGTGTATTTTTAATTGATGCAAGGTAATTTGGGCCAATTCACCTGGAAGCCTGAGGGCTAAGAAAAAAAATGTCTCAGGGCCACATTTGGCTCACGGGCCATAGTTTGGACATGCCTGGTTTAGGTCTTTGATTTCTTCACAATTGCACAATGACCGCGTTAAAACCTGAACTAAACCAGTTTCCAGAGAGTCACATCCCTCCGATTCTTTGTGTATTATATAATTGCTATTATGTGATTATGATGGCATTGTTAGACAACTAAACCATGACCATATATGCAATTAAAACAGGACTCAACCGGGACTAAACCAGTTCACATATGTACAATGATCACATCAAAACTGGGACTAGACAGGGACCAAATCTGGAACAAAACCAGAACTGAACCAGGACTAATCCAGTTCACAATTATACAATGACTGGATCAGAATTGGGACAAAACTGGGACCAAATTTGGGACTAAATCAGGACTAAACTGAGACTAGAACAGGACTAAATTTTGCTCAAGCTAGAACCAAGTGTGAACCCCAAATGAAATGATGTTAACAGATTTCTTAACCTTTATGATTTAGTTATTACAGAAGGCACTTTGATTTTCAATTGCCTGGAGAGATGTTTGATTTCACAATAGTGAGTCATGATCTACATGATGTTTTTTTAAGATTGTCTGAGGGAAGTTAAATATCCTTTTTGAAACACGCCGGGCTAAACTGTGAACTGTCAATTTATTTACTTTATTATTATTTTATTTTATCCGCCTCAGTTATTACCACAGCAATAACTATTCTGGACTGTTAGTAGAAATAATAAAGGATACATACAAACATTATTATTGCCACATTCCATTTAATATTTTAAAAGTTTTATTTGATGACACTTTCTTTATAATATGTTTTCAATTATTTCTAAAAAAGAGTCTCCTTTTCGGTCTGTGTTAAAGACAGAAGATTAGACCAGCCTCTGTATAATGCAGATTTATTTAACACATCGGTTTTACGAAAGAGCAGGACATAGAAATCAAAAAGCAATAACGATGAAAAAAATGCATCACAAAAATCTGAATAAAACACTTTAGTTATGCCAACACTAAAAATATTACATGAATATTTGCTGAAAATTGACTTTAAAGGTGCACTGTGTAAGTTTTTGGTCTGCCATCTACTTGTCTTCGTCACAATGTTCCAGAGTATGGCATTAAACTTATGCTTATCTCCATAAAGACAAATATGTGACACATCACAAGGCCAAGGTCAGATGTGTGGAGAGGGAGCCCACGCACAGTACAGATGCACTCCTTTCAAAGTAAATCAGTGCAAGAGGTAGATGATTTTAATGCCATACTATGGAACATTCTGGGCAAAGCTATAACACCTTTATGAGACAAATAAGTGACACACCCTCCAATAGAAAAGTTACACATTGCACGTTTAAAGGCACATTGTGTAACTTTTATTTTATTTTATTTTTATTTTGGGGAAGTAAAGAGTTACATTCTTATATAGTGGAACATATAACATAAGTGAAATCATAATGGAAATAAAAATAACTGCAACAAAAAATTGTCTGGGAAGAATAAAACTTAACCTGCTTGTTTCTAGGGAGATATGTCTGTCTGTCTGTCTGTCTGTCTGTCTGTCTGTCTGTCTGTATGTATGTATGTATGTATGTATGTATGTATGTATGTATGTATGTATGTACATGTGTGTTTATGTATGTATGTATGTATGTATGTATGTATGTGTGTGTGTGTATGTATGTATGTATGTATGTATGTACGTGTGTATGTATGTATGTACATGTGTGTTTATGTATGTATGTATGTATGTACATGTGTGTGTATGTATGTATGTATGTCTGTATGTATGTATGTACGTGTGTGTGTGTGTGTGTGTATGTATGTGTGTGTGTATGTATGTATGTATGTATGTATGTACGTGTGTATGTGTGTGTATGTATGTATGTATGTATGTATGTATGTATGTATGTATGTATGTATGTACATACGTGTGTATGTATGTATGTATGTACATGTGTGTGTGTGTATGTATGTATGTACATGTGTGTATGTATGTATGTATGTACGTACGTGTGTGTGTATGTATGTATGTACATGTGTGTGTGTGTATGTGTGTGTATGTATGTATGTTTGTACGTGTGTGTGTATGTATGTATGTATGTACATGTGTGTGTGTGTATGTATGTATGTACGTACGTACGTATGTTTCTATGTATGATCTATGAATATATGTATGTATCTATGTGTCTATGAATATATGTATGTATGTATGTATGTATGTATGTATGTATGTACGTACGTACGTATGTATGTATGTATATTGCTCTGCCTGGAATGTTCCACAGTAGAGCAAAAAATATCTAGAAAAAGCATTTTGACTGTGAGCGTGTTCGCGTCTCCACAGATCTGACCTGGAACTTGGTCTGGTTTGGTTTCCATGAAGATAAAAAGGTTTAAAGCCATACTGTGAAACATTCTAGACAAAGCAATAACATCTTTATGGAGAAAAGCATCTGACGGACCCTTCACCAGAAAAGTTACACAGTGCACCTTTAAATAAACATACATACAGTGTATTATAGCAAAGGTGTTTTAACAGAGTAGCCTTATACATCGCTTTGGTTGGATCGTAAAATTATTATATTGTAAGTGACAGTGCTTATTATATTGTAAGATGGTTAAAGTCCTATTTTTATTGTAATTGTCTGGTCTGGTTATAAAACAAACTACACCCATGCAGGATTTAACCTTGACCACAGCTTTAAGTTTTGATTTCAGAGTTCATGATTCGGACACTGACAACTGAGCAGGTTATGACGACGATAATTATCTAATTATATTTATGAGAAAGGTGCAGCTTTTAGTAATTAGAATAATATGTACATGTACAAAGGCAATTATTCTATGTTTGGTTTCTCTGACGTCATTTCACACATCACACATTAACTTGAAAATCCACTTTGTGTCGGCCCACTAAATGCCAAATGTAAGCTGTAAACTATAAGGGGAAAGTAAATGAACCAAACAGTGTACAGTGGATGCATAATTAATTGATGAGATATTAATAATTCAGAATCACTTTTATTATTGCAATTTTCAGTGAGCAAAATACAAAAACTGGGATCTTGCTTTGGTGTTGTGGAGCAAAATAAAAACAATTAATGGTATAAAATCAAATAAAAGTGTGCAAGTGCAATTGTGTTACATAAACACACTTGGTTTGGTCCTGGTTTGAGTCCAGTTTAATCCTGATTTAGAGTTTAATTAGTTCTGTTCCAGTCCTGGTTTAGTCCTGTTCCAGTTCTGGTTTAGTCTTGGTTTAGTCCTGTTCCAGTCCTGGTTTAGTCCTGTTCCAGTTTTGGTTTAGTCCTGGTTTAGTCCTGTTCCAGTTTTGGTTTAGTCTTGGTTTAGTCCTGTTCCAGTTTTGGTTTAGTCTTGGTTTAGTCCTGTTCCAGTTTTGGTTTAGTCTTGGTTTAGTCCTGTTCCAGTTCTGTTTTAGTGTTGGTTTAGTCAAGTTCCAGTCCTAGTTTAATTCTTTTCCAGTCCTGGTTTAGTCTTGGTTTAGTCCTGTTCCAGTCCTGGTTTAGTCCTGATTTAGTCCTGGTTTAGTCTGGTTCTAGTTCTGGTTTAATCCTGGTCCAGACCTGGTTTAGTCCTGTCCTAGTCCTGGTTTAGTCCTATTGCAGTCCTGGTTTACTTCTGTTCCAGTTCTGGTTTAGTCCTGGTTTAGTCCTGGTCCAGACCTGGTTTAGTCCTGGTCCAGATCTGACATAGTCCTGGTTTAGTCCTGTTCTACTCCTGGTTTAGTCCAGGTCTAGTCTCAGTTTAGTCCTGTCTCACACATTGATCACTGATGACTTTGATTGACAGATGCAGTCCCTCAGATCCCAGTCCGAGTTGGTCCCGGACCCTCGCGGGTCTCTGCCGAAGCTGTGCGCTCTGGGCGTGGCTGTGGTTTCCGTGGTGGTGGTGGCCATGTTGATGCCGGAGATGGTCGTGAGCTGGGTCTCCATGGCGACGCTCCTGCTATCGCTCTGCCCTTTGGTCCATGGGATTTTCCTGTTTGTGGAGGAGGTGGTCAACCAAAACAACAGGTTTGGATCTAATGAAATGATTAGTTTGTGAAGTAACTTGTGAAGTAACAAAGTATAATTTGTGAATGTTGTTTTAAAGTTCATATATTACACAAAATTGACTCTTGAGAGCTGAGAGAAAGCATGGTTTAGTCCTGGTTAAATCCTGGTTTTAGTCCTGGTTAAATCCTGGTTTTAGTCCTGTTTAAATCCTGTTTTTAGTCCTGGTTAAATCCTGTTTTTAGTCCTGGTTAAATCCTGTTTTTAGTCCTGGTTAAATCCTGATTTTAGTCCTGATTTAGAGCAGGTTTCGTCCTGGTTAAATCCTGGTTTAGTCCTGGTTTTAGTCCTGATTTAGAGCTAGTTGTAGACCTGGTTAAATCCTAGGTTAGTCCTGGTTTAGACATGGTTTAATCCTGGGTTTAGTTCTGGTTTAGTTCTAGTTTAGTCCTGGTTTTAGTTCTGGTTTACAGACGTGGTCCGCACAGTGCACAAGCGTATGAAAGGGGGGGTTCGCGCTTTTGCGGCCTGGTACCAGATGACCCACGGCCTGGTACCATTGGCCTGGGGGTTGGGGACCAAACAGAAAGACGAGGTCAAAGGTTTAAAAAGAAGCTTACATTTAAATTTAAGTCAAAAAGGTAATTTAACAAAGCTCAAAATTAGGGAAATTATGATATTATTATTATATTATTATAATTATTCAGATGACATATATTAACTAAAACATGTGGGTAATAATAATGTAACTTAAAGGTTGTATAGAGGATTTTCCAAGGAACGAGAAATCCAGCGACTGTTTGTCCTTTTTCAAATGTTGCGCATGCGTGAAACCACCCCCCCTCCCCTACAGCTCCCTACGTAGAAACACCTCCTCCCGCCTCCTCCTTACGCCAGAAACAGGTTTGTTTACAGCCGGTGCACTGCAAATGACTTGTAAACAACTAACTACAGTGTTGGTTAGGCAAGGACGGAGAAGTGAGGAGCGGGGGGGAGCGGGTGTGCGGACATTTCGTGCGCGGACGAGAAGTGAGGAGCAGGGGGAAGAGCGGAGAGCAGGAGAGAGGAGAGGGGAGCGGTGCGCGGAGATTCCGTGCCCGGAGAAGTGAGGAGCAGGGAGAAGAGCGGAAACGGGCAGCGGGGACAGGAGCAGGAAAGGGGAGCAGAGAAGGTTGCGCGGAGATTCAGTGCGAATGAACTAGCTACAACACGCAGCAGCAAGCGGACTCTTTTTTGCCTTGAAAATTACGTTTTCAGACATAGGATATCGCTTTCGTGTCCTGAAAAACGTTTGTCTAGCTCTTGGAAATAAAGTACCTTTTCATAATAAGCAGAAGTGACCTGTCCAGGAGTAATTTGGCGACCAGTGCGTCAGTCTTTAGACCCTGCGTCTGCTTCAGTTGCGCCATCGCTGGAATGAATCTTCAAGAATCACCTTAGTTTGGCTTCGCTGCTTTTCCCCTTGTCTTCTTCTTTCAGCGACCTCAAAAAACGGACTTTCTTTTGCGGCTAACTGCTCCTGGATTCTTGTCTGCCATTGCAACAATCTTTGTGCAAACTGCGAGGAAGATATAGGAAAAAAAAAGCCGCTAAGAACTGTTGTGTTGGTGGAGTAAACAGCGTCTGTGCGGCTTGCGTCTGTGGACTGCGTGACAGGCGTACGTAAACCACGTACCGGCGGCGCGCAGGCAAGTCAGTTACGCTAGAAACGTAGGGAGATTGATTGACAGTCTGTCAGCTAACAGATAACGAGGCAGTGTCGTTATCTATTGGCAAATGTTTAGCCCCACCACGTCCAGAGTTGATGAATTTTTATTCTCTTTTTTTTGGTCATCATAATTACAAGGCTACTGCACCTCTATAATGCTATCATTGACAACTTGAAACAAAAAAAAAATCCTCCATACAACCTTTAAGGTGCATTGTGTAACTTTTTGGTTGGGGACCCGTCACCTGGTTCTATGGATTTGTCATTGTTCTGCCTGGAATGTTCCACAGTATGACATTAAACAGATCTCCCTTACATTTATTCAATTACAGTTGTTTTTATAGCTCAAAAAAACCTAGAAAAACAGGCTGTTACTGTGAGCGGGGTTGCCTCTCCACAGATCTGACATGTAACTTTTAATGCCATACTGTGAAACATTCCAGAAAAGCAACAACATTTCCATGAAGAAAATAATTTGACGGACACTCCACCAGAAAATCACTGCAGCATGAAATGTGAAATGTAAAATGTAAATGAAATTAAAGAAAAATACTCAAAGTGTGGAGAGGTGGCAGAGCCGTCCAGCACAGATCTAAGGTTTCTTTTTGTTTATGGTAAATGTAATGTGTGTGTCTCAGGTACAGGGGGCGCTCTGTCCTGGTCCGTCTCTGTAACTGTGGGTTGGTGAGGCCCCTCTTGTCCGTGGTGCTGTCCGGCCTCGTGCTGAATCTCTCGGGGAGTCCTCTGCCTCTGTCCCACCTGTGCGTTCTGCTCTGGCTCTGCTCCGTGCTCTATGCCGCCCTCCGGAGTCTGGGAGTGCTGGTAATTTTATATTTAACATAGACATTTAAGATTCTCTAATTCGAAATAAACAGTGTTGGAGAGAAACAGATTACATGTACCAGAGTTACATAATCAGAGTACAGAGGAACTGTATTCAGTTACAGTTACTGTTTCAATGAGTACGATTACAGTTACTTTGTTGACATAAATGGATTACACAGCGGTATTTTCCTGTTTTCACATTTTGGGCTATAGCCCCTCCCTTTTTTTTTTTTTTTTTTTTTGGTAATTCTACTCATTGCCGGAAGCTAAACCAGGACTAAACTAGATCTTAACCAGGTCTAAAACAGGACTAAAATCAGGTCTAAATCCAGGACTAAAACCAGGTCTGAAACAGGACTAAAATCAGGTCTAAACTAGATCTTAACCAGGTCTAAACCAGGACTAAACCAGGACTAAACTAGATCTAAACCAGGTCTAAAACAGGACTAAAATCAGGTCTAAACCAGGACTAAAACCAGGTCTGAAACAGGACTAAAATCAGGTCTAAACTAGATCTAAACCAGGTCTAAACCAGGACTAAAACAGGGTCTAAAACAGGTCTAAAACAGGTCTAAAACAGGTTTAAAACAGGTCTAAAACAGGTTTAAAACAGGTCTAAAACAGAACTAAAATCAGGTCTAAACTAGATCTAAACCAGGACTAAAACAGGACTAAAACCAGGTCTAAAACAGGTCTAAAACAGGTCTAAACTAGGTCTAAACCAGGTCTAAACTAGGTCTTAAACCAGGTCTGAAACAGGACTAAAATCAGGTCTAAACTAGATCTAAACCAGGACTAAAACCAGGTCTAAACCAGGACTAAAACAGGACTAAAACCAGGTCTAAAACAGGTCTAAACCAGGTCTAAACCAGGACTAAAACAGGTCTAAACCAGGACTAAACCAGGACTAAAACCAGGTCTAAACCAGGACTAAAACAGGACTAAAACCAGGTCTAAAAGAGGTCTGAAACAGGTCTAAAACAGGTCTAAAACAGGTCTAAACCAGGTCTAAACCAGGTCTAAAACCAGGTCTGAAAAAGGACTAAAATCAGGTCTAAACCAGATCTAAACCAGGTCTAAACCAGGACTAAAACAGGACTAAAACCAGGTCTAAAACAGGTCTAAACCAGGTCTAAACCAGGACTAAAACAGGTCTAAACCAGGACTAAACCAGGACTAAAACCAGGTCTAAACCAGGATTTAAGTACTTTAATGGATTACGTTACAAACTACATTCTGGGGTATGTAATTTGTAATCTGTAGGGGAAGACATTTTAAAAGTGACCTTCCCAACACTGGAAATAAATAATAATGATCTCAGACAAAGGAGACTATTTTTGAAAGAAAGCTCCAAAGAGGCAAGTTATAAAAACAGTGGGTTATTTTGTGCACAGAAGGAATAAACTCAAAAATCAATTCTGGTTTCTATATCGCGATTCTTTAGATGATAGAATGCGATTTTCAACATTAAATCATAGTACTTTCGTTTATATTACCATGTGGCCTTATATGATATGAGTATTTAGTTTCAGTTTTAGTATTTTAAAGTATCTGATTTTTAATACCTTTCACAACTTTAGTTTCAGTCTTCAGATCATTTGTTTACTTTTTTATATTGTTTTATAGGGATGTAACAATAACTGAACTATATCATGATATCGTATCATTAGAAGTCTCATAATAATATTGTAGGATGTCACAATATATCGAATCACAATTCTTCTGCTTAAATGCATGGTTTTATAGTAGCAACAGCTTATAAACACAGGGAACTACATATCCCATGATTCATTTCAGTGCAGACAACATGAAGATATATGTTTTTTACTTGAATTCTTGGGATTATTACAGGAATAATTCACATCTAACTCTTTTCAGGTTATTTTAAAAGCAAAAAAGTGTCCCATTTACAATTTGATTAGTCTCTTCAAAATATCGCAATAAATTTCGTACCGGGAGATGCATATCATGAGAATATCGCACTGAAAGATGTGGATAGTGTTACATCCCTATTGTTTTAACACATTAATCTTTATGGAAAAAGAAAAACACATGGCAAATTTAACTCAAAACATATATTTTACAATTTATTATGTTTGTTTCCAAGCTCTGTGGTGTAAATGTTAAAGGTGCACGATGTAACTTTTTGGTTCAGGGTCCGTCACCTGCTTGTTTCCATGGATATGTTATTGCTCTGCCTGGAATGTTCCACAGTATGACTTTAAACAGCTCTACCTCACACGTTCAGTTACAGGTGGTTTTATAAATACCTAGAAAAACAAGCTGTTTCTGTGAGCGGGATTGTCTCTTCACAGATCTGACCTGTAACTTGATCTGTTTTGGACTCCGTGAAGATAGAAATGGTTAATGCCATACTGTGAAACATTCCAGACAAAGCACAAAGCACAACACCTTTAACCCTGTGTGTGAGTTCAAAATTGCGTGGTAAAGCTGTACCGTCCTGTGTCTGTGTTCAGGTCGCCTCTGAGGTGGAGCTGTCCGACATTTGTGAGACCAGGAGGATGAATGTAGCGCACGGTTTGGCCTGGTCCTTTTACCTCGGATACCTCCAACTGGTGCTGCCCCGTCAGTAACGAGCACACACACACACACAGACATACACACATAGACACACACACGCACACACACACAGACACACACACACACACACACACACACACACACACACACACACAGACATCACACACACACACACACACAGACATACACACATAGACACAGACGCACACACACCCACAACACACACACACATGCACACACACGCAGACATACACACACACACACACACGCACACATAGACACACACACACAGACACACACATAGACACACACACACAGCCATACACACACATAGATGCACACACACACAGACACACAGACATACACGCACACACACACAGACGCACACGCACACACAGACATACACACACATAGACACCCCCCCCCACACACACACACACACATAGACACACACACAGACATACACACACAGACATACACACACATAGACCACCCCCCCCACACACACACACACACACAGACACACACACAGACATGCACACACATAGACACACACACATACACACACAGACACACACACATACACACACACATACACACACACATACACACACACACACACACACACACACACACACAGACACACACACACACATACACACACACACACACACACACATACATACACACACATACACACACACAGACACACACATATACACATATACACACACACACACAGACACACACACACACACACACACACACACACACACACACACACACACACACACACACACATACACATACACACACACACACACACACACACACACACACACACGCGGACACACACCGATACACACACACACACACACACACACACACACACACACCACACACACACACACACAGACATATGTTCCTTAAAAGGCCCATATGACACTGTTTTCTGATCTGTGTTATAATGTTGTTTCCTCATCACAAACAGACCTGGAGTTGTGTTTTGTTTCATTCACACATGTTTAACACACAAACCCTGTGTATTTAGATTTATTTGTATTTAGACTTGTGTTTTTCTCTCAAACAGAAAACTCTGGTCCACCTTGTGATGTCATGTTGTAATATAAGAAATGCTCCACAGTGTTTTTAAACTCCATACACCTTCACTAGGATTATTTGGATAATTTCAGTCCTTGAATTGCCAATTTCTACTGAACTAAAGCTAAAAGGAGCTGTTAACTTGAAAAGTACCACTTCATGACATCACAGAGCATTTTGAGCTTTGGAGATTAAAGGATTAGTCAAAAATGTTTGACTGAAACAAAACACAACTCCAGGTATGTTTTTGATGAGGTGACAAAATTATGACTCAGATCTCACAAGAGTCAATTTTGTGTAATATAGAAACTTTAAAGGTGTGCTGTGTAACTTCTCTGGTGGAGGGTGTTGTGGAAAAAATTATATATCTCTTGATGATAAATAATTAATCCATTTGCGAAGCCTGATGAGTTTTTGGAATATAGACCAAGGTTTATTCTTGTTACAGCAGATATGGACAGGGCCTAGGTCTGCCCTGACCAGAGACCAACAGCCTCTCTCCACCAGCCGTATGTCCCTATCACATCTTGCCCCCTTTGACCTCGAATGTTACAAAGCACCAAGTTTATATAGCCTGAGATGACCAGAGGTGTGGCCAAATGTGCTTGATCTGATTTGCGTCCATATTCACGCATTTGTCACTTCCTGACAAGATTAGCGAGCAAAAGGGAACAAAAGTATTTACACTGAAGGGTCTTTCTAACACTGTCTTTAAAGGTTGTATGGAGGATGTTTTTTTTAGTTTCAAATTGTCAATTGAAGTTTCAAATACCATTACAGAGATGCAGCAGCCTTGTAAATATGATGACCAAAAATAAATAAATAATGAAGATCTATCAACTGTGGACGTAGTAGTGAGGCCAGATAAACATCAGCCAATAGAAAACAAGGCTACCTCATTGTCTATTGGCTGTTAGGTTGTCAATCAAACTCCCTAGTGTAACTGAGTCGCCGGCGTGCAGGGATTACATGGTTTATGTAGCGGTTCTTAGAGGCTTTTTCAAACTGTCGCTTCCTCGCATTTCGCTCAAAGTTTGTTGCGATAGCAGATAAGAATCCACGACCAGTTCGCCGCAAAAGAAAGTCAGTTTTTGAGGTCGCTGAAAGAAGAAGAGAAGGGGAAAAGGAGCAAAGCCAAACTGAGGTGATTCTTGGAGATACCTTCCAACGATGGTGCGACTGAAGCAGACAAAGAGTCTAAAAACTGATGCGTCGGTCCCTAAATTATTTCTAGACAGGTCACTTCAACAGTAATTCTGAACATGCACTGGCTGTAAACAAGCGTGATTTCTAGAGTAAGGAGGAGGGAGGAGATGTTTCTACTGAGGGAGCTGTGGAGGAGGAAGGTGGTGTCATGCATGCACAAGGATGGTCACTGTATTTCTTTACCCTTAAAAAATCCTCTATACAACCTTTAACTACCAAACCAAATGAGTTTTAGTTACAAGACCAAATGTGTTTCTAAAAGATAAACTAATCACTATTTTAATGTAATGAATCATAATCAATATTTTCCTGTGGGGGTCTGGTCTCAGGTAGAAATCACATTCATTTACACAAAGACAGAATGAGAGAAATCTTTCCACAAAATAAATTTCCATCACAAGGGTGCGTCACCTGCTTGTCTCCATGGAAATAGATTAACAGCATAATATCAAAGAGTCAACATAGATCTGTGGACTGGTAAAAATGGTAAAAATTTATAATTTTCAAGATCAGATAGATAATGCCAAACTGTAGAAAATTCCAGACAAAGCAGTAATATCTCTAAGTTGACGAGTAGAAAAGTTACACATGCATCTTTAAAAAAAATATTGATAATGACTGCACTTTCAGATTATCTTTGAGTAGATCCAATAATTACAGAGAAACACATCCTACAAGCTCAATATTAAACTAAATAAAAAGTCATGAACCCAAACTCTAATCTACCTGTATGTTTAGGTTTGGAAGACGCCATCTCTGCGTTTTGCGCGTCCCACCAGAGCACCGCCCACCTGTGGAGCCGAGGGTCAAAGCGCCTCTTCATCCTCATCCCCATAAACGCAAACATCAGCCACAAACTGGAGGACGAAGACGAGAGGGTCCAGTTCTGTGAAAGTCTCCCCAACAGCCAGCTGGACCGAGGGGGTGTCCGCGGGAGGGTCTACAAGCACAGTGTGTACAAAGTCTACAACCACAAAGGACAGGTGGGTTTAAAGGGTAAACCGGATTACACTGTTTTCTGATCTTTGTTAGAATGTTTTGTCATCATCACCAACAGAGAGGGAGTTGTGTTTGTTTCTTCACTCAAACAGAAAACCCACAAATCTGCAAAACAAATTTACCTACAGGTACAAACAGTGTTGGGGAGTAACAGATTACATGTACCGGAGTTAAGTAATCAGAGTACAAATTATGAGTAACTGTATTCAGTTACAGTTACTGTTTCAGTGAGTGGTAATTGGATTACAGTTACTTTGTTGAAACAAATGAATTACATGGCGGTATTTTCCTGTTTTCACGTTTCGGGGTATTCCCTTTTTTTTTTTTTTTTTTTCTCGGTAATTCCACTCATTACCGGACACTAAACCAGGTCTAAACCAGGTCTAAACCAGGACTAAAACCAGGACTAAACCAGGACTAAAACCAGGTCTAAACCCAGGTCTAAAACCAGGTCTAAACCCAGGAGTAAACCAGGTCTAAACCAGGACTAAACCAGGTCTAAACCAGGTCTAAACAAGGACTAAATCAGGTCTAAACCAGAACTAAACCAAGACTAAACCAGGTCTTAAAACAGGATTTAACAGGACTAAACCATGCTGTGCGGACCATGTCTCCTCCTTCTCTTCTATCAATAATATTTTTTATATGGTTACGTAAAGACTGGGCTTTTTTATTGTCTTTTAGCAGACTTATGTGGAGATATCCTGGTCTTTGCTTCTCTACAGCAAATCAAGTAATCCAAAGTATTCAGATTACGTTACTCACTTTAAGTAATTTAATGGATTCCATTACAAAGTACATTTTGGGGTATGTAATCTGTAATCTGTAAGGGAATACATTTTAAAAGTGACTTTCCCAACACTGGGTACAAATAAAGCAACCTAACCTAACTACTTTGTGTTCCCACGGGGGGCATTATCTTCATGGAGACAAGCAGCTGGCATCACTAGGCCAAGTTATAGGTCATCTTTACAACTTTACTGTAATGAAATAAACTAGACAGACAAGTTTAATGCCATACTTTGTCTCCATGGAGATGTTATTAGACACAACTGTGACCTGAACTCTCCCATAAAAGTTACATAGAGAACCTTTAAACAGGAAAACGTGCGACTATTCATGAAACTTTTCTCATGTATGGATTTTGCATGTGTTTGATCACAGGTTTTAAATTGCTAAAAACAGAAATAAAATATCAACATCTCTTCTATAAGTCAGTCAGGTCATCTCTCCACAGATCTGACCAGGACGTTTCACCCATCACCATTTCAACAAAAACATAGGCGTTAAACTTTAAACCAACATAAAAGTGGATACAAATTCTCTTTAGTATATAAAAAAAAAAACATGTGACAGGACACAAAACTAGTGATTTGGCAAACCAAGAAGGAAGTGAGATCTTCAAAGAAACCACAACCAAAAAGCCAGTATTACGCTTTTATCTGATTTATGTTGCTTCCTCATCAAAAACAGACCTGGAGTTGTGTTTTATTTCATTTACAAATGATTAACACACAAACCCTGCGAAGTTAGACTGAGTTCTTCTCTCAGACAGAAAACATTCTATTAAGCCTTCATGTGGTAATACAGGAAGTGCTCCAGTGTGTTTTTAAACTCCACACGACTTCACTAGAATCACTAGAATCAATCACTAGAATTTGGAGGATTTCAACCTTGGAATTGCCAGTCTTTAAAAAACTTTAGATAAAAGGTAGCCGTTAACTTGAAAACTACCACTTCATGACATCACAAAGTGGAGCAGAGCATTTTGAGCTTTGGAGATGTAGACAGACTAATAATAAAGGGTTAATCAAACATACACATTGGCACATTCAGTCATCCAAATGATTCTAGTGAGTGTATAGAGTTTTAAACACAGTGGAGCACATGTTTTCTGTCTGAGAGAAGAACTCAGCTTAAATATAAAGAGATTGCGTGTTAAACAAAACACTAGGCAATGTTGGCCAAGTGTCTTGCCTAAGGACACAATGTCAGGAATCAATCTTTCTGTTCATTTGTTCTCAGCCTTGCCCTCGTTACTATAGTTTAAATAAAGTTAAAGTTGTTTTTAGAGAAATGTAAAAGGAAAAATATATTGTTGCCCCGATGTGTTAAATAAGGTTTTATCAGTGTCACATGACGTTTCTGCTTCTCAAGAATCCTCCGGCCCTTAGCCCCAGTTGACTGTTTATGCTAATATATGCTAATGAACCCTCTACCTGTGGATGATAATGAACCACAGAGGTCAAAGGTTAGAAGGGGGTAATTCACAGCAGAGACACAGCACTCTGTGTGTGGGTGACTATAGAAAAAGCTTATCATTAGTAGCTAGTGTACAAATAATTAACTTTTAAGAATCACTGGCTCCCTGCACACATATAACATCTGAGTTACTGAGTTGTTTAGCTCCACCTGCTGTTTAAAGCTGAGATTTCACCTGATACACATTAAAAAATGCAATTCAGAACTGATGTTTTTTTGTTGAAAATCAAACACCTAAACAAGACCATGAACCACCAATATATTGATCCATTTGAGTGTTTAAATCCATTTTGTATTTTTTGTTGAGTTTTCAGGCAATCTAAAAGCTTTTTGACAGTGTTTGCTAATGTGTGCATTGTGTCACCATGGTAACTCCTGAACATTCTGCCAATACATAATGATGATGTCTTACTCCCAGATGGGGACAGGAGTAAGGGTGGAAAGTAAAAAATTACATTTACTCACACTACTGTAACTGAGTAAGTCATTTGTAAAAAAAAAAAAAAAAAAAAAAAAAAGTAGTCTTTTTTTTTAGTAATCATTTTACTTTTATTTGTACATTTTGATGCAATGGTGGTTGCTATGGTGGTTGTTATGGTGGTTGTAATGATGGTTGTTATGGGGGTGGTTACTATGGTGGTTACTATGTTGGTTGTCATAGTTATGGTGGTTGCTATGGTGGTTGTTATGGTGGTTATGGTGTTGTTATCGTGGTTATGGTGGTTGTTATGGTGATTGCTATGATGGTTGTTATGGGGGTGGTTACTATTGTGGTTGCTAAGTTGGTTGTCATGAAGGTTATGGTGGTTGCTGTGGTGGTTGTTATGATGGTTGTTATGTTAGTTGTTATGGTGGTTGTTATGGTGGTTGTCATGGTGGTTGCTATGGTGGTTGTTATGGTGGTTGTCATGGTGGTTGCTATGGTGGTTGTTATGGTGGTTGCTATGGTGGTTGTTACAACCACCTTAGCAACCACCATAACAAACAAAACACCAGGATAACTACCATAATCACCATAACAACTACCATAGCAACCACCACAACAACCACCATGACAACCAATATAGTACCCACCATAGCAATCACCAGGATAACTACCATAATCACCATAACAACTACCATAGCAACCACCACAACAACCACCATGACAACCAATATAGTACCCACCATAGCAATCACCATAACCACCACCATAACAACCACCATAGCAACCATCATAACAAACAAAACACCAGAATAACCACCAGAATCACCATAACAACCACCATAGCAACCACCATAACAACCGCCATAGCAACCACCATAACAACCACTATAACAACCACTATAACAACCACCACGATAACCACCATAGCAACCACCATAGCAACTACCATAGGAACCACCATAGCAACCACCACCGTAACAACCCCTACAATAATCACCATAGCAACCACCATAGCAACCACCATATCAATCACCATAACAACCACCATAGCAACCACCATAACAACCACTATAACAACCACCATAGCAACCACCATAACAACCACCATGGCAACTACCATAGCAACCACCATAGCAACCACCACCGTAACAACCCATACAATAATCACCATAGCAACCACCATAACAACCACCATAGCAACCACCCTAGCAATCACCATAACAACCGCATTAGCAACCACCATAACAACCACCATAGCAAAGACCATGACAACCACCATAATCACCATAACAACCACCATAGCAACCACCATAGCAACCACCATAGCAACTACCATAACAACCACCATAGCAACCACCACCATAACAACCACTACAATAATCACCATAGCAACACCATAGCAACCACCATAACAACCACCATAGCAACCACCACCGTAACAACCACTACAATAATAACCATAGCAACCACCATAACAACCACCATAGCAATCACCATAACAACCGCAATAGCAACCACCATAACAACCACCACGATAACCACCATAGCAACCACCATAGCAACTACCATAGGAACCACCATAGCAACCACCACCGTAACAACCCCTACAATAATCACCATAGCAACCACCATAGCAACCACCATATCAATCACCATAACAACCGCAATAGCAACCACCATAACAACCACCATGACAACCACCATAACCACCATAAAAACCACCATAGCAAACCACCATAGCAACCACCATAGCAACCACCATGGCAACTACCATAGTAACCACCACCGTAACAACCACTACAATAATCACCATAGCAACCACCATAACAACCACCATAAGCAACCACCATAGCAACCACCATAGCAACTACCATAGCAACCACCATAGCAACCACCACCATAACAACCACTACAATAATCACCATAGCAACCACCATAACAACCACCATAGCAATCAACATAACAACCGCAATAGCAACCACCATAACAACCACCATAGCAACCACCATAACAACCACCATAGCAACCACCATAGCAACTACCATAACAACCACAATAGCAACCACCATAGCAACCACCACTGTAACAACCACTACAATAATCACCATAGCAACCACCATAGCAATCACCATATCAACCGCAATAGAAACCACCATAACAACCACCACGATAACCACCATAGCAACCACCATAGCAACCACCATAGCAACCACCATAGCAACCACCATGGCAACTACCATAGCAACCACCATAGCAATCACGATAACAACCGCAATAGCAACCACCATAGCAACCACCATGATAACCACCATAACAACCATCATAGCAACCACCATAGCAACCACCATGATAACCACCATAACAAACATCATAGCAACCACCAGCAACCACCGTAACAACCACTACAATAATCACCATAGCAACCACCATAGCAACCACCACGACAACCACCACGATAACCACCATAACCACCATAACAACCACCATAGCAACCACCATAGCAACCACCACAACAACCACCACCATGACCACTATAACAACCACATAACAACCACTATAATAATGTTTTGCATAGTTTGATTTTGGTTTAATTTTCAGTCTTTTTTTATCATAGTGTTGTGAGTTGGACCATATAATTCAGAATTTGTTAAATTGTTAATTTATTTAATTTGTAAAATTTGTTTGTTTGCAGTTGAAGTTCTAAGTTCTATAAAGTGCTCAGTGCTATAAGTGTTTGTAAGCTCAGTTGTCTTTAAAATGTAAAAAGTTTGCATTGAACTAACTCTGTATCACCTAAAAGTTTATTAAAACAACTTGTGTTGGATTAGATTTATGACTCATCCTTTTTTACATGAAATATTTGAAAGTAACTAAGTTCACTCAAATTTCATTTTAAATGAAGTACTTTTTTACTTTTACACAAGCAGATTTTTTTATGGTTACTTTTACTTTTACTTGAGTAGAAAGTAGCCAAAGTAAAGATACTTTTACTTAATTACAATTTTTCTGTACTTTTTCCACCTCTGGGCAGGAGACAGTTTTCTTTATTGATTACATTGTACTTTACCATGAAATATCCAAAGGTAAATGCACAATTGTTGAACCTGATCATTTCTATAAGCGACTAAAGCCAAGAACTCACTGCATTACCAAGAAAATCTGCAGTAAACAATATACATCTTAGCTGCTCCCCCATCTGTATTAAATAATATTGGTCTATAGAATATTGTGATATCATTGAAACTGACTTATACCTCCCCTCTTTGCCCCGTCTAGGCCCATTACTGTGTCCTGGAGTATGCAACGCCCCTACTCACCCTCCACAGCATGTCTCAGGACAGCAGCGCGGCGTTCGGAGAGCCTCAGAGGAGAGAGCAGGTCCTGCTCTTCTTCAGGACCCTCACAGACATCCTACAGCGCTCCCTGGAGTGTCGCAACAGATATACACTCGTCCTGCTCAACGGTGAGCACCAGAGCTGGGAATCACAGGGTCTCTCACCATTCGATACCATTCACGACACACGACTCACGATACAATATTATCACAATATGGTGGTACATAAGATAATGGTAAATGGTCACATTTTTCTATAGCGCTTTTCCACCTTCAAGGCACTCAAAGCGCTTTACAACAAGGAACCACTCACCCATTCACACACCAGTGTACACAGACACTGTGGGCAAGGTGGGTTAAGTGTCTTGCCCAAGGACACAACGACAGCATTCATCTGTGGGAGCTGGAATCACACCAGCCAACCTGTGGGTCAGTGGATCTGACCACTCAACCTGTGATGTTTATGTTGAGAGCTGGATTTGAACCGCCAACCTTCAGATCAGTGGGCGAATGCTCTACCAACTGAGCTACTGCCGCCCAATCTTTTACACATGATACTCTGATATACTACTGTTTTTTTAAGAATCAAATGCATTTTAACAACAATATGTTTTTGTTAAACCACTTCCTGTGCAAATTAAATATTAAAAAAAATAAAAATGTTGAGAAATACCCCAAAATTCTCTTAGTGATATAACGATACAACAGCCCACGATAACAGTATTGTGTCACCAAATGTTGTATCGCGATATACAGATATTTTGATATTTTTGCACACCTGTAGTAAGTGCCAAACAAGAAGGGGGTTTTACAAATGTTGCCACGATACTAAAACTTCAGACTCAATTTCAATAATAGGAACAGATTTGATACTCAATACCGATTCTGATACTTCAATGATAATATAGTAATAATCGACAATAGCTCAGTTGGTTTGTCCACTGATCTGAAGGTTGGCAGTTCAAATCTCGACGTAAACTTCATTGGTTGAGTAGTCACATCCACTGACCCGCCTGTGATTCCAGCTCCCACAGATGAATGCTGTTGTAGTGTCCTTGGGCAAGACACTTAACCCACCTTGCCTCCAGCGTCTGCGTACACTAATGTATGAATACGTGTGTGAATGGGTGAATGGTTCCTTGATCTAAAGCAACTTGATCTAAAGCAAGGTATAAAAATGACCATTTATCATAATAAAAACTCTTTCTTTAGACAATAGAAAGAGATTTTCAACATTAAATATTAGTACCAAAATCCAAATAAACTGTATTTATATGGCACATTTTATAAACAGAGCAATTTCTATAGTCAAAGAGATCATAAAAAGAAAACAAAAAAAGGCTAATCATACCAGTCCCAAAACAATAATAAAAAAAACTGTATAAATCAATAAAATCATCAAATTGCAATAAATAAGGTAAAATAAATAAAAGACACAGAGGACCACACAACTCATTACTTTGACAATAATCTTTCTCTTTCTCAGACGAACACAAAGGCGACCCTCACTATCTTTCCAAGTGCATTTTGGGACATCTGCAGCAACAGAACACAGAGGAGTACGCCATTCTGCCCCATCCCCAGCCAGAGCAGACCCCGCCCACTATCCCGGGGCAACAGAGGGGGGCATGGGGCGGGCACCAGGGGCATGAGGGGCTAATGTCTGACCCCAGCCTTATGTTCAGTGTGGACTCACCCAGGACTCTGAGGGGCCCGGTGGAGACGACTGACTACTCTAAATCCAGGCACAATGGGCACAGTTAAAGTGTGTATGGCACATGTCTATGATTCCTTAATTTTGACTTAATTTGGTGCGACTACAATTATTGTAAATGTAAAATATAATTTTATACCAATCATATCAAGAAAAGTTGAAAAATGTGGAAGAAAAGCTTTTTCTGTTACTTTAAACATTAATTCAACCAAATAAAGGTGTTTTCTTCTATTTCCCAGATTATAATTTCTGTGTACATTAAAGCAGTTTTTCTATAGCACAAATGGAATTCCCTATTGTAATTTCACAATTTTGTAAAATTCTAAACCTAAAAAAAAAATGGCCAAATTTGGTAAACAAGTGTGAATGCTTTTGCTAAATTCTTAAATATAATAATCTTAAGTGTGTTTTAGTAAAATGAGCAGTCTAACCTGTCATATGCTCTTTAAAATGCCATTATTACACTGTTTTCTGTGTAATGTAGCCAGTACATTACTTGGGCCTAGGGCTAAGTAAAGAGTGAAATAATGAGAAACAAAGTTTTAGAAATGTTTATTGAAAATTAGGTGCAGATGAAGTTACCAGAAAAAGAAAAGGAAATAAGTAAAAGTAAAGTGCATTTAAATTGTAAAAGTAATTCTAAAGTAATTGTACTTACCCTCTGGTGTGGTCTGCCTCAGGTGCTCCGGTCAAAAGAGTCCCCGGGGAGCCAGAGCACCTTAAGAAGGTTCCGGGGCAGCCAACCATGTGTTTGGAGGAGGGGAGCACAAAATTTTTACTTTTTCTATTTGGTATTTTAAAACTTACACTGGTAATTTAAATAAAGATAGACATATATTTTTGTAAGTAATATATAATTGGATATTGTTTGGGCACTGTTTTTGATAATTAGCTTTTAAATATTAAATGTAGAGTTATTGGAGTTACCTGCTCGTTATAGTGGCGTCTCCCAATTAGGACAGGGCCTTTAAAAGAAGCCAGCCTCACATTGTTCAGGAGAGGTGCTGTGTGAGCGCAGGTACTGCCATGCCTGTTTTATTTTTGGAACTTTTGTAAATAGTTTTTTTTGTCTTGTTGGGAATAAATGCACTGGGATCTGCACAGAAAACTGGCTCAACTTGACTCTGTTCCTCTTCAAACCGCTAAGGTTGCCACCAGGCTATTACATTCTGATTGTCATTGAGTGAAGGAACAAGGAAATTACAGTGAGCACCTTTGATGTACACACACACACAAAAACAAAACACAGACTCACTACGCCACATATGAAACACAACGTTTACGGCAGAGAATTATTATTACTTTTGTCTGTTATAATGTTGTTTCCTCATTAAAAACATAGCTGCGGTGTAAGTCCTAATCACACTGATATAAGAGAAGGTGAGCTTATAATATTTATAGTAGTAGGCCTAGTATTAGTATTATTGAACACTATTGTAGACTGTCCTAGAGTGTGTTTAGGGCCCTGTGTGTGGCACTTGTACAAAACATTTTCTAACATCAGAATCCAGAGGTGGGACTTGCAAGTCGTGACTTGGACTCAAGTCAGACTTGAGTCACTATTTTTAGGACTTGAGACTTGACTTGATAAAATGGACTAAGACTTGGGACTTGACTTGGACTTGAAGCTCAATGACTTGGGACTTGACTCAGACTTGAGGCCTGTGACTTGACAAAACCTGATGCTTCTCCAAAAAAAATTATATGTTTTTAGAAAATACTTTCCTCGTTTGAGTTGATAAACATGGTGCTTAATTTTACAGGAACAACCTGGAACATGTCCCTCTCCATTTGTTACTTTGGATGTAACTGAAGTACTGTGATATGGTACCTCAAATGTACTACAGTAATACACAGTACAACACAGTAAAACAGAGGGAACTACATAGAACATGATCCTTCCATTTCAGTGCAGACTACATGACAAAATAACTGTTATTTAGCACTTGCAAAATCTGAATTATTTCTGTTCTGACTGTAAAGATTCACACTAAGAACTTGTCAAGACATTTAAAAAGGAAATATTTTGATTTCTACAACTCTTATATAAATATTCATAGATAAACATAACATTATTTTATTAGTTTAGTTATATAAATTGCAAAAATCTAACCTATATTTGGTTTGGTTTAAAGACTTGAAGTGACTTGAAGCTCAAAGCAGATGACTTGGACTTGATATGGACTTATGGGCCAGCGACTTGAAACTCAACTTGGACTTGTCTGTATTTGACTTGGAACTTGACTCGGACTTGAGGTCAAAGACTTGAGACTTGCAAAACAACAACTTGGTCCCACCTCTGTCAGAATCCATAAATGTTATCATACTGTTATATTCAAATGTATTACAGATATATTTAGTGCAGATGTTGATCACTTAATCACTTGAACCCGAGTGGCAGTGAAGAGCCGGAGAGTCCCATGTCAGATTTGGCTTAGGGCCCCCTGGATGTTAGATGTGGCTCTGCACACGGCCCCTTTCATGATCCCAGATGCTCCACCTGCAGTCTGCCCTGGTCGGTCAGGATCAGACGCAGGTGTTTGCAGGGCTGGATCTCGTGGTTCTTAGTGTCCCACACAGGCGTATTCTTCTTCATGTACATCACCAGGTTTGTGTCTGACTGCAGAATAATGCGATATGGGTCTTTACCGACAGTGTTAGTTGCCCAAACTGGACTCCACTTGTACAGAACAAAGTTACCTGCAGAAACAAAACGTCATAGCCTTTAAAATGTGTTACCAATGGATGATGAAGAAACATTAAATTAAATAGTAGTATCATAACAAAACAAAAATATCATTTAATTTAACTGATTTATTCTATTTTTATTTGAACTTTTTAACTTTTTCGAGTGGTACTGGCATCTTGGTTCTTTGAAAGGAAGGTTTTCAGATTGATTTAACTGAAATATGACAGGAGCCCTCTCACCTGGAACACAGCCTTGAAATTCCTGTTGTTACTGATGAGACTGTCCCCAATGCGTAGCTCCTGGTCAGTGCTGATGGAGGATTTACTCATGATCCTGAAAAATTCATTATTAGTCAGTTGTGCTACAAACAAAAGGCAACCCACTGTTCCCTAAATCTGAAGTGTGTCTGAAAGAGCTGGTGTTCTCTCACCTGTCGAGTCAGGACCCTGTCCGAGCTGCAAATACACACAGCTTTTATAGAGAAATCAAACCAGGGCAGGTTGTTGATTAATTCAGGTGCATATGACAGATTTGGCTTCTCTTTCACATAAGACAGCAAATGTAATTAAAAATTATATTTAATATTTAACTAAAGTGCTTAGTTTTCCTTTTTTTTTATGTGGGTGAAGTTAATAATTTGATTTCCTTGTTAGACTCGGGCAGCACATGTATTACCTCAAAGATAAGAAACTCTCATTTTCAAGGCAAAACAGTTGCCCATAAGTTTACTGACAGTCTGAGCTAAAGGTCAATGGTGAATGACTACGTTCACAAAAACCACTTCTTTTTTGATTATCAGAATGCTTATAAACAAGAACACTCAAGTGTGACGGGGATGATCCAAATAACTGATGACTGGGTCAGATAAATGGAGGAAAGGAGAATGGTTGGAAGAATTCTATTTGATTATTCAGCTGCTTTTGAAGCACTCAGTCATCAACGCTCCTGGAAAAAGTTAAGCTTTAGACAATACAACATTATTGTGGTTCAGAAGTTATTTGAGTGCGAGAGTGCAGTCATAACATATGGTGTTCCACAAGGCAGCTGCCTGGGACTCTATAATATTTACACTAATGAAATGCCTTTTGTTTTTAAGAAATTTAAAGTTATTATCTTTGTGGATGATTCTTCTCTTACACACAAACCATACTCAGAACCCAGAGGTGGGAAGAGGAGCCAAACGTACTCAAGTAAGAATAACGTTACCTCAAAATAATATTACTCAAGTAAAAGTAATGGTCTTTATTAATTATTCAAGTAACAGTATAAAAAGTATTTGGAGAAACTACTACTCAGAGTATCAGAGTAATTGTCAGGACATAACCTGATTTATAATGTAATGCAGCAGGAAGCCTTGGGGCCAACAAAAGTCAGTCTGAGGGCCGCATTTAGCCCCCAGGCCTTCTTTTATACATGCCCAAGAGAGGCTATATTTTTATTTTGTTGTTATTTTACAGTAACAGTCAAATTGTAAAACAAAAACATGTCATAGGTTTGTTTTAAGAAGGTTTGAAGGATACTGTTAAATAGTGAGTCATTTTCAATTTGAGTGGCGCGGTCTGGCCTGGGAGTTGACCCCACAACCTTAATGTGAAGTGTGAGTGATAGCCCATGGCCACTGTGATGATCGTGAATATGTTTTGTCATATTTTGGCAGTGGCAGCTCATCTTTTATTTGATTTAAAGAGAGATCTGACTTCCCTGTGTGTGATTCTACACTGCAGCCACTAGGGGTCAGGTTTGATGAACTGACGGCTCCTGTCAGGCTGATTCAGCACTTATTGGATCTGCTCTCACCTCATAATGTTAACATGAAGTTTATTAATACATTTTGGGATTCAGCAGTTTGCAAATATGTCTTAAACGTCAATATCTGTAAGCAAACAAAACCCTAAATGGAACTCAAACTTTTTACACTTCCTCAAACTCAAACTTTTTAACATCCTCGAAATAATAACTGCAAAATGTGAAATTGTGCAATTTTTGTGCCATCTTTGATTCTGTTGACTACAGCTATCTATAAATGTGATGTCTATGTGAGGTTTTGGATGAATAAACAAACTGCTGTCACAAGGCATACCTGAGGGAAGGCTGTGTCACGTGCACATTCTAATGCCCCCTCCACACTCCTCCTCATGCACACTCATTTACATGCACATTCATTCTTGTGTAGGGTGACCAGATGCGCCTGTTAACCCGGGGACAGGGCCAGTTTTGAGTCCAGCGTCCCCTGTCCCAGCAGATTTATCCAAAACCACTAATTTGTCCCAGTTTTAGACAAGAAATGTTCCTGGTGTCTCTATTTTTGACCAATCTGATCCCTGCCAACAGTAAAGAGAGGCATGCATTGTTATTTGTTTAGGTAAAATATAGAAAAGCTGCTTAAAAATGACCAAAGCACAAAGAAAATGTGACTATACTGACTCACTGAGAGTGCAGAACAATTTTCCTTATTTAAGCACTTGTTTCACAATTTTATTATTACCAACCAACCCAGGGATACCAAAAATAGGGATGTCCCAGCTTTTTATTTTGAAAAATGTGATCACCTTAGTCTTGTGCACACTCTGCTTCACGTGCACACTCCACCTCTGAAGTTGCATCAGGTGGGTAAACATCAGGCTGGTAACATTTGAAATATGCAAATGATCAAAACAAGGGAGGTGTTGTTTCAAAGCAGAATACCGAAAACCTGCTGCAACAAGAAAGAGAGCAGAGGCCAGATCCATATTAAAATGTACATTTAAAGGTGCACTGTGTAACATTTCTGGTGGGGGAGTCTGGCGTATGCTTGTCCCGATGGAGATACTGTTACGACATTAAACTTATCTATCTTATATTCAATTGATTACAAATCTGTTATTGCTAAAAGCTTAATGCCATTTTGTGGAGAATTCCATGGCAATCACATGGAGACAAGTAGAAGGCCAACGCTCCACCAGAAAAGTTCCATAGTGAAGCTTTAGTTCGAGTTGAAAGCTTGATAATAAATGGTACAAACTTTTGTGGTGATAGTTCTGTTTTGCATCAAAGTTTGTGGTCAACATTGTAAATAAGAATGTTCAGATTTTTTACGCCTGCTCGTGCGTGTGTGTTTTCCTCTGCAAAAGTTACTTCGCTGCTACTAGTTAAGAGGGATTCAAAACAACAAAGCAAAACCAGATGTCCCTATTTACCCAGGACAGTCCCAGTTCCAGGCCCTGCGTCCCCTGTCCCATGGATTTGTCCAAAACAATTGATTTGTCCCAATTTTATACAAGAAATGTCCCCAGTGTCCTTATTTTTGACCAATTATACCTGCTTACAGTACAGAGAGGCATACATTGTCCTTTGTTTAGGTAAAATACAGAAAAGCTGCTTAAAAATGATCAAAACCCAAAGAAAACATGACTTGTTATAAATAAGTCTTGAATGGGCCGAGTGCAGAACAAATTTCCTTAGTTATCCACTCGTTTCACAGTTTTATTATCACAACCAAGGGGGTATCTCTGTTTTTGATTTTGAGATTCTGGTCACCCTAAACACAGCTGTGCTTTCAGTTAGCATCACACCCCCAGAGAATATTGATGATATCAGCTGCAAAGTATCTACACTTTATCTGTTTTTGCAAATGAACTGCAACTGTTTATCTTGATTTTGTAGTATCCGTAAACACCAGTTTGAAGTTATCAGAAGTACAGGATAAGATATGGCTCCACTCCTTTTCCTCCTCCTCCTCCTCTCCACACGTGATGTTTACTTCAGATGGTTGAAGACAAGGTTCCTCATGTGAGTTCAGCTCCTTCAATAACAGCAGAATGTGAAACCTGTTTGACCTGTTCTAGGATCACACCACTGCACTGCAGAAAATAACTCACAGAACGGATGAACCCTCTTGGATCAGATGGCAACTTAAAAAAAAACTTTGTTACTATTATGATAAATAAATATGCATTATTTAAAGTAGCTGTACCAGATTTTTTTTGCAGTGATCCAAAGTTATTCCTCACTTACCTTATGCATTCAGAGCGTCCTAATTATTCACTGGGATGAGTTTATATTTGTTTTTCAACTCTCAAAGAGCAGAATTTTGCTGACATGGAAAACCTAAGAACACACACTACCTGATTATCAGACAGTAAAGAGCTTTATAATGAGATATTTTAAAATGAGCTTAAATAACAAAAAATAACAAAGGTGAACAATATTAAAGGTCCACTGTGTAACTTTTCTGGTGGAGGGTCCTCTAACTGCTTGTGTCCATGCAGACGCTGCGCTGAATTAACCTTATTTACCTCCATGTTGGTTACTGATCAGATCTGTGGAGAGGTGACCCCACTCACGCAGTAATAATCCACATTTTCAAGGTATTTTTGAGCAATAAAAACACACTAACAAATGCATAGATAAAAATGTAATACCAGATTGTGTAGTGATCCAGGCAAGGCAAAAGCATCTCCATGGAGACGATGGGTTTCATTCACACATGTTTAACTCACAAACCCTGCATAGTTAGGCTGGATTTGTCTCTCAAACTGAAACACTTTCTTCCACCTTGTGATGTCATGTGGTAATACAGGAAGTGCTCCATTGTGTTTTTCAACTCCGTTACACCTTCACTAGAATCATTTGGATAATTTCAGTTGTGGAATTGTCGATCTCTACTGAACTAAAGGTAAAAGGTAACTGTTAACTTGAAAATTAATAGTTCATGACATCACAAGGTGGAAGAGAGCATTTTGAGCTTTGGAAATGCAGGAACACTCATGTAAGAATGAAACAAAACACAACTCAAGGTATGTTTTTGAGGAGGCAACAACATTATAACTTGTATATTATAACTCAATTTTACATAATATGGGACCTTTAATCTCTAAAAGAAAATTGAACAACACTGAACACAATTATATCAAACCAGCCAGTACAAGTATGAAAAGTAAAAATGCATATATGACAAATATGTAATTAAAAGGTGTTTCACATTAAGTGGAGTATCCTTTTTTTCAGTGTACATTTACTGATGCATTAGCAGTAAACTGGGACAGGGAAGAAGTGAAGGAAGTAGGACAGTAGTTTGTCACTGATCGACAGCTCGGAGTTGACACGGTAACAGAGAGAAGACAAGATGCCCTTGAGACAAAAAAAAAAAAAAAACATGGAAAAATATGCCCCTGTTTCAACACGACTGTAATAAATATATCTACACCGTTTCAACATACATCAGAGCAGTGGCAGTTTTAGGTTAACTCTCCTGACCTAAATCAGACTCACGTTTTGGGGATTTTTGCCATATTATAATCTCAAAATATTCAAACCCTCCTTGTTTATTTTCTGATCCGTGTTATAATGTTGTTTCCTCATCAGAAACATACCCGGTGATGTGTTTTGCTTCATTCAAACGTTTAACACAAACCCTGCATATTTACGTAATCTGAGTTCCTCTCTCAATCAAAAAACACTCCGCTCCACTTTGTGATGTCATGTGGTAATACAGGAAGTGCTCCACTGTGTTTTTAAACTTCATATGCCTTCACTAGAATCATTTGGATCATTACAGTTTTGGAATTGTCAGTCTCTACTGAACTAAAGGTAAAACATAGCTGTTAACTTTAAAACTACCACTACATGACATCACAAGATGGAACAGAGCATTTTGAGCTTTGGAGATGTAGACAGACTAATGATAAAGAGTTACTCAAACATGTGTGAATGAAACAAAACACAGCTCTGGGTTTGTTTTTGAGAAGGCAACAACATTATAACATGGCTTAAAGCTTACAAGAATCCAATTTGTGTAATCCTTTTTCATGTAGTCCTATATTAGTCCTGGTTAGGCCCAAGTTTAGTCATGGCGTAGACCTGGTTAAGTCCTGGTTTAGTTCCAGTTTTGATGCACTGTAGGCAGTCACAGCCTATTAGATTCATCTTAACTCTGAGCTTGAAGCTATTGTTTTAGCCTTATTTAGACTGCTTTACCTCTCATCACAGCAACATAAATCCCTGGACTCACAGATGGTATCTGGTATTTTATTTTCAGTTGTAAAGACTATGTCCAAGTATATCCAAAAGCAAGGTTATAGTGGGGGTCGTGGTGCAGTGCAGCAGAGCTGCGTGTAGGGAATGAGTAAAGCTATTGTTTAAGGTTCAGTAAGGTGCTGTTATTGGCGGCACTTTGCGGTGCCGCACTCACTGGTGGAGGCACAGTCTGCAGCGATGAGCCCGATGTCTCTGGAGATGACGAGAGCTTTGAGCAGAACTGAAACAGAGCAGTGCCCTGGAGACTGGGGTGAATGCTACTGACCAACACATCAGCCAATAAAACTGATGATTCAAATAAAGTCACTTTAATTATTAGACTTTGTACCTACTGAATGCTATGTTTAAACTTCACTAGGTAACACAGACTAATTTACCTTTGCTAGCGTTTTTGAATGGAATGGGGCCTGTGGTACATGTTTCTAGAGATAGGGGAAACTGAGAGAAAAACAACTGTGTCATTATTTACATGCTGTTTTTACTGGACACTGTTAAGACAGAGCGTCATTGGGGTGACAGACTGAGAATAGAAATTTTGGCAATTTTAAATACATCTTTTATTGTGTTGGACACTGTTAAGCAAAAAGAACAAAAGAACATTTACATCATGTGCAGCACAATCCAACAAAAGACAAGATACACAGCAACAAGTGGAGTGTTAAAATTGACTCTCACAGAATCAATTTTAACATTTTCTCTGAGTTTATATGAAACCAATCTGTTCTAGAGTTAATTTAACATTTTTGGAAATGTTAATTAAGTAACACTGGACCAAAGTGCCTGTTTAACCCCGAAATCCAGAGTTATATTAACGTTTTGAGAGTAAACAGATAACACTTTTTAGAGTTATCCTGATTTAGCTAAACAACACACAGAGGCGTTTTATTTTATTTTTACTTTATTTTAGTTCATTTAAGATGAAATTATGTACAAAACTGGTTCAAACTGGTCTTCTCTCACAAGAGTTTGAAGTGGTGAATGGGAGGAGCCAAATTAACACTAAGAGAAGTTGAATTAACACTAACTATTTACATGGCAAATTTAACAGAAGAAATACTTGAAATGAATTTAATAAATAAATATTATTGCACCACTTCTCCATTTACTTTGTCGTTGTCCTGAAAAACACAGCCTGACTTTAGTGTTTGACCAGGGTCCGTTGTGCATTGATATAACAGAACCTAGAGGTATAAGGTTTAGTTTCCATGTGCAGTATGTTACCTGTTGGGAATCATCCCGGCGCCGCAGCTCCGCCTCCAACACACTGTAGAAGTCATCCTCTGCACGGGCCATGAGCTGCTGCACGCTCTGAGTATCAGTGCCATCATTGGAGTCACGTCCTGCGTCGCTCTGCTCCGATCGGCTGCGTTCTTTCAAACGCTGCTCTCTCTGTCGGGCCTCCAGGATTTTCTCACGCTTGGCCTCACGCTCAAACATCTACATACAGTATCACATGTAGTCCATGAGTATGCACGTGCAATAAGCCCTCGGCAAATGCCTGTAGTACTCACAGCAGCCAGTAGGCTCTTGTCGTTCTTCTGCAAAGTAGACAACCCTGAGCAGAACTCCAGTAGTGTAGCAGAGCCCGCCTGAGAGCCACATGCCACCAAACGGCCACTGTCCTGAATCCGAAGGCAATACAGGGGCTCGTCACACACCTGTAGAATAAAGACATGGGTGTCATTTGACACTGATGAGGGTGACTGTGACAGTGCTGGTGCCCACCTTGAGACTCAGGGTGGGGTCATTCTGCTTAAACAGAACATCCCACACATCCAGCACACCATCCATCTTTGAGGTGAGGAACACTGAAGGCCGCACGGGGCTCCAGCATGCGTCTGTCACGTAGGACATCTGATACCTGAGCACAACATGCACAAGTTCTACACCCGGGTTTGACAAGAAGGACAGAATAGGCCCTACTTATGCTTTATGCTCAAGCAAGAAGTATATGTTTTGTTGCTATGTATATGACACATGTGTTCATCAGACCATGTGTTTGGTATATGATGTGTTATAAATTCTCTTTTGGCTGACTATATTAAGAAATCTGCCCTCCTCTAGTGGAGCGTACCTGGTCCACATGATGGCCGAGTCCCGGATGTCCTCAGACCAGATGCGTGCGGCCCAATCTCCTGCTGTCAAGAAGTTTTTGGGGAAGAAGGGGTTGCGATGAAGAGCGTGTACAGGGCCATGATGACCCTCGTATGTGCACACTATCTTCTCTGCAGGGGTCTTTGCCTTCCTGTTACAGGACAGCACCACACCCTGCTCTGTCCCCACCATGAACTTAGTGGGCTGAGACCAGATAAGAGACGTATGGGGTCAGTAGGAGAACTAAGCAAATGTAGGGTTTAAAGATGACTAAAGCCAGGATAAAACAGGCCTCAAGACTCACCATGGTAGGTTCATACTCCAGACAGATAGCACCTAAAGCTCGCTCCAGGTTTCCTTCTCGGGCTGGATCCAAGACAAGACGTTCAGTGGGCTCACTCAGTTTTCGCACGTCCCACCAAAGCACCTGAATGCAGAGACTGCCATTGTCATTTCTTTAAGATTTTGACTGACATCAAAGAGTAAAAGCCATTAAAGTAAAATAATGATTTTGAAAGCTAGCACCCTTCCAGATATTTTCATCAACACAAAACATTTCAATCTGATTAGAGATTTATGCAATTTGAATTCTTTTATAACCTGGGTTCAAACATCTCAGAAACCATCTCATATTATAGCAATTATTTAAATAAACAATCTCAGTTAGGATCAACTAATAAATAAATAAGTAATAAGTGTCTTCCTTGCTCAATATAATCTCACAATAACATCTGCTAATCTTCTGTCAAACATATCACCTTATGCTTTTATTGTCCTTAAAAAGAACCTATACTGTAAAACAATTCAAAGATGATGAATATCTTATCTAAAGACGAAGGAACTGGATAGAAGTGGAGTCACTGAACAGGTACAAACAGGCACAAACCATTACATGGAGGGCATTTTCTAAGACAAATACTTTATTGGTGTCATATTTGATGCATTGTACACAAATGGCCCAGGCTTCTAAAAATCAGATATCATGGATCTGGCTGCACCAAGGAGACGACATTTGGAAACACAAATAAACATTTCCTTGACCTTAAAACCCTTTGCAATACACAGAGGAACAAACAAACTGAAATAAAGTAAAATTAAGATGGAGGCACTGCATCGTGGGTACCTGTCCGTCTGTGGAAGCAGAGAATGCATCTGTCCCGGTTTTGGATTGGAGCCAGATGATCTTATAAACCGGGTCTCTGTGACTGTGCTCCACCGAGGAAAGCTCCACAGGCTGGCTGCCGCGCCGAGTGTCCCAATATGCTTTAAAACCACACCAAGAAAAACAGAGTGTCAAGCTTTAACTCTCAAAACAAACAAACAAAATAGAACACTACATTGAGACTTAGGTTTGAGTGAGTAAACTCACCAATCTGTCCACTATAGGTGCCTCCAACCAGTGTATGGGGGTCTTTGGGATTGTACTCAATGCTGACGAGAGGAGACACTGGCTTCAACGTTAACTCTGGACGATTTGGGTTTTCTGTTATAAACAATAAATAAAAACATATTGATGAACTGTATAATTTTATGTCATTTCATAATGTTTTGCTTTTGGTGGCGGAAGAAAAGAGAAAAAGATTTACTGACCAATATCCCAGATGTAGGAGTCTTCACACATGTTTGAGTGTGAGGTTTGGAAGTGTAGACAGGAGTAAGCACCTGCCAACTTTTTCCCTCCATCCGGGTGCCATGACAGGCACGTGACTGTGCGCTTCACCTCGTTTGGGTCTCTGGTGGAATACAGTGCGTGGTTTGTATGTAATTATAAATGATTACTGTTTCTGAGGTATTAAAAAAGTGACACAGACCTAAAAACATTGATGGTTTTGGCAGATGGTGGTTCAGTGCACTCCCCCTCGTCCTCCTCAGTGAAGTACTCTTGGTAAATATCCAAAGCGTTGTTCTGCTGGATACAGTGCACCATGACCTGTCATGAACACATAAAGCACAAGCTTCATTTAAAGGAACAGTATGTAGCCTATAATATTAGTTTTAAAAAGGCATTACAATCAAAAGTGAACCCAAGTTGCCAGTGCTTCAACTTGCACCTCAGTTCAAACTCAGAACCTCCAGACAGAGGCTGCACTAGCATTGACTCATGACTGTGTGTCTGGTTTAGGTAGAGAGGATTCAGATTAGAGATTTTAGGTTTAGACCAACTGGATTTCAGCATTAACCCAAATAACAATTGAGAACCAAAATACTAAATTTTAACATAAACAATGATTTACAAACATGATTTATAATACATCAGCATAACAATTGTTACCAGTAAGATCTATAATTGATTTGCACCTTTTAACTGTGTATGTGGGGACACAGATGGGTCATGTTTATGGTATTTAAAATGGCCAACAGTATTTTTGACATTTGACAGTTGTTTCATTATTGCAAAATCAATGCCAACTCTGGTAGTCTATATTGAAAATGACACAGTGGACAGAGGAATGATTTTTAATATGGGTATGCAATGAATCACAGTAGAAAAAAGCCCCAGTGCATTATGGGTATGATCTTACACTGCCCAGCTGTGGGATGCTGTTTATAAAGCCCTCATCCTTCTCCACTTTCTTGCGGAAGCGAATGGTCTGTTCCATCTCGTTGGGGTCCACGTCTTTAGGCCAGCCCCCCTCCGTGTGGTTCACCCCTCTGCTCTCCGTCTCAAAGCGCTCAGTGTTCACCTACACGTGAATGACATTTTAAACATTCAAAACACTCCCTAAATATACTTTAAATGCTCTCTCTGACAAAGTTTATAAAAAAAAATTAAGTTCTTTGGCAACTCATCATTTTCATCATGATCCATCTAAGTTCTCTTATACATGATACATGATTGGTCTTACTTTCTTATGGCTTAGATGGGATTAAAGATAAATACAGGTTAGGTTACTACTTAGACACAGGCAGAGCTTTAGAACTTTAGAACTTACTGCTTAGTGGGCTACTTCCTGTATTTTTGTACTTTTCAGCACAAACTGCCACATAACTGATTTAAAACTATGATAAGTAGTTACTCTCAACATTTTCTTTTTTTTTTTTTTTTTGCCTCCATAGTACATAGTCTGCAAAAACATTGAAATGCTAATAGCTAAAACAATAATAAACAGAAGCTTAATCTTCTGAGCATAAACTCAGTGTGCCAGTTGCGTTTTCATACTAAATCATAATGTTAGCTAGCTGAGTTTATTTTTATTTGTTCTTGTTTGGGTCATTCTGAATATATATCTTTTAAACACTTGACACGTGGTTTTGTGGAGTCATCTGGGCTTTGTTTAGTGTTTGTGTTTGTTACCTGGTGCTCGGACATGTCGCTGCGGGCCTGACTGGCCTGGTCCCGGTGTGTGCGGAGAATAAACTGCGCGCTGAGGCCCGGGTCCGGTAACAGGTCCAGGGTGAGCTCCGGGTCGCGGTCAGAGAAGCGACAGGGCCGCCCAAAGTCCTTGCGGAGGCGAGTGTAAACGTGGGAAATCTCCATCATGCGCGATTTTCCTTGAACACTTTCCCAAACTGCTGCGTCCAGCCGTAAAGCTTACCGTATCCTAGCAACGACCCCCATTCAAACAAACTTTATTAGTCCATGACCGCAAACAGTTTTTTTTTTACACGATACTTTCATAAGGAATAAGGAATTATTTCCCACAAGGAAATTAAATTATAACATTACAAGACTAAACCAGTCATTCTCAAATCTTTCACACCAAAGACTACGCCATTATTAGAGAAGTTATAAACAAAAACTAACCCAAAAGAGGATAAACAACATTAAGCAAGCACATGGAGATGGCGGAGTCTGGAGAAGATGTCATCTAAATCATAAAAACCCTCTCAGCTCTTGGGTTTTCTCAGCATGGTTGTAAATAAAAAATATTTCTTATCATATGTTTAAAGGTAATAAGACAGTAAATACTTAGAGCAGATAAATAGCAGCAAGATTATTGGGGTAAAGACAGGCAACAAATGATGTTCTTTCATTTCTTTCTTTCTTTTCTTTTTATCAGATAAAGATTCTGAAAGTGATATGTTATTTTTAATAAGTCATTTTTGTTACAAAATTCTTTCCTGAGATCATAATTAGGATGATGTGAAGTATGGTTGTTAAAGGTGCTCTGTGGGCCTCATCTTCATGGTGATGCTCAGGTTCAGTGGTCATGGTGTTTTGCGGCCGCAGTGCTACTAGCTGTGCTGGATGCTGCTGTAGTCACTGCAGAGTAAACCTGTAACTACAAGCAGTTACTATATTTTTAATCACAGTGTAACCACATTCGTGGAGATCAGTACTCTAGAGTGTATAAATAAGTGGACTAAGGGAGTGTGATGTCAGCCATAGTGTTCAGCTCCAGTCAAATGAAGCTCATGAGGCTAGCAGTTATAAGGGAGAATACATAATCAAGTTTAATAGGAATAAGAACTGATTTATGATCAAAATAACAAAATAAAACCTTTATTTAAAGTCTCCAGGGAAACATCACCCTTCACAGGGAAGCATAATGCACCTTTAACCACTCTCCATGTACTAGGTTAGTGACCTCATGCCCACAGTGTAATTCCGATCCATGGTAATTCCCCTAAGTTTTGCCACACCACAGACTTACTTCCTGTTCCTGGTCAGGTCTGGTGTGTGATTGGTTGGGAGTGATGATGTCAAACTCAGCAGATTTCCACAGAGTAGAAGAAGAGATAACAGCAGTGTGGCTCTTCAGTGACGTCAGATCACTGTCTCAGGATTAGTCACTTTATGGTTCTCAAGAAGTACAACATTTCTTCATCTAAAATAGATTTAAGGAGAACTAAACATGTCACTAGCAAATCGGTTTCAACTGGCACAGTGTCAGTGCTTTTAATAGCTTACATCTTACTGTATTATATTAAAAAAAAACATTAAATTCTTCAAATAATTGTCACATTTCTTTAAGTATTTTGTAATTTGTTATAGTTTATGGTCTATGGTGATAATACAAAAAACATAGGTGATAAGATGTATATTATAATAGCATTCATTTGATTCATTTTATAGTTTATATAGTTTTGAATAAATGTAACTTTTCTGTTGGGGGTCAGAAAATGCTGGTCTTCACGGATATATTATTAGACCTAACATTTACTGGTGTTTTTATTGTAAGAAAATACACACTGAAAAACTTGTGTTCTTTCTGTGAGCATCTACACAGATCTGTCAGCAGTGTTACCAGTTGGTTTCTATGGAGATACAAGTTTTATGCCATACGGTGGAATATTCCAACATTCCAACATTATAACATGACTTAAAGCTCACAAGAATCCATTTTGTGTAATATAGGATCTTTAATCTCACAATGAAAATCTAACAAGAATACATTTTTATCAAACCAACCAGTAATAAGATGAAGTAAAAATAAATTACATACTTAAAAAGAGTTATATTCCACAAATTAAGGTATACATATAAAAATAAAGTACTAAAAATATCTCTCTTTCTCTTTTCTCCACCTCCCTCTCTCCCTCTTTCCCCTGAGGTCTTCCAGGTGCAGTCTCTTACTCACCTTTGACTCAGTTTTGTGACTCTGCATGTCTCACTTTAACTCTGTATTTACAGAGAACACATGTTTAAACAGAGGAAACACGAGGACAGAGCTTTTCCTCCTGGAGCAGTCCACACCTGTTGGACCAGCTTTTACATTAAACAGAAAATAAAGTCAGTTCCTTTCCTGAGAAATATACAAACATACAATGCGATCAAACAAACCGGTTTGAAGTAGGCCACTGTTTCTCAAACTGGTTCTCAGCTCCTTCTTGGACAGTTCTTCTCTCAACTCTTTTTTTTTTTTTTTTGTCTTTCTTTGCATTATTTCTTGTTTCAGACTAGAGTGATGAAATGATGTAGTCCACTTTGAGACCTGGTTTGTCCTAGATTAGACCTGGAATAGTCCTGTTATAGACCTGGTTTAGATCTGGTGCTACTCTGAAAGCCAAAAAGTCTTTACTTTGTTGGTACTTTGTGTGAAAAATTTGACAACCACTGGGCTGAACCTGATTATGTTACAGTGATTTCCATTGGAGTATTATGTATTCATTTAATTCAACATGCAACAAGAACAAATTTTAACATCTTTGTCCAAATTCAGATTAACTTTATTTATATAGTACATTTTATATACAAAATTAAAAACTAAATATAGAAAGCAAAATAATATAAAACTATGAACAAATAAATAAATCATATTTAATATTTATTTATTTTATTTATTCCATATTTTACCAGGTAAGTCAGTTGAGAACACCTTCTCATTTGCAATGACGACCTGTCCAAGAGGCAGGATAAAAGAGAAGCACTAACAGAAAACACTCACACATCAACCATAACATGAAACTGTGAATAGAGATGTGAGACAGTGAAACATTTGCAGATTAAAGATATAAACGTGTTAAAAGCATGGGTAATGATCCTGTAAAATACTCTGGATGGAGTGTTTAAAAGTTGACAGAACAGAAAAACAAACTAAGTTTGTAAGTGTGTTGAAGGTGGTTCCAGGTACTTGCTGCAGAGAATTGAAATGAGGAGCGGCCAAAGCTGTGCAGGCTTTATTTGAAGGTGCACTGTGTAACTTCTTGATTGTTGATCTGCCACATGATTGTTTCTATGGAGATGTCATTGCTCTGCCTGGAATGTTCCACAGTATGACATTAAACAGTTTTACCTTACATTTATTCAATTGCAGGTGTTTTATAGTTCCAAAATACCCAGAAAAACAGACATTCTGACTGTGAGCGGGACTACCTCTCCACAGACCTGACCTGTAACTTGGTCTGTTTTGATAGAAAGGTTTAATGCCATGTTGGAGAAAAACATTTGATGGACAATCCACCAGAAAAAATACACAAAGCACCTTTAAATTGAATTAAATACAAACATATATACCTCTTTGTCTTATTATGTTACCACTCAAACAATCCATATTTGATTTCCCATTTTTTAAATTAAGCTTCTGTGTCCATTATAAATATCTCTCTTTTCTTTTTTAACAAAAAAAACATGAACATTTTAAAGGCCCATATTGTAATGGAGATGTTATTGCTTTGTCTGGAATATTTGATAGTATGTCATTAAACCTTTCTATATTCATGGAGACCAACCAAACCAGACCAAGTTACAGGTCAGATCTGTGGAGAGGCGACACCACTCACAGTCAGAATATCTGTTTTTCTAGGTATTTTGGAGCAATACAAGCACCTGTAACTGGATAAATGTAAAGTTTAAAGTGTAATGTCATACTGTGAAACTTTTATGTATGTATATCAAGCTTTTTGCATGTTTTTCCAATTGATTTTTTTTTTAAACTACAAATGAAATAAACTCACCTAACCCCTTCTTCCTACCAGAGAAATTATTTGGACACATGGACTGCTCTAACCCCATATGACCTGCAGAAGAAGAAGAAGGAAAACAACATCTACTTTAATTAATATAATGTTTGTCATGAGAAGAGAACATTTAGAAGATAATTTGCCTGTTGTGTGACGCCTGGAGGAAGAGCAAATGAATGGGAGGATACAGCCATAAATTCAATTGTGTTAAGAGTTCTGCTGCGTCACTGTGATTGGACGAAAACTGGTTCTCTCTGGATTTCTGACTATGCATAAGTGCTGTCAAAAGTATCGAAAAACAGATAGAGTGCTAAAACTAGAATCGAAACTAGAGATGCATTTGAACAGGTATCAATATTAAAAAATCACATTCACAGGACAAAAATTAACCTTTCCTGAAAAGCATTAGAATGATCTTGAGCTGTATCAGAGCGAGTTTAAGAGCACATAGGCTGGTATACGCACATGGACTACTAGCTTGATTCAACAGCTGGTTTCACTTTGTGGAAACCGTCTGACCTCGCAGCATTAGAATTCAATCACCCGACAGTAGGCAGATACTTTTTTTAATTTAACTAATCGCTATTTGGTAGTGACGTATGTAATGTGCCACTCACGGGGCTAACTGGTATAGTAAGCTTTTCCCAAATCCCTAAGGGCAATAATCTTTCTCCTTGATAATATTCAACAAACATTCTCTTTGTTCTGGTTTTAAATCCTCAATCTCGGGAATTGTTGCCAACACTGAATATGGCTCTTTGCTGATTGGCTTGCACTTCCAGGGTTCTTGCAAACCGTCTAGTGTATTCTGATTCCTGACCTAGTCGCTGGAGAGAAATTAAATTGAGTGGAAGCACAAGGTGGCGCCAGCCTGGCTAATGGACCACTATGAAACCTACCTGAACCACAGAGGGATTACACAGATATAAGACCATATGAGAATATAAAAGAAAGTACTATGATTTAAAATTGAAAATTGCATTCTAATGTGTAAATTAGTGTATTTATTGTCACTGTGGAATCAGAGTCAGTATTGAGTATCGAATCTGTTCCTGAGTGTTGAAATTGAGTTTAAAATTTTAATATTGTGACAACACTACACACTAAGTTTGCTTGTATTGAATTGTATTTATTAAATGGACAGTGCATATTAAAATACAAGATAATGCAAAAGAAAAACATCTACTTGAATATTTAATGCAGGACTGTAGCCAAAGCCAATCTCCATCCTTAGTCCTCTCCTGGATCAAGTCAAATAATTAATGAAATGACAGACATTGTGGTTTTCAGTGTAAACTACTTCAAAGACTAAACAAGATGTAAAACAGCAGAAAAAAAGGCTTTTATGAACTTTTCACTTTTTCCCTTATAACATACTCAACTGCATCTTAAAGGTGCACAGCACAACTTTTCTGGTCAAAGGTCCGCCAACTTCTTGTCTCCATAGAGATGTTATTGCTTTGCCTGGAATGTTCCATGGTATGACATTAAGCATATCCATATAGCATGAATTCATTACGGCTTTCAATTTCTCATTCAATAATTGTTCTGTGAATAGGAGCAACTCTCCACAGATCTAAATTGTAATGTAGCATGGTGCTGTGACCTCCTTGTCTTCCTTGTGATAGACAGGTTTAATCTATACTGTGGAACATTCTAGACAGAGCAAAAACATTTCTATGGAGACATCACGTGACGGACACTCCACTAGAAATGTTACACAGTGCACCTTTAAAGTACTTTCACAGTGAAGTGAATCTTAATAAAGTGTAACTTAACTTTAAATGTAATCTTGCATTTGTCCAGCATTAGAGGCATGAGTGGTCAGAAATTCTTTTTGCACCTATCACCTATCCCCGCCCACAAATCACACAGCAATTCTTTTTTTTTTCCTTTACCTTTGTCCTGTCTATCATCATATCATCTTCGCACTGTTTCTCCTTACGACCTCTTGTGTATAACTGAGATATATTTTCATTACTTTATTTCAATATTTTATTTTGACTTGCACATATACATTTATATTTATGCTTTATTAACATCAGACTTTTACTATTTTTATGACTTTAGAATTTATTATTTCCATTTATGTTTCTTACTTGTGTTATTATATTATATTGTGATGTGTGAGCTACTGTGTCCAAATAATTTGTGGATCAATAAAGCTTGTCTATGACTCATTTCAAAGTGTAAATAAAAAAAAATATATAAAGACTGTAAATGAAAAGTGAATTGTTAATTTAGTTTATAGCAACATTGTGGATTTTGTTTCATAGTCAGAACTATAAAAACAACTTATAGGTTAATTTCATGACCTAAATATTGCCTCATTTGATTAAGTGCAGTATTTTCATATCAGTCTTTCGTTGCACATCAGTTAAAGCCTGAACATGCCTGACCTACATCTGAGAGACTGGCTCTGGCTCTGACTGAGTAAAGTTCCACTGTAGTGACCCTGAAGCTCAAATATCAGAGCCTCATTAAAAGTGCACGCCCGCATCCACACTGTAGTTAAATATAACACAGATCAAGCCCTTGGTATTTAAGAAGGATAATGTGGTCAAGGTTAAAACATTGTGAAGTCTATCAATATTAATGGTCCTATATTACACAAAATGGATTCTTGTGAGCTTTAACCTATCGGCCCCGTAAAGCAGAAGTAAACAGCAACGCCAAAAATTCAAGTTAATGCATCTGATATAAAAATGTATTGAACAGATACATATGTACTCTAGTTTATGAAACTGTTGACCTTTTTTCTGTACCATTTTTGGTTCTAAAGTGACATATGTTTTAAACAGACCATGTATGAAACATGAAACAAAAATTATTTCCCAAATTTCAAAAACCTGCAAATCATGTAAATAAATGGATGTATTTCATCATATCTTGTGTTATTCCATCTTTGAACTGTTGATGAAAGTACATGATTTTTCAAAAAAATGTATTTAAAATGATAAAAATTTGCTTGGAAGGACTGACATTTTATAGAAATAGTTACCTTTGATTTTGAAGTAATATTAAAGTATTCAGAAGAAAAAAGCTGACAAATTTTACAAAATCATGCACCTTCTACTTGCTTGCACAATTTTCCCTCCGTTACTTTTTCCTCTGTTACCATGACCTTTCTTAATAAAAAATCTCATGACTCAAAAAGTAAAAGGTTTTCAACCTAATCTTGACCATATGGTAGAAAACTATATGAAGAAAATATTCAAACCAGTTTGTTAAGGATATGGAAGTGAGAACCACTAGTTATCACTGTTTGTATTTATTGCCCAAAAAGTGCTGCATATTTCATTCCCTTTGTTACCGACATGAGTTTTTAATTTTTTTGTCAACAACTTGAAAGAATATCACAGGTTTAACTTTACCCTGTTGGAGTGTTAACTCTTTCCTACATTCTGATACTTTACTTATTTCAATAGTCCCTCTAGTTTCTGAATAAAAGCTATTTGAATGTAAAAAATCTACCCCTGTTTCCCTCCGTTACCGCTTGACTGGACCCCTGTGTTAGAATGCCGTTACCTCCTCAAAAACAGACCTGGAGCTGTGTTTTGTTTCATTCACACATGCTTAAGTAACTTTTTATGATTAGTCTGTCTACATCTCCAAAGCTCAAAATGCTCAGTTCCATCTTGTGATGTCATGACACGGTAGTTTTTAAGTTAACAGCTCCTTTTTACCTTTTGTTCAGTGGAGCTGTGTAGCACTTCCTGTATAACCACAGGGTGTTTACTGTTTGACAGAAGAACTCAACCTAAATATGCAGGATTTATGTGTGAATGAAACAAAAACACAACTTCAGAAATGTGTTTGATGAAGAAACAACATTATAACATAAATCAGTCAATAGAGTCATATTGGCCCTTTGACCATATATAGGTTATTTTTATAGTAAAGACAGCCAGGAAGTAATACAAGGAAACTGCTGACCACGTTATCTTGTTGTGTGGATAGAAATAAACAACCAGGTAAGCATTCATGTTTGATGATGTAAAATATGAAAAGAGAAATTGTATTAGTATCATTAAAAATGTAATTGTTATGGCAACTCAACAGACAATCAAATTCAAATTCAAAGATGCTGAGAAATTAAAGATGCATTGTGTAATTTTTCTGGTGGAGGGTCCATCTTTTTTTCTTTTCTCTCTATGGAGATGTTATTGTTTTGTCTGAAATGTTTCACAATATGGTATTCAACTATTCTGTCTGCATGGAGACCAAACCATACCAAGTTCTAGGTCAGTTACTGTGGAGGCAACTCTGCTCACAGTCAGAATGCAGGTATTTTTGAGCTATAAAACCACCTGTAATTGAATAAATGTAAGGTAGAGCTGCTTAATGTCATACTGTGGAACATTCCAGGTAGAGAAATTACATTTCCATAGAAACAAGCAGGTGGTGGACCCCCAACTAGACAGTTACATAGCGCACCTTTAAGTTATTGGATTTATTTTCAAACATTTGTTTACTAAACAGAAAACGTGAAAAATTAAGATTAAATTTAAAAATACAGCCTAGACCAGCTGCATTGTTTTTATTTTAGAGGTTTTTTTTTGTAAGGCAACCTCACTTTTTCTTTGCTTACTCATAACACATACTCTTACCAGTCTGATCAGCTTGTCAAAAAAAAAAAAAAAAGAAAAAGCAATTTACTGCTTTTTATAAAGACATAAAGATATTATGCAGAACTGAGTTAAGCATTTTAGCCCAGCCCTCCACAATATATTCTCCTTCTCATGTGGCCCCATGGAAAAAATAATTCCCCACCCCTGGCCTGGACTATGCAACATTACCAAAACAGTGCGTCAGGTTCATATCATATGATGTCGAGCAGTTAATCGTAGTCATTGAGCATTAGTCTCAATAGCTCCTTATGTTGCATCAGATTTCACACTGTGCTGTAACAGTAGAAAAGAGACCGTCAGTGAATCCAAACATGGTACAAACTCAGATTACGTGTTCAATTTTTCATATAGGCTAATATTATCTGTAACTGAAGATGAAACTCTGATTATGTATTTACTAGGCCTATATCAATCTCTTATCTTAAACCTGATAAGAGTGTAAAGTAGGCCAGCCACACAATAAGCAAATAAAAAAGCAAAGGAAAAGCATATTTGAACATAAACTACATTACTTCGGTGTATGCAGTAATGCAGTTTAATCTGTGCAATGCTAGACTCTGTTGCGTGATGCTTTTTTTTTTTTTTTTTCAGGAAGTTTCTCGACCAATTGAAATCCGAGCCCTCGCTACGTCACACGCTCATCTGTTTGCACGCTAAACTCGAGGCATTTCGTCCGAATAGGCCTGATTTTACATTTCAGTTGATTTATTTTCACGATAAATATCAATATAATTCTCAAAGCGGTTAATTTTATAGTTAGGAATCAAATTAGGTTTAAGAACATGTTGTGAATGTCTGAATTTAAAAAAAAAGAAAAAAAAGTTAGTTGATTTCTTTAATATTGTGGTGTGTTTGTGTTGTTGTGTGAGTTATTAACATAAGATTTATCAACGTTTCCCCTTGTATACTGCACTGGTAACACTACATTTTAATTATACATTACATCACTCAATCACATAAACTGCATTTTCATAGTTAAATGCAGTGTTGGGGAGTAACAGATTACATGTACTGGAGTTACTTTGTTGAAATAAATGGATATTACACATTTTCCTGTTAAAACCCCCCCCCCCCCCCTTTTATTTATTTATTTATTTATTTTCTCGATAATTCCACTCATTGCCGGGATCTAACACGGAATAGATCTAAACCACGTCTAAAGCAGGACTAAAACCAGGTCTAAACTAGATCTAAACCAGGCCTAAACCAGGTCTAAAACCAGGCCTAAACCAGGTCTAAAACAGGACTAAACCAGGACTAAAACCAGGTCTAAACTAGATCTAAACCAGGATTAAAACCAGGTCTAAAACCAGGTCTAAACCAGGACTAAAACCAGGTCTAAACTAGATCTAAACTAGATCTAAACCAGGACTAAAACCAGGTCTAAACAAGATCTAAACTAGATCTAAGCCAGGTCTAAAACAGGTCTAAAACCAGGTCTAAAACCTGCTCTAAACCAGGACTAAACCAGGTCTAAAACAGGTCAAAAAACAGGTCTAAACTAGACCTAAACCAGGTCTAAAACCATGTCTAAACCAGGACTAAACCAGGACTAAACCAGGTCTAAACTAGGTCTAAACCAGGACTAAACCAGGACTAAAAGTACATTTTGGGGTATGTAATCTGTAATCTGTAGGGGAATACATTTTAATAGTCACCTTCCCAACACTGGTTAAATTGTTGTGTTTCTTGCTTAAAACCCGCCTCCGATCGAAATGCCTGGGTTTTTAGCCCTCGTCAGCTGATGCAACCGGCGTCCTGCGGGTATAAAAGACCGAGACTCGCACTGTGCGCCGCTCGTCTCAGCTTCATCTCATTCATGGATAGATTACTGCACAAACGCTTGGTGGAGGAACCGGAGCTCGACAAAAAGGAATCAGTATGGTGTATACCACGGCTTTGCTCTTCGGTCACGGAGTCCCGGTGCTGCCCGAAGAAAACGGCGTCGTTGACCTGATCGAGAAGTTTCTGTTCCCGAAGACTTCCACCGGCAGCAAGATGCCCCCTGCCCACTCAGCCCGACGGGGGAGCGTGGAGAGCTACGAGGATGCTGACAACCACTCTCTATGTAAGTTACACAGTTATAACACGTTCATTTGACTTTAGGTAACAATTTTGATTCGTAATTCCACGTTTGAGATACTTTAAATTAAACTTCGTTGTAAAAAATATCACTACGCCAAACTGAAAATGAATGGAACTGCGGGACTACTTTTTGTGGCGGCAGGGTCAACACAGGACAATTGGTTTCTGACGCAACATGTCAAGACATGTTCATTTGTTTAATTGTTACGGTTTTAATGAATTTATTTTATTATATTGAGTTTTGATTTAAATTTGAGGACTTAAAAACCCAAATTTTACACTTTTAGCTGTCAAACTTCAATATTTTCGCCAAGCTTATTAGTAAAGAGGAACGGGTAGCCTATACTTTTGAAGAGAAGACTTGAATCTATTTTTTTTTTTTATCTAATTACTGAGAATTATATTTCAATAATAATGGTAAAGTGATAATAAGAATGTACAACTAACAATACATGATTTGTATTATGTTAATTTGTATCATTAAATAAAATTGATTTAGCAAGGAAATATAATAACTTTTTAATATAAATGACCCAGTAGTAGAAAATAGGAAACAAAACCCTCAAATATATGTAATTAAGTTGGTAAAATGTATTGTGTATACTTATTTAATCAGTGCTAATCTATATTTTTTGCCTCTTTCAGCTGGCACTTTCGATACCACTCTAGAGGAGGAAGAGCGCCACCTGCAGCACAGCATCATACCACAACTGGAGCTGTGCCTGACCTCGGCCAAATCCTCAGCTTTGCAATGCCAGGCCCTCATGCTCCCCTGTCACATGACCACCAAGGTGTCTCAAGACGTGGTCAGAGCCTCCGCTGACGAACCCTGCGGACTCCAGGGGGGCCTTCGTCAAAGTTTTTGTCGAGACCAAAGACGGGCCAAAATTCCTGGGCGCCATTCTCTCCCGATCCGAGCGTCACTCCAACCTTTGAGCTGTCCGTGTGGTTCAAAACGGAAGAGCGTGGCTGGCCCCCGCTGAAGCACATTTTTGACCAGAGTAAAACTGTGAAGCTGAGACCAGAGTACAGGCTAGTTAAAAGGAAGCTGTACTCCTCGGCTAGTCCTGTTGTCCATGATTTCAACTAGGCCTGTCAAGATAATTTACATGTTCAATTCCATGATTTGTTGCTAGAAAAATATTGCTATTAACCATACTTTTAAACAATTCAAATATTAACATACTAAAAAAATGTTCCCCCACTAGTGCTAATACAATACACATCTTGAGCTAGATTGCTGTAGTAATTATTATGACAGGTCTACTTTAAACTAAACTTTGTGTACGATGTTTACAGCAGTCCTTACACTGGAAATGTTATGTTTTTTCTGTGTTTTTTATATTATTATTTAAAAGTGTGAATGTTGAAACCACAAAAGGTCATTGTTTTTTTTTCACTGTTTTTTGCACGGAGCGGCTGAATGTGGCGTGTGATCATGAATGGGCAGGACTCATTCTCAAAAGTGTTTATTTATGGATTTGTAGAAAATAAATCCTTTTACACTATTCACTTTGTTTTTGTCATTTATTCATACATATGGAGCTGTTAACTGGAAAACTACCATTTTGTGACATCATAAGGTGGAACAGAGCGGTTTGAGCTTCAGAGATGTAGACAAACTAAAAGGATTAATCAAACCTGTGAATGAAACAAAACATTACAGAACACTTAGGTACGTTGGAGGAGGTAAAGCTTAAGCTCAGAAGAAAATCATCTCTTACACTACTGAGTTATGTCTGTTTATTCATATTCAACAGGATATGAATAAACAGTTTTTACTCTTGGTATTGTAATGAATCGATTGTTTTATTGTATAATCTGTAAAGATGACACGGGAGACTTGTGGCCAAATGGACAGTTAATGGGCAGTAAATATTCTTCTCTATATAGATGCTTTATTTATTCCAAAGGAAATTCATTTTCAGCAGCAGCAATAACATATAACAATAATACAGCAGTAATTCATTGTATAGCCTCTATTTAACACTTAAATGTAGTGAGAAGTAGACGGACATAGAAGTATTTGCTGAAGCTATATTTGAGGGGAGCATGTGCAGGATAAAGTTATTAGATATTTTCATAAATTAATATCAATGTTAGCCTTCACACACAGTTATTTCTCCATTGGGACAAATAAAGTTTATCTTATCTTCAACAATGGAAGAGGATCATATTCTCTATTCCACTTAAAATATACACGAGCTGTAAAAATAACTAAAACCTCAACAGATATATGCAGATATATATTTTGATGAATAATAAAATGTGACTAACTCATTATCTGGAAAACATCAATTAAAGGGACCATAGTACAGTATTTTCTGAGCTGTTAAAATATTTCCTCATCACAAAACATACCTGAGTTTTGCATATTCACGCTGTGTTCTCAAGTTGAAAACATTCCGCTCTACCTTGTGATATCATGTGGTAATACAAGAAGTCTTTCACTGTTTTTAAACATTATTAAGTATTTCAGACCTGAAATTGCCTCTATTCTCTACTAAACAAACAGTATAAGATAGCTATTAACTGGAAAACTACCACTTCATGACATCACAAGTTTGAACAGTATTTTGAGCTTTGGAAATGTAAACAGACTAATCATAAAAGATTAACCAAGGATGTGTGAATGAAACAAATTACAACTCCGGGTATGTTTTTGAGGAGGTAACAACATTCTAACATGTCTTAAAGCTCACAAGAGTCCATTAAGCATTATACAGGACCTTTAACTCTACAATATTGTGGCTACAGCATCCCAACTTACAGAAGAGGTGTATAGACTTGTTTGGTTTGGTCAGTTTAAAAAGTGTATAGTAATCTTTTACTGGGTAACTTTGCTAACTTCATTTAATTATACAGAAATGGCATTGTCATGTGAGAGGATTGGTCATGTGGTGTGACGCGAGCTAATACCAACTGGTGACAATAAATAACTCTAGTTTAAATGACTCAGCAACATAGACTGCTCCCACTGTAAAAACAGGAGCAAAAACTCCCCAGGAAACAAAGGCCCCAGACAAGTACATAAGCACCATAAGTCTCAGTGAGGTTTAAAAAAGCATTTTATAATACCTCAAAACTTTTCTTGTTGTAGGATTTACAGTAAAGCAATCACAACTCTATGAAGACAAGCAGGTATCCAACCAGAAAAGTTACAGATCACATTTTGCTATGTTTATAATCTTTTTCCTCAAGCCCAGAAGCTTGAAAATGCCATTAGAACAGTTAAAAGGCCCATGTTACGCTGTTTTCTGATCGATGTCATAATGTTGTTTCCTCATCACAAACCTGGAGTTGTGTTTTGTTTCATTCACACACATTTAACACACAAACCCTGCACATTTAGGGGGAATTATTCTGTCAAACAGAAAACACTCTGCTCCAACTTGTGACGTCATGTGGTAATACAGGAAGTGCTCCTTTGTGTTTTTCCATACACTAATTTCAGCCCTTTAATTGCCAATCTTTACTGAACAAAAGGTACATGTAGACAGACTTCAATAACAGTAAAGGGTGACTCAAACATGTGTGAGTGAATCAAAGCACAACTTCTGGTATGTTTTTAAGGAAACAACATTATGACATTATGAAAACCTCACAACAATCAATTTTGCATCATCAGTGTTGGGAAGGTCACTTTTAAAATGTATTCCCCTACAGATTACAGATCCCAAAATGTAGTTTGTAACGTAATCCATTAAATTACTTAGAGTAACGTAATCTGAATACTTTGGATTACTTGATTTGCTGTAGAGAAGCAAAGACTAGGAAATCGTAACATAAAATGTTTTGTCTGCTAAAAGAAAATAAAAAGCCCAGATTTTACTCACCAAATTAAAAATATTATTGATAGAAGAGGAGGAGACACGGTCCACACAGCATGGTTTAGTCCTGTTAAATCCTGTTTAAGACATAGTTAAGACCTGGTTTTTTGTGCTGGTTTAGTCCTGGTTTTGACCTGGGTTTAGACCTGGTTTGGACCTGGTTTAGACCTGGTTTGGACCTGGGTTTAGACCTGGTTTGGACATGGTTTAGACCTGGTTTTCATCCAAGTGACTGTAATCTAATTACAACTCATTCAAAAAGTAACTGTAACCAAATACAGTTACTCATAATTTGTACTCTGATTACATAACTATACATGTAATCTGTCACTCCCCAACACTGTGCATCATAGAGAACCTTTAATATTTAGATTTAACGAAAGAAAGTAGTAAATAGGTATCATCATGTATCAGGTCTAGCCAATTTTGAGTTCCACAGGATACATGACTGTAATGACATAGCAGCCTACTAAAGAATTAATAAATATAATTTTGTTCAAGTATTTTGTATAAAATTATATGTACTTAAAATACTAAATTAAAAAGTGAAATGACATGTTTACATTACATAGTATAATAGATCACAATAACCGGTTATCAAAATGGAAAAAAAACAAACAGTTCCCACATTGGCTTTGACTCAAAAAGAATAATCTTTTATTTAACAAATGTACAACAGAAACATGAGTAACTCTATTCAAATCAAACTTTATCCATCACAGATACAAAACCTACTGTTCCTCTACATCACATACACAGGCAGGTCCTATGTACACAGACACTCAGCTACAGCTACAATGAAATGTCCAGATGCACCAACACTGCCACATAAACTGCTCTCATAGTTAATAGGGCTATAGAAGAACCAGTCTGGAAAAAAACAGCTGGATTGAGTATCGGACCCTAGCATAGACTGTATAAAAAGTGGACAAAGTGAGTGTGACGTCACCTGTAGGGTTCAGCTCACGAGGCCAACAGTTACAGGGTGAATTTAGAGCTGAGTTCATAAATAGGAATTTATTTACGGACAAAACTGTGAAATAAAAACAACAGGATCATGTAGAGCAAGTTAATATGAACAGTTTAAGACCAAAATGACGAGGCTCACAGCAGCAGTTACACAGTGTGGGGTAACAATTTTTCAGTGTAAAGTCAACTGGAGCCAGAGTCGATGGAGCCGAAAGCGCATCCACACTCACTTCCTATTTGGAAAGCATCTATACAGTCTATGGTTTCTAGTTTTCAAGTTTTTCCTAGAATTGTAATAGAGATCGTAATTTCCAATTGGCAATGATATGCTTCAGATTTTTAAGCAAAATAGAACATTAAACCCATACTTCAGAACAAGAGGCGGCCCTCTTCCAGGCCAAATAAGAGTCAGGTTTGTGGAGATGCAAGCCCACTCATAGTTTTTCAGTGCAGTAAACACATTGCTACATATTGTGGTAATCCTCAGTCAGTAAAAGCATGTTGTGGTTCAGAGCAGAGTTCAGACTCAAGAGGAACAAATTCGATTTTTCTGTTATAAGGCAATTATTTAGTCTTTAACCTCTGTATTTAACCTCTATAAGCACAATGCCACTTGAATTATAAAGCTGTTTTGTATCCATTCTGATTATAAAATTAAATAACTTGTAAATAAGATTAAACATTAATTTACAGAAAGCCCAAAACAGTGACTACTATAGATTTTTTGTAAATTTGTTAATGTGTTTACAAAGTAACTTTTTTTTAGCTTTTATTTGTCTGTTATCAGTGAGTGAAAGTACATTCACAATGGAGCACAAGTAAGCGGCAGTATTGGTGCATCTATGATATAAATAATAGTCAACTCCATCACTAGTTAACTTCTAGTTGCTGGTGAATAAGTCATTTTTATTTTTATTTCATTTTAAGCAGAAAGATAATGGTCTCTATGGTCTTCGCTGGTGAAAATGAAACAGGAAGTAGGGCGGGAGACCCATTGAACAATAGCTCTAGTGTTTTTTGATACATCAGATCAGCGTCACTCAGAGCTGGTCACAATTTAAGTACATAAAACGATGTCTAATCTACCACTAAATTGGAATTATGCGTTGTGTGTAACGTGTGGTGGATGGTCTGTCTCTTTTTTGTTTCTGTGGAGATGTGCCTAGAATGTTCCACAGTAGGGCCATAAACTTATGAAATTACAGGTCAGATTTGTGGAGAGGAGCCCCCACTTACAGTAAAAATTCATGTTTTTAAGACATTTTTGAGCAATAAGTAACACTTGTAGTTGAAAAAATGCCCTACTGTGGACAATTTAAACCAAAGTGTTAACATCTCCATGGAGACAAACAGGTTGCAGACCCTCTCCAGAAAAGTTACACAGTGCACCTTTATATAGGTAGTATTTGTTGGATTTCAGCTTCCTGTTATAAGCAACACTTCAAGGACTTTCTCCATTCAAAACATAAAGGATTACATTTAAATTATTAATTGCTATGGCAACACTATTAATTTTTCATGGCACTGAAACGAATGGATATGCAAGATATGTTTAAAAATTTGCATGAACATGACATATCTGTTGCTTCAGATAAAGGCATAAACGAATTCTAATAAAATGTTCATTTTACTGATAACAACTGTATCCACAATCCACAATAACTGATATAATTTGACATTCTAAGAGTTTTATCCGTTTACAGTGTGTTTTGGTTTCCAGAAGGAACACGTTTATTATTATGATTATTGCTTTTAAGTAGTTTATTATTTTAAATCTGCACTATGTAACTTTCTAGTGGGGGGTCTGAGATGTTATTCCTTTACTTAAGTCATTAAACAAGCAAAAAGGCAGGTGATACAATAAGGCCAAGTTACATGTCGGATCTGTGAAGTGGCGAGTTAGCTCACAGTAAGAATGCACGTTTTCCCAGATTTATTTTTGAGCAATAAATACACCCGTAATTAAATACATGCTGAATAGACAGACTTAATGCCATACTGCGGAACATTCCAGGCAAAGCATTGACATCGCCATGGAGACAAGCAGGTAGCAAACCTCCCACAGGAAAAGTTACATAGTGCAACTTCACGTCCTACAAAAAATTTACGTAGATTTGACCATTTCTAACCAGCATGAGGTAGGATGACGATGACTAAATACAAAAAGAATAGTAAATATTCATGTCTTAAGATCTGAACACGCCGATCTGATGTACCCTTCTGAGCAGATCTCCACACCGCCCCCTACAGACCAATATGAGTCACTGACCAGCGAATGCCCCAGGTTTTTGCCCAGTTTTGGTTTTGCCACAGCGAGAACTCTACTTCTTCATTTTCAAATCTGCTTCCATGGCACTGCGACGCCCCCTTGTGCCCCCATCCTGCAAGGACAAAAATAAAAAATGGGATTGAAGAAAATATGATTAAAATTTTGGATAGTAAAAGCTTTTGACGTAAAGTTCTCTTCACATATTAACACGTGGATGTCTCTTAACTTGTTCGGCAAATGAGGAAATAAAAATACGGTTAAAAGAAAAGAAAAATTGGTTAAAACATGCAAACATCACAAACACAGATAAAATTAAAGAGTGATCCAAGTGCAGTAAAGATGAGTTTTCAGCAGCCTGTGAATCCTGTTTTTAATATCACAAATGAAAAGTCAAAACACAAAAATGTACAATAACAGGTGAGCTCTTTCACACATGCACTGAGCTGGAGCTACTGGTTCCAGATTAAAGCTGCACTATCTAACTTTTTTGGTAGAGGGTCCTCGAGTTGCATATCCCCATGAAGAAGTTATAGAAGGTCCCACAGCATTGGCATTAATCTCATTAATCCCCATGGAGACAAGCAGTTGGCACCATAAGGCCAGGTTATAGGTCAGATTTATGGAGAGGCGACTCTGCTCACACTAAAAATGGATGTTTTTAAAGACAGCAGATAGCATTAAAAACATCTGTAATTGAATAAATGCTAGACAGACACATTTCATGCCATAGTTTGGAACATTTCAAACAAAGCAATAATATCTCCATGGAGACAAACAGGCGGTGGATCCTCCCCCATAAAAATTACACAATGCACCTTTAAGGCATTTTGGATTTATATTAATCTTGAACTTAGTTGAGCCCATTTTCAAATCAATACTGTGTTTATTAGTGAAAGATAAGACTGAACAATCACTAAACTACTGATCATAATGGATCTGAAATAGGAATGTCAAAATCACATTTTAGTGTTACAAAAAAATCCCAATTTATTTTAACAGTTACAATGATTAACTGACCAAACTCCACCATGACCAAATAATGGTGAGAATCACTTCCATTCTTGTACACAGGTCACCATTCCTCTAGTATGTGACCGGTTTGATGAAATCAAACTTTCTAAATGATCACATAAACAGCCAGTTAAAAATTTGCTTCGCTTTTTTTTGGAGCCCAAATTAAATAGAAATTAGTGACGCACCAATCCAATACCGGTATCTGATATCTGCGCTGATACTGAGAAATGTGCTGGATTAGATATCGGCTCTCAGATTTTTCAGCTGATATCCTGGTTGGACAAATACAATTATGTAATAAGAATATTTGCTTAGGGTCTCAGATGATTTGAATTTGTATACAAAGCTGTTCTTGTAGTTATTTGAGAGATAAATAAACAGCTACATAACGCATTTGGATCAGTTTTGTCTTTTTTTTTTTGTTTAAAGGAAATTAATGCTGTTTACAGTATCTGCTCTGATATCGGTTGACATTGGGTATCAATAGATACTTAAAGCTAGAGTATCGATATCGGTATCAGGAATGAAGAAACTGTTGGATTGGTGCATCTCTAACAGAAATTACTTGCTTTGCTCCTAAAATTCTCACAATAGTTCTCACTATCACATTGTGTTACCTGAAGAATCGAGATGACTGATCACTGATGATTCATCTAGACTTCCCTGATCTGAAGAGTCCTGTTCATTTTCACATTCCTGTTATATAGTGCCAGTTTGAGGACTGTTGAACACCCAAAGATTCATATTCATTTGTTTTAAATTGTTAATTGCTATGGCAACAGTCCTAACTTTTCCATCATTCTGGACCTGTGGGTTGCAGTTAACTTCATGAACTGAACAGCCAGTATCGTCTTCTGTGCAACATTGTGCAAGCTACCTTTGTTCATTTTTGTCATTTTAAAACCACAGAAACAAAAACATAATAAAATAAAGATTAAATAAAAGATGAGAAGCACGGATGGGTGCAGGACGGGGGTCTGCAGCGGCTCTGTGGAGGGAGGAGCAGAGCCTGGATACTTACAAAGAGAGAGAGAAGGAAAGCAGGAGAGGCCATTGGAACACAGTCCTGACAAACAGCCATGAGGAGAAAGAGAGGGAGAGAGGTTAAACAAGGAACAACAGAGAGGAGAAGGAGGGGGGAGAGGGAGGGAGACTCAGGGAGAAATAGAGAAGAGAGGAGAGATGTGCTTTTGAGGACCAAAGAAATAAAATTGAAAATGGAAAGAAAGAAGGTTAAACAAGGCTCAACAGGAAAGAGGTAGAGGTAGAGAGAGGGAAGACAGAAAGAGATAGACAGAGAGAGAGAGAGAGAGAGAGGAGAACAAGGCTCAACAGGGGAGAAAGGGAGAGAGGGAGAGTGACAGAGAGAAGAGAGAGAAAGCTACACAGGTTTCAACAGGGTAGAGAGGTGAAGAGAGGAAAGAGAGAGAAGAGAGAAGGCTACACAGGTCTCAACAGGGTAGAGAGGTGAAGAGAGGAAAGAGAGAGAAGAGAGAAGGCTACACAGGTCTCAACAGGGTAGAGAGGTGAAGAGAGGAAAGAGAGAGAAGAGAGAAGGCTACACAGGTCTCAACAGGGTAGAGAGGTGAAGAGAGGAAAGAGAGAGAAGAGAGAAGGCTACACAGGTCTCAACAGGGTAGAGAGGTGAAGAGAGGAAAGAGAGAGAAGAGAGAAGGCTACACAGGTCTCAACAGGGCAGAGAGGTGAAGAGAGGAAAGAGAGAGAAGAGAGAGAGGTTACGCAGGGCTCAGCAGGACAGACAGGTAGAAAGCGAGAAAGAGAGAGAGACAGTGTGAACACAGCACAGAATAGGGGAGAGTTAAAGTAAAACGTGCAGATCCATGAGATAGACTCAGCTCCACAGGACGTGACTCAGCAGAAGTCAGAGTCTCGTCTCATGACACAAACATGACGCAGTAGTTTACCTCGGTCACATGGTACTTTCAGCTCTTATGTAACACTGGAAACGTGAAATGATATTACTGTTACAAAACTGACTACTACTCTACTATTACTGCACTGTTTTTTCTGTATGTTTGATACTTTCTACATTTTATATACACCCAGAAAATATAAATTATATTAAGTATGATACAAGGAATTATAGAGCAAACTAAAAAGGTAAATAAAAACAAACACATTTTAAATATATTTTATATCTCAAATCCTCAAAGTAGCCACAGTTTGCTTTGTCAAAAAATATTTAGTAAAGCTATTAACTTTTTTTTTTTTACTTCATAATTCAACTTCAATAGTTGAGGATTTCTGTTTGTATATATAATGTAGAAAATTTTAAAAAATGACATTGAATGAGAGGTGGGTCCAAACATTTGACTGGTAGTGTATATATATTTTCTTTTTCTTCCTTTCTTCCTTATTTGAAGAAAATGTATTTAACTCATATTTTTTTCATTCCTAAGAAACATACAATACCATACATGCGTTTTGTTTCATCCACACGTTTGAGTAATCCTTTATTATTAGTCTGTCTACATCTCCAAAGCTCAAAATGCTCTGTTCCACCTTGTGATGTCATGAAGCGGGAGTTTTCAATTAACAGCTACCATTTGTTTTTAGTTCAGTGGAGAATGACAATTATTGGGCTGAAATTATCCAAATGATTCTAGTGAAGGTGTATGGAGTTTAAAAACACACTGGAGCTCTTCTTGTATGACCATATGGCATCACAAGGTGGAACACGTTGGAGTGTTTTCCGTTTAAAAAAATAATTCAGCCTAAATCTGAAGGGTTTGTGTATTTAAAAATGAGTGAATGAAACTAAACACAACTCCAAGTATGTTTGTGATGAGGAACAACATTATAACAGAGATTAGAAAATAGCGTAATATGAGCCATTTAATATTCTAATGTTTTAATAGAAGTCTATAGTCCCGTTGACCCCCTCTGTACCTTCTCTGGGGGCTCTCCGGGCTTCCTCACCCCCTCCCTCCCTCTCAGACTCTTGGCGGAGATGGCGCTCTCGGAGGTCTGCATGATCAGCTGCGTGGCCAGAAATTGCTGCACATGCTCCAGGACGTCACGCTGCATCTCCAGGGCCATGTGGTACACGTCGTGGTCCGAGGAGTTGTACATGACGGCGTTTTGAAACATCAACATTATGTCCCTCTGGAACTCTGCTGTGGTCCTGATCACTCCAGACTCTATGTTCTTCTTTATGGCCGACAGGTCCATGGGTCTGAGACAGAGGACAGGGGAGAAGGCTGTCATCATATGGTATTCAGTAATTAACTATAACATATGCAGATTATTATTTCCACCATCTGTTTATTGTAAACCTCAATACTGAATAGACATGGGTCTGTTGACTTATTGTTCCAAACTGTTGAACTGTACAGTAAATTTGGAAGCAGCTGATTTGTTATGAGATTTTGTTTAAAAATGGCTAAGCAACTTTTCTAACCCTGAAATCTGATGTTTTTGCAGCAGACATGGAGCAGACATACTGGTAAATATTTAATAGAGATAGGGATTGTGTTGTCATACCTCAACTGACGACATTCTATAACGGTAAACAAGAGACTATTAGAATAATAACTTTATGGAGTTAATGTCAAGAATTAGTCACATGTGGATATACTGTTAAAGTAGGAGTCTCTAACCTGTAACACTTCACCCCCTTCCAAGTAGCTCACCAAGGGATTATACACATTGTGCTGTAAGACTAAAATATGATTAATAATTACCATTGTAAATGTATAATTTTAATGCCTAACTTGATTCCTAACTGTGCACTAATAAATGGATACTGGTTTATGTTTTATAGGCTGAACTAACTGAACATCAAGGTTTACCATAAATATATAAAATTTCTTGCAACTGCTAAAATTAGTAGTTTTCTAGCATTTTGTAAAGGTAGCTCACCAGAAGAAAGTTTTGCAACTAGGGCTGTCGCGGTTAGGGAATTTCTCCTGCGGTGCGGTATAGCGGCTCAAAAGTGTGGTATGCGGTGATATCGCATCCCCTCTCACACCCCACAGCCCCCGGAGTTACAATATTTCCAGCAACACTAAAAACTCTCTCCGATGATGCACTGGTTGCGCAGATGCACATGTACCTTGGTTGTCGTGTGGATATAGCATGTGTAGCGTGAGAGAAGTAACATTTGGCTTTGGAACAAGTGCCGCTGCATCTCTCCAGCTCTCACTGTGGCAGGTCAGAGTCCTGCACCAGCTCGGGTACCCGCGGACTTAAGAGAGAGAGCCCCAAGCATGAGCACGTGGAGCAAGTGTCCGCAAAGCGCGATCGAGCAACAGACACACTTACCTCCTTGCGGCGCGGTGGCCCAACATCCACCGTGATCACCGCACGTGACCAACGTGACCCGTGCGGTGATCGCGGTGGATGTTGGGCCGCCGCTATCACTGCCTCTTAGGAATGTGGTGATTCATTTTTGCGGTTATTGCAACAGCCCTGCAAGCAACTGCTGGTATTCAAGTTGTTAAAATAATGCACTTTCAGAATTTTCTGTCTCTTCTGAAATAATGTGTTAATTCTCTGATAACGTATCTTCAGGCCTCACCTGTGGACAATGCTGTGGTATCCTGGAGCAATATCGTCTGACACTGGCTGCAGGAACACACTGGCATATCTGAAAGGGACAGAGACAAAGATGAACCAAAGACAGTATAATGAGGTTATATTTTGAACATTAAAACTCAAACTGTAGATGATTCAACTCTAAAATGCACTACACTACTGGGAATTTGTTATCAGCGTATATTCTAGTATTGATCAATTTCTCTGTGGGTAAAACAGCATTTGAGTAAACCCTGCCTATTTAGGCTGAGTTCTTCTCTCAAACAGAAAACACCCTGTTCTACATTGTGGAAGTGCTCCACTGTGTTTATAAACTCCATACAGCTTCACTAGAATCATTTGGATAGTTTCCCTGGAATTGCTCTACTAAACAAGAGGTAAAAGATAGCTGTTAACTTAAAAACTACCTCTTCATGACATTACAAGGTGGAGCGAGGCATTTTGAGCTTTGAAGATATAGACAAGAGTAGTAATGAAGGATTTCTCAGACATGTGAATGAAAGAAAACACAACTCCAGGTATGTTTTTGAGGAGGTAACAACCTATAACATGGCTTAAAGGTCACAAGAGTACATATTGCGTAATACAGGACCATTAAATAAGCGTTTGCCTTGAATATGAATTTAAGCTATATTTTATCATTGCTTTGTCTAATTATTATTATAAGAATTTTTGCTGATGGCCTCTTCATTTCTCACCTGTGATTGGCTGCTGCCCTCCACACTAACATTATGGCTTTTTTCCAGATCTTCTGAGCCTGCACAGCCTCCTGGTCCTCACCACACGTCGACCTGAAAACACAGCAACAATACCGGAAGTAAGACTAAGAATATGAGAAAAATTACATTATGATCAGCCTGTGGTTCTCAAAATGCTAGCCTGGTAAGAGCTCAGATAAGATCCTGGTTAAGACATTCTTTCCATCCTTGTAGAAGCTTTGTTATAGAGGTCCGGGAGCTGACATCATACTGGCTCGTCACACACTAGGTGTCGCCATTTTGGCAGTAATCGGCAGATCGGCTGACTTGCGCTGTACGACGCCAGCGTAATAACAGATTGTTCTACAGACGCAGCCGCGATTCATTTCCAAATTATTTTGCCAACAATGGCCAAAACAGAGAATGTAACAAACGATGATCAGAGCAAGAACCAATGTGCGAACGTGTGGCTCCAGAGTGAGTCAAAATTGGGGCACAGAGAGGTTCTGCTGTTCCCCGTGTTCATGTAGCAACCAGCATTTGTTATTTTAGCTGTTTATTAACCAAATAATTTTATGGCAATAGGCAATAGCCTGTTCAATTGATACAACTTCAAAAATGCCCTGCTTTTAGCCTAGTGTGAGAAATACAGTCGGACTAGATCCAAACCAGAGTCCTGAACGAGCGGGAGCAGCTCCAGTTCAGGCCGGGCTCAGAGGAGCTGGAGCGTGGAGTGGTGTCAGAAATTTCCCCAGGAAGAACCAAGAGCACGGAGCACGGACGCTCAGAACAACATATAACCAACTAGGGCCTGACTGATATGGATTTTGTTGTGGCCGATATGAAACCGATATAATGGAAGTTGGAGCTGCCGATAGATGATATAATCACCGATATATTTAGTGACGTGAAAATTCACTGTAAATCTTGAATTGTTTAAAAAACTTGGGTTTGGCTCTAGTGGGTTTTAAATTGGGTTTATTTAGGCAACATTTCTTGTTATTCTGCCTCTTTGCGTCATATTTACAGACAGTAGGTCGGCCTAATGGCATTTTTGCGTTACATTCTAGCTACTAGTGATGGGTATTCCAGTTTTTTTTTTAGAGAACCGGCTCTTTTGGCTCGGCTCACTAAAAGCAGCTGGCTCTTCAGATTGTTTTGTTGCAAGCAGGACTAAACCAGGAGTGTCGAGACTCGGTCTCTCTCTCCCTCTCTCGAGCCCAAGATTAGTCCTGGTTTATTTATTTTATGCTGAACTACAGCCAAATACGCACGTTTTTTTATCCTATGCACGCGCAGATTTCTGAAAGTTTCATTTTCAGCCGCTGCCGCTGTCAAACTACCACGAGTCTGCACGCGATCTGGGACGTCTTCTTCAGCAGAAATATTTTTTAAAAGCACCCCGGGGGCATTATACGGGTTGGTAATGTTTAATTGATTTAATTTCTTGATATAAAGCTCAATGTCTTGTGAATTAAAGTGAGCCGAGTACTCCGATGACTTGAAAGCTTCGGAGGTGGTGTTGTCCATTTTTACTGCCAAAATGGCGGCCCGCCCACCGTGAGTCACATGGGGTCCGGAGCTCTATATCTCTTTAAAATAAGACTCTACCTTGTCCATGTTAAGTCTTATTGTGTAAACTGTTCCAGTTTAACCCTGAATAATAATTAAATGGAAATTATTGTAAATTATCCAGGGTCATTGGGTATTCTTGTCAAACGATTTTTAGTTCAGTTTGTGTATCAGAACAGAATTTGCTGAGCTCAGATAGAGATTGTAATGGTATTTAGAGGGCACACATTACTCCCTGGTTTAGTCCTGGTTTAGTCCTGGTTTAGTCCTGGTTTAGTCCTGGTTTAGCCCTGGTTTAGCCCTGGTTTAGCCCTGGTTTAGCCCTGGTTTAGCCCTGGTTTAGCTATCCTTTTTCTCTTGGTTTAGTTTAAGTCTCCCTGATACAGTCGTAAGTGTTGTATCAGCACATGGGGGGGGGGGTGCAGCGCTCAGAGACACAGTAATGGTATTCAGAGGTCACACATTTACATTCATGCTCTAGTTTGTTTCAGTTTCAGCAGATTTTACGCTGAGGAGCAGAAAAAACAGGGTCATTGGCATCTTTTTCATTGACTCAGGACTCATTTGCACAGGGTTACAGTATTTTACAAAATGCTGTAATAAACTTAGATTTTTTTGGACAATTGAGGTCTTGGGTAATATGCAGAGCAAGTGTCCAGGGTGTACTACTGCCGTTTGGTCCCAATGTTTACAACTTTAATCATATATTCAATAATATTCAACTAAAAACTAAGTAAAAGTTACAACACAGGCAAAGCAATCTCTATTCTGCTAAATATTAGTTTGTACCTGACATTTAAAACAAGAAAAGCAAAGCAACAGTAGAACAGTTTAAGATTAACAACAGGGACACTGCAGACTACACTCACATTTATCAATGATAGACTTTGGATCAGACACAGCTGAACTGAAACTTTCTGTCCTTAAATACCATATTTCTGAATCTGTGTGTTGAGGAAATAATTGTCAGGCAAAAACAACAGCCAAAAGAAGCAAAGGAACACATTCTGTCTGTTGAACTGCCCGTAGTTCTGCCTCAGTGCCACTCAGTCAGAATACTGAGGAGATTTTTTTCAAATAAAATGATGTCAATGCATAACCTCTCTATGACAAAAGTTCTTACAGTTGTGAGGAGGATGCGGGGCTGCTGGCGAGCGAGTCAGCAGTGTATCTCTGGGAGTTGGTGCCGTATCCGTCTTCGCTCTCAGATGCCGCCGGCTCCACCTCCGACAGGTACGACCCGTCTGCGCCCTCCTCCTTCAGCTCAGAGCCGTCGTCAGGGTCCGCCTCACTGCACGCCTCCTCCTCCTTCACCTCCTACAGACAACACAGAGGACACTTTAAAGGTGCAATGTGTAACTTTTCTGGTGGAGGGTCTGTACAAATGCTTTTTCTCCATGGAAAAGTTATTGCTTTGTCTGGAATGTTTCACAGTATAGCATTAAACCTTTCTATCTTCATGGAGACCAAAACAGACCAAATTACAGGTAAGGTCTGTGGAGGGACAACCCCACTTACAGTCAGAATGCCTGTTTTTCAAGTTTTTTTTGAGCTATAAAACCTCTTGTAATTGACTCAATGTAAATAGAGCTGCATAATGTCATATTATGGAACATTCCAGACAGAAAGACATATCTACAAGCGGGTGATAAACTCACAACCAAAAGGTTTCATAGTGCGCCTTTAAAAAGGAATGATTTTTTCTCTCCTTTTTTAAATTCTTTGTTCCTATACACTGTATAAAGAAGTGAACTAAGGGAGGATGACTCTCACAAAGTCTAGCAGTTACAGGAGTGAATTTGGAGCAGAGTTCCAAGACCAGGAATTTATTTATGGACAAAATATAAAAACTAAAAGGAGGAGCCTGACAGCAGCAGGTACAGAGAGAGGGGTGACAATTTTTCAATACAAACTGGGAACAGAGTAGCTGGAGCCGGAAGCGCCCTCATGATCACTTCCTATTTGGAACACAGCGACTAGCGAGTTAGATATGTCCATTTATATATACATGGCTATGTTTGTTCCTTGATTAAGTTTTTCTTTTATTTAGTATGTTGGTAATTTTCTGAAGAATATGGCAAAAAAGAGGTATGCTTTTACAATATAACACTCCCAAAATTTTGTTGTGATTTCACTCTTTCACACCTGGATAATAAAATTTGTGACTATTTTTCTCCTTAATTAAGTCGTCCTAGATCCAGAAGTTATACGTCGCTATTTTTGGCAATAATTTGTATTTATATGGTCATATTCCTTAATAACTTAAAACATGTTACCTTGGACTCTCTTCCCGACACAGAGCTGTCTTCAGAATCTACAGAAAGAGAAACATTATTTACATTTAAACCACCAGCTCCGTCTTTTATAATTAAAGGCCCCGTATTACACAATTTCTCAGTCTATGTTATATTTGTTTCATTCACACATGTTTAACACACAAATCCAGCATATTTAGGCTAAGTTCTTCTCTCAGATTGAAAACACTCTGTTCCACTTTGTCATGTCATGTGATACAGTAAGTGTTTGGCTGTGTTTTTATAGACCATACACCTTCACTAGAATCATTTTGATAATTTCAGCCCTGGAATTGCCAGTCTTACTAAAAGTAAAAGGTAGCCATTAACTTGAAAACTACTACAAAACACAACTCCAGGTATGTTTTTGAGGAGGTAACAACATTCTAACATGACTGAAAGCTTACTGATAAAGTCCATTTTGTGTAGTATAGGACCTTTAATTTACCCTTTTATACCAACAGACCTAAACATGGGGGGTTTGCTTCTGTTTGGCTCCACTCCTCCCCTTCACTCTTCACCGTCGCCTCCGCCACCTCTTTCCCTTCTGCCCCGCCCTCTTCCATGACATCACTTCTTGTCTGTCCGTGCTCAGAGGTGACATCACTTCCCGTCACCTCCGCTCCTTCGCTCTCTATCTTCACCTGCTCTTCTGTCTTGGGCTCAGGTTGGAGCGTGGCTTCTAAGTCCGTTATTGTTGATGTTTGGGTGCTTGCTGTTGTCATGGCAGCCCCGGGGGGAGGGTCCTGGATGGGGTCCTGGACTGGGACTTCGGGGTGGTCTGCGGGCTGTGTGTCCCAGGGTCCGGGCAGAGCATGGGCCTCTTCACACAGAGACAGTGCGGCTTCGACTGCAGCAGCATCCAGCGCCTCCACAGAGTCATCCACCTATGCACAAGAATACACATTTATTTTTCTTTAATTTAATAAAATTTTCCAAATATCTGCATCGTTAGGATAATATGCTAAAATAAAGAAAGAGCTGAGAAACACACACACAAAACATAAGAACAAAAATTTCTGATTCTGGCAGAAATAGAAGGAGATATACAGTATAAAAAGAATGTTACCTCATCAAAAACATACTTGGAGCAGAGTTTTGTTTGAGTAATTGCTGTCTGTCTACATCTCCAATTAAGAGAAGAACTTAGCCTAAATCTGCAGGGTTTGTGTGTGAATGAAACAAAACACAACTCCAGGTATGTTTGTGATGAAAAAACAACATTATAACAAAGATCAGAAAATATCGTAATATGGGCCCTTTAAAATTTCACGTCATGTCAGAAAATACATCATGCAACTCTGAGATATGCCAAAATCCCGTATAGCTATGAAATCTTCACATTTTACCTTCTCCTCAATGATGGCGATGATGTCTCCCACCGTCTCCAGGTCGAGCTCGTCTCCCATGTACGACACGGCGACCAGGTCCTCCTCCCCCAGACCCGTGTCCTCACCCAGCTCCGCTTTCACCTCCGCATCTGCCTCTGCACAAACACGACCACCTCTCATCAGGATGAATACTACAGCACGGACAGCGATACTAATATTCTTGCAGTTGATACTTTGCAGCTGATGTCATCAACATTCCCTGGGGGTGTGATGCCAACTGTAGGCATGCTCTGTCTGAAGCTCTGCTACTTAAGTTAGACTTTACATGAGCTTTGTTTTAATGCAATCTGAACCTAAAGAACTGAACTACAAGTTTCTCTCATAACATCAGAGTCACAAGCTACCTAGCATTAGCCAGTATGCTCACCTTTTTATTGAAAATCAAACACCTAAACAAGACCATGAACGTGCGTATTGATCACAGACCCCTGAACATGAGCTGCTTAAATTCATTTTGTATGTTTTCTTCAGTTTTTAGACTGTCCTTAAACTTTGACAGTGTTAATGTGCTAATGTTTGCATTGTGTCACTGCAGTAACTACTGAAAACTACACCAGAGAGATACATGTAGCAGACCCCCGTGTGACGACACTGCAAAGGAATATAATTTTTGACTAAATAATTTCAGTTACACTAAATCAAAAAAGTGCATGCCTTAAATAGCTTCTGAAATTAAGGCGATGTACCTGATTTTTACCGTCTTAAAGTGGTTGTAGTTGTCCAAAGTTATTCCTCACTTACCTTTTGCATTCCTAACACCTTAATTAGTCACCTTAATGAGTTTATAAGCTTCAAACAATATAAGAGTTACAAATTTATGACAATACAAGAAGCACACAGTATAATTTCTCTTAATAAGTTATGATGATGAGAAGGAAAACCTGTATCCTTTATTTTATAAGGGACAATATGTGATGGTGGCCAGTGGTTGTTACTACAGTGGCTAGTTCATGTTGTTTTTAGGTCTGGACTGGTTACATAAAAGATATAATAATAATAATAGGACTACTGTGTCATAATGACTTTGCGCCCAAAAAACAAATATTGAGTTTGACAGCACGTCATGGTAGAAGATAATATTATAACATATGACAATACACTTTGGGCATTGTTTTTTTAAAATAGAGCAGATGACACAGGAGGAGGCCACAGTGGAGTGAAAGTGAAAGGTGAAAGCACTGACGTAAAGATAAACAATAGCCAGGTGTGGTTGTGTGCATGTCTGACTGTACATCTAACTGTGCGTCTGACTGAGTGAGTGTGTGCGTGCATGGGTGTATGGAGGAGACTCACCTGCTATGACGTCATGAGCAGCTGGTAACACTGTGGCTGTGGCAGTTTGGACTCCATTTGTGAGGTTTCCAGAGGCGTCACCATCTGAAACCTGAATTAAAAATATGAATCAACAACATTGTTTGAGAAAATATGAATGAAATATGAAATCTCGGAGGATCACCGCTAAGTGAAGTAATAATCAAGTGCTCTCCGGGGATCCCAAAGAGCACTTGATTAACATAAAACAACAACAAAAAAATTGCTAAGCATTTCAACATTGTTTCAAAATAAAAGATTTTGTTTAATTAAAGATTCTGGTTATTAGCAGTTTTATGCGACTGATCTAGGTTCCAATTTAGTTACACAGATACAACACTGCTTATCTTAAATCTGACAAGATCACGCCTTAACAAGATGATATGATGTTGGAGACCCTTGAAAAAAGTTTCTTGCATTGTTGATATGGATGTACTGATATCCAAATCTCACGGTACAATATTTTCACAACATGCATCTTATTGGTACAATAAATATTGCAGTCTTTTAGCGAGATTAACAGATTGGTGGATATGTTACTTTTTTCTTTGAAAGTGACTTGACAAGTCTACAGTGCCATTCATTACTGTCATATTCCAAAGAATTTAAATTTAACAACGTATACTATTATCTTATACTGTACTCTACACTGAAAGAAGCAAAAGATCATGACCTATTTAGTTCTCTCTTTTTATATACTTTTAAGTAGAAAAACATTGCAATGCAAAATACTGTGACAGTCCACAATATTATTGTGAGAGATTAGAAGATACCATATCATGATATTTCGGTTGTTGTTACAGCCATAATTGTTGACTGTGTTGTTGACTCGTCCAAATCTCTCTTAATCTGCTGAAATACACTATGTAAGAGGTGGTCTTGTCTCACCAATCTGGGACTTGCAGAGATGATGTTGCCCTTCTTGAGCAGCTCGGACAGCAGAGGAGAGGGAGGGGGCGTGGCCTTCTGAGCAAGGAGCCTCTTCTGAGGAGAGTCGTCCATGAGAGCGGCCAGAGTTCCCTCTTTAGGTCCAGAGGGGTCAGAGGGCAAGAACACCCCCACTCCCTGCGCCTGGAACAGAAAAGAAAAAAAAAAAAACATTAAGAAGTACAACTGAACTAAACTACTTAAAAGTGTACTTTGTAACTTTTTGGCTGGGGGTCTGTCACCCTCTTGTTTCTATGAATATGTCATTGCTCTGTCTGGAGTGTTCCACAGTATGACATTAAACAGCTCTACCTTTTCATTTATTCAATTACAGGTGGTTTTATAGCTCAAAAAATTCCTAGAAAAATAGGCATTCTGACTGTGAGCGGTGTCGCCTCTCTACAGATCTGACCTGTAACTTGATCTGGTTTGGTCTCCAAGAAGATAGAAGTGTTTAATACCACACTGTGAAACAATCCAAACAAAGCAATAACATCTCCATGAAGAAAAGCATTAACAGATCCTGTACCAGAAATGTTACACAATGCACCTTTAAACAATTTCAGAGTTTTTAATAAATGACTATTAAATGAAAATGGCCAAAATCAAAAAGCAATGATAAAGCCTTACAACATTATGGTGTCCAGTGTCTTCAGATGGGACACCTCCTGTGTCCATGGGGGGAGTGGGGACAGAGGCGTCGGTCTGAGAGTCCAGAGAGGTGGGACTGGCACCCAAAGGTGATCGCACTGTGACGCTGGGAAGGCGCTTGGGCGTGTTTTTAATGGCCTGACGAGCTATAAACAGATAAAGAATAATACATATATTTAATACATATATTTTTGGAACATAAGCCAGTTTTTTTCATCAAAACATTGTCTCTACATCTCACCTTGGTAGGCCATTTCCGTAGCTTTCCTTTTCTGCTCTGCCTCCTCCTCATCCTGTTTCTTCTTTCTGCCAGGCAAATACAATATAAAAGGTTAAACAACAAGGTACAATTTTTTTTCCTCCAAACTTCAGTGACTTACTTACAGTGTGATTTCTGTGAGCAGCTCCTTCAACTGTGAGTCCATGTGACCTGCCTGTATTAGGTCAACCTCTTTCTTCAATTTTCTATTGGGAAAGACAGAAACTATGAAACATGGTTTTCATAAACAGAACAATATAATAAACAGGCCCACACAGGAATATAACTATAAACTCATAGTAAAGGTATGTGTGTTTTTATTTCATAACATGTACTGTGATAATATAAGAGGGTACTTAAATACTTGACCAGGTTACGATTTATAATTAATTTGTAATTTTCAATCTATCCAGACAGTGCAGGTAGCACATAATCTTCCTTTTTTTAGGAATATTTTTCAACAGTTTCTGAGTCTTTCACCTATACTGCTCCTGTGTGTCTCTGAGCAGCTTCTTCAGCTCCTCAATCCTCTCAGTGGTCAGCCTCCGCACAATCACATCTTCAATGGTCTCCACCACTTCTCCCTTCTCTCCACGTTTTCGCCTGAACAAAAAGAAAACCACAAACATCAATAATCATCTCTATGATGACGCCAAACTAAGTGTATTTTTGTACTGACTTTGGTGCTTCTGTGGCTTCCAGCAGCTCAGAGTATTGAGAGGCACAGTGCTGAATGGAGACAAACATGTCATTAAAGCGTGTCATTGTGGTGGCAGTGATCACATAGAGGTATTGTAGACTGTGGTAGGTTTATAAATGTCATACTTTTTGGGAGAACCAGTCCGGAGGTCGTCCCGACTCTGAGAAAGGCTTAATGGCTCGACTTACAGACACCCTGAAAAACAAACAGCTTTATTTAGAAAACCATCAAACCACAAACTGTTCTTTATGGCATAGTGGTCTTCTGTGGGAGATGACGTGGATAATAATAAATCCTTTTTTGCAACTGACAAAAGCAAGAAGCCAAACTTACGTGGATTGACAATTAGATGATGGCAGTTACATGTGGCTGACTATGTAATATGGCTTATCTTGCTGATTCTGACAACTCTTAATACGACACATAATTTAAAAAAATATATACTGTCTAAAAAAATAAAATAAAATCAACACTACAAAACAAAATATAATTCTATTCATTCTATTCTCTTTGGTGTTTACTTCATTCCATCCTTCTTTTATTTGCTGGTATAAATTTCAACCATTACTGCCAATGTTCTTCGAAAACATCCAACTCTTGTTTCTGCTTAATGGTTATTCTTTCTTTCCATTGTGAAGATCTTATGTATTATGTCAATTCACTCATTTATAGTGGAAATTTCCTTCTTAAACCACTTCTTTTTGCCTCAACCAGTATTACTTTAATCAAATATGATTCAGCTTTTGGAAACTGTAAATACAGTATTCTATTTTATTGTATATTTAATTTCTATTCAAAATGCTGTAAAGTCCTGTACACATGAATGAATAAATAGGTCCTCACCAGTTTTGGTCTCCGCTCCTCATGACTGAAGAGGCCAGGCACAGCTTCTCTCTGATGGACCATGGCTCAGTCGGCCCCACGTTCAGGATCTTGTGTTCTGGGGAAAAGGACAATTATGTCACATGAATACATGGGTGTTGTGAGAAAAACTGTGGATGTTCATTTAAATCTGCAGTGAGTTATTACATTTGTGTGAATTATTCAGTATACAAATGCTGTTCAATGCCTTACCCAATTGGATATTTAAGGTTAGTATTAGTTATTATTATTATATTAGTTTATAGTTATACATTTTTCCTCATTTTATATTATTCATTATTCAAAAGTGGATTATGCCATGCTGAATGTAGCTTCAATGTACCAATGAAAAGTGCTATGTGCAAGACATTCAGGTCACTAATACATATCTACAAATTACGATGGAACAGTGTTTATAGTTTATTGAAAATAATCAATATCAGTTCGTGTTGTGTCACAATATGATCTGTTCAAATATTAAACTTTAGATCAAGTCAATGTTTTGTTGTTTTTACATCGTTACATTCATCAAAACCATAAAAGGCAAACATACAGAGCGCCAACATTGTTTTGTTTACAAGAAGGCTAGTGCAAGTTAGCATGTTTTTGCCGCTGATGTGGTTTTACAGTTTTTTAAATACTTTTAGCACCTTTCAGCTACAACTTTCTGTTATAAGTGTTTGTGTTAAGATCATATGCATTAGATAATAACAACAACAGCGTACAAATACATTAATAATACTTGATTTCTTGAGTTACAACGAGGTTTAGCTTAGCAGTGCAGATACGGGGGACAATTTGATGGGGCACACACGGTTGAAAGCGACTCGTTTTATAAACATTGGCACATCGTAATTGCCTTTCAATGTATATACTCCTATTTCTTGTGTATGTTAAAGGACGTATCGGTTGCTGGTGAGTAAATAAAGCCAAAAACGCCTCAGAAATAGCACTTACTCCCGATGCCGCTCGTCATCTCTTTTGTGAGCAAGCCGTGGCTCACTTCCGCCGGACCACATTCAGCGGCGCACACTCAGAGCGGAACTGAAGCGAGCAGAGGTTTCCATGGAGATGTGACGCGTAGAGCCTCAGAGAGCAGCACCAACACCGCAGGCTTTAGTTCACCTTTATTTACTCTAGATATATCTCTTTAGTGACTTTGTTTCATTATTATTCAAAGGTTCATGTTGTTACCTCATTAAAACATAGCTGGAGTTGTATTTTGTTTCATTCACACATGTTTGAGTAACTCTTTAGAGTTTGAGTCTGTCTGCATCTCTAAAGCTCAAAATGCTCTGTTCCACCTTGTGGTTTCATGAAGAAGTAATCTCCAAGGTGACAGCTGCCTTTTACCTTTAGTTCATTAGCAACTGGCAATTCCAGGGCTGAAATCATTCAAATGCCTCTAGTTAAGGTGTATAGACTTTAAAAACACAGTGGAGCACGTCCTGAATCATCACAGGACATCACAAGATCTAAACAGAGTTTTAAGTCTGAGAGAAGAACTCAGCCTAAATATGCAAGATTTGTATGATATACATAACTCCAGGGCTGTTTGTCAGATCAGAAAATAGTGTAATCTGGGCCCTTTAAATCTTTATCAGGATGACTGCACATGTTTTATCACATTTATGTTTGAATACTCTGTGTTCATGCCACAGCTACTTCTAGGTTTCACTCATATTCAATCTAGACATTTCTCTTTACTTATTTCATTTACTTCATTGTCATTTAAAGATCAGTCCCAATGAGAGAAAAAAATATTTTCTTGTTTCAGAATTGTTGTTGCTGCTGTTCCTTGTCTTTACATCTAAAGTAAACGTACCAGTGTAGACTTACAAAAATAAAAAAACAAACATTTGTTTAAATATGGCAGTCTTTATTTCAACAAGACTAAGAAATGTTGTTTAATATACATTTTCTTTTACAATGTAACATCTATCTCTGGTTTTCCGTAACATTTAGGAGATACTCTGACAGTAAAAATCTGGTGAAGGTTACGGCCTCTTTTAGAGACTTCTAAAACGCCTGCTCTGTATTTACACTTTCTTCTTTTTTTTCAGTCAGTCCTCAATAAAGAGTCCACTCCGGTCCTGAAGGGGGCACTGGCTTTTTGTCCAACCTAACTTTAAAGTCCCAGGACTCAAAGTTGAACCAAATCTTCTGCATTTTTGGACCGGGCCATCTCCTGCTGGTCACAAATGCTACTGTAGCCGTGCCCCGCTAGCTCAGACGCACTCCATCTTCACCCAAAACACAGGGTTTCAATCAACACCATTTGTCCACTCAATGAACACATGCACGAGCCCTTTTGAAATGTTATTGGCACTCAGTTGGGAGAAAATCATTACCAAATCTAGCCACTTTAAGGCACAGCTCATTTAAATTAAGGCTTTAGTATTTTTTGACAGGTTGCATAGATGTTTTGTACAATATTCCCATTTCAATTCAACACCTTCGATAAAAATACCTGTACGATCATCTTGTCACCTTCAAATAAAACCCCCAAAAAATCCATCTTTCTTTCTTGCATTGACATTTTAGGAGGGACAAGTGACAAGTACGTGAACGTTATTACAAAATGCATATTAAGAATTCTTCCGATCTGATTTTTTTGTGAATTAAATACATGGTAAGAAATTTTAAGCAACACCAAGCAACGTTTGTATAAATTAATTATTGTCAAGTTGATATTAGACAAAAAATATAATATGTCAACATTATTAGGTACAGTTTCAGAGACTTTTTGTAAAAAAAAAGTTCAAATTTTTAGAAAGAAGCTGAATAGTGTTGCTTTGTATATTAAAAAGTATACTTGGATAATGTAAATGATTTACATGTGTTTTGGAAACCCCATTATAGGCAGCATAACAAGTAAAGTCATGTTTTTAAAAAATCCAGATTTTTAAATAAAGATAAACTATTGTGTTGTGCTCATCTGCTTCTCAACAATAAACCACCAGGGCCTTTGTAAAATCAACACTCATATCTTACACTCATTCATGTGAAAATTTTAGGTAAAAAATAAAAAGAAATCAGGCATTGCATTTGTTTGAGTGGTGACAGAAGTTACAACAGCAAAAACAGTGAGAAATCACAACAAAACAAGAATAATGATCCGATGTTTTTGAATGATGCAGACGCCGGCCATTTTGGTGGTACACGTATAACAGCGGATGGGGGTGAACGGGCTATAGAAAATCAGAGAAATAAAATTAAAACCAGAAAATGAATAGTTTTAGCCCAAAATACTGTGCACAATAAGACAAAGTGCCCCCATTTCTCCTTGCCTGACTTTCCACCACCTAAAACTAGCAGTAAAAATCACTGTAGTACCTAATATATATCTTCAAACCAGCTAAAAATTACAACTCCATAATATAAAACCCTGTATTAAAATAATCTTTTTTTTCTTTTTATCCACACAGTCTTTTGTTCCACATTTTTTCAACATTTAAACATACACACGCCGCCCCTGTAAGACTGTGCATAGCATGTAGTCACCACAAGGGGGAGTCAAACATCATCTTTTGCCCATTTAACAGGATTAAACCATCTCTCGCCTTATTATTTTTAAGTACCTGACTCTTATATCACTAGATTGCATTGATATTGAGCACGAGGTATAACTTACTACTGTACTGCAGAAGCCAGATTTTGACTGCTATTTTAAAATGAAAAACGAGTGTTATACAAATATGCATGTAACTTAACCTAAGCTAAATCCTTAGGTTAAACGCAATACCGGTAATGCAAATTTGCTATATTTCACACAAGATGGTCCCTATAAGCTTCATAAAAACTTGCATGTGTATATACATTGTTGAAAATATAACTTTGCACATTCAAAAAAGGCAAAAAGGATGATTTGTTTTGAATTGTGTCTCCGTCTATGCTACATTGTTAGAAAATAGTAAAAGGCGTTGCGGACCACTAGCTCTCGCAACTTTGCTCGTTTGGTAATAATTAGTGAAGAAGGCACAAGAGATAACTGCCCGAGTAAGACAATTCAAGAGTCTGTTTTTGATGTAGACAGGTCCAGCAAAGACGTAGAGAACAAAAATGGGAGGGGGGACGTTAGCTTCACTTGAGTCCATTGAAGCAAACAATAATTAAAAGTGAATTAGGAACAGCGCCCCCTATGCAAAGTCTTGATAGCAGTCTTTAAAGTCTCTCTCTGACAGTTTTATCTTTTTGTTTTTTTTCCGTTCCTGGGTTCGTGCATGTAGTCTTTATCTCCAGTGGGGGATGAGCAGAGCCAGGAGTAGAGCAGAGAGAGCCAAAAGCAGACTGGCCCTTCTGGAGACTGCAGACCCAGAAGGGGATTTGACCACAGGGTCCAGGCGGGGGGCGGGGGGAGTGCTGAAGTAGATGTCCTGGTCGCTGGTGCAGGAGGGGGGGTCACAGCCGCTGCCGCTCTCCTCTCCTCCGCTCGCTTCTTCGTCTGAACAAAACAACAACGGGGCGAATGTTAGAAAAATTACATATGAAAGAAAGTCACTGCATAAAGGTATTTAATGAGTGAAAAATGCAGTTACAGTTAGCGCAGATTACCAGTTAAAAGTATGGGCACACCTTTTCATTTAGTTTTCTTCTGAGGGTGTAACAAGATTATAACATGACTTAAAGCTCACAAGAATCCGTTTATGTACTATAGAGCCTTTAAATGGCTAAAAAACACTGAAATAGATGAGTAGCAGTCTTCATAATGTAGTGGTAAATCAAGTTTTATTGGGATTGTAAATGCTTCTAATAACAAAAAATAACAATAACGGTGTTGGTTTTATTATTTATGTATGGTATGTCCTTTGCAAACCACAAAATATAACGTTTTCATTAAAAAAAAAACTGCTAACCCTGTAGTTTTTTTTTTGTTTTTTTTTTAAAGTATGTGATTCGAGTATTAGTTTAGCAGTTAATGTTTCAGTCTACTCTAAAATTTAAGGTTAACGGTGCACTGTGTGACTCTTCTGGTGGAGGTGATGGTGATGTTATTGCTTTGCCTGGGATGTTCCACATTATGGCATTATGCAATTAAATTAAATGTCATACTGTACAACATTTCAAAAGTTACATAGGGCACCTTTAAGGGACTTTATTGTCACTAAAGGTAAACAAGTGTGCCCTGTTAACTCAAGCAAAATCACAATACACACAAACTGCAATTTCAAGACTTTATAAAGTCAGTTTTCACTAAGGCTATATCCATAAGGCTATTATTTAAAAAACAAAAGACTATTATTTAAAAAACAAAAGACTATTATTTAAAAAACAAAAGACTATTATTTAAAAAACAAATTGCATAATCATGACGCAGGCTCTGGAAATGTGTAACTCTAACCCAAGACCTGAATGCTACCGTTACATTCTGGTATATAATGACAATTATTTTTCGCTGACAGTTGAACTGTATTACCCAGATTATTACTTTATCAGTAACGTGGCTAATAAATGTTTTTACTTGATCTAAATATAAAGTCTACAATGGCTACGTTCAGACTGCAGGGCTTAATGCTCAATTCCGATTTTTTAGTGAAATCCGATGTTTTTGCGAGGTCGTTCACATTTCCAATTAAATATGACTTGTATGTGATCTCCAGTGTGAACATTAAACTGCCCGAAAGTGTCCCGCATGTGCACTGGAGACACGATGACGTCATCCAGCGAGCGTGCTCTGTGTTTACGGAAGTTGTCCAAACATGGACACGAGCATTGAGCACCTGGAGATTTTAAAGTTCCTCTCGTACCGGAGCCAGAACATGAACAACTTACTTGAGGAGGAGATTGAGAAGGAGAAGGACGAGGTTTTTGGCCGTGGTGTTTTGTGGGGCAGTGGCAGCAACGTCCATTGAAAGGAACGTGTGGATGTGGAAACGTAGCCAAGAGTGGTGAGTGGTGATGTGCTTCACTTCAGTGACACGGAGTTCATTAACAATTTTCACCTACTTCAGTGCAGAATAGTGACGTTTGTGGCTTGTTGATAACGTGTAGGTCTGATGAATGCGCTTTGGTCGTTCACACTGAAGTCACATGTCAAAAGATTGGATATGTATCGGTTTCAGGACCACATATCGAAGTGGCCTGGGTCACATTTGAAAAAAATCTGATCTGTGTCGTTCAGACTGTCATTAAAAGATCAGATACAGGTCACATAGGGGCCAAAAACTCAGATTTGGGTCACTTCAGGCTGCAGTCTGAACGTAGTCCAAGTCTCTCGGTTATGAAGCTTAAAAACCTCACCTGTATCAATGGAGATGTCATTGCCGTTGTGTGCTGCTTTGAGCCAGCTGGTCATCTCCTTTAACACCGCGATCTGACTCCGGATCACAATGTCCGGCTTCGTGATGTCCACGTCCACATCTGGGTTCGACACCTGATTGGCCAGGCCGTTGCCGATGACGACGGACTCATACCTGTCAAGCAACACAGTAAGGGTTAAAACGTATGCAATGATTACCCTGTATTATGTTTTTCTGAGGTAAAATACAAGATGCACACAGGCATTTTGGTAATCATATATTTATAAAGTAAAAAAAAACAAAACGTACTTAACGCCTGCATTAGTCTAGATTAAGCCCCATTGTCCCTGCTCTAGTCCCTGCTCTAGTCCCTGCTCTAGTCCTAGTTTAGACCAGGTTTAGTCATTGATTGGACATGGGTCTTATTCGAGTTCACACCTGGTTAAGCTCTAGAATAGACCCCATTTAACTCAATGAAAATATAGCATGAGACCAGACTGGTTTAGTTCTTACATGGTCATAAAATTGTTTTGTGAATGTTGATGAAACGGAGTCCCGGTTTAATTGGAAGTCCATCAGTCTCAGACTAGCTATCATTTTGTTTTAGAAATGTATTTATTTAACTTATAATATTATTTTTTTGCCTTACCTGCTTTTGGCGGTGCCGTTCCAGCACTCGTCTCCGGGGCGATCCTCTCTCCTGCGCACACCGTCTCCGGCAGCGTCGACCAGAACTTCTTAGCGTGTTTCAGCCTCTTCTTCACGTCATTCGTCTAAAAAGAAAAACAGAAGAAAAAAGGGACACAAAAGGTTTATATAGAAGTGATACAAGAAGAAAAATGCATTCTTGGTTGACATGAAAATGAATAAGCAAATAATCTTCTATGGAGTCAGGCAATTGCTAAAACATAACATTACAGGTCTTATATTACACAAAATCGTAACGAACTTTAAGCCATGTTATAATTACCTCCTCAAAAACAGACCTGGAGTTGTGTTTTGTTTCATTCACATGTCTGAGTAATCCTTTATTATTAATCTGTCTACATCTTTAAAAGCTCATGAAGCTGTTTTTCATCTTATGACATGATAGAGGAGCGGTTTAAGTTCACAGCTACAATAATTCCAGAGCACTCCCCGTATTACCGCATTACATCACAAGTGTTTTCAGTTTGAGAGAAGAAGTCAGCTTGAATATGCAGGATTTGTGTGTTAAACATGTGTGAATGAAACAAAACACAACTCCAGGTCTGTTTCTGATGAAGAAACAACATTATAACATAGATCAAAAAACAGTGTACTAGGGGCCCTTTTAATAAAATAGTAAATATTTAAACAGATTCACACAGGTGGTTCTTACCAGTCTGTCTAAGCTGGTGCCTGCTGCGGTGGTGGGCCTGGCGTCTGGACTGTACGGTCTGAAGCGGCCGGTGAACGCAGTCTCTTTGATCGAGCGCTTGGTTCTGAAGGCCATGCTCGGTTTGGGCTGACCACAACCCTGGAACACCTGAGGGAGGAGACATAAACAAGAAAGAGACTACATTAGAGACTTTACAGGCAAGAGGAAGTGAGTTGGTAGAGTGTTTGCCCACTGATCAGAAAGTTGACGGTTCGATTTGAAGGTATTAAGTTTAATGAATGCATAAAGAGACACAAACCTTCTGTGAGACCTGCATGCTGTTCTCCTGCATATTCATGATGGCGTCAGAGAGCTTCACGTCGATGGGATCCATGACGGACTCGAAGTTAAAGGGACCCTCCAGACGATCGGCCAGACTCAACATGGCGTCTGTGAAATACAATCACAGAAAAAATATTACTGATGCTGCATGAAAAAAAATCAGATCATGCTTTTTATTTGTATTTAAAGTGCACAAAAACATCTCCATTATGTTAGGGGTGGGGCAAGACAATTATCACAAGACGAGACAACTTTGAGTCCATGACACGAGATTTTAACTTTTTAATTAATCTACTTTTATTCACATTTTTATATATTTTGCACAACAAATTTTGCTTTTATTGTAAAACTATAACTCACCAGCCCTTAACAAATGTAAATACGTAGACAATTTTTCTAATTTTTGCACAATCTGATGGAAGTTTTTAATCACTTGCGATTTTATCCCAATCTTAATATTAAAATTTTCTACATTTTGTCTTTTTGTTCTGTCTCCATCGATCTGTGCATTTTCTGCTTTGACTTGTGTTATTTTTCAAGTAATTCTTCATTATCAATCCAGTTCAACTACTGTCGTAATACAAAACCACCACCAGAGGGAGCCACAACATTTCATTTAACGTTAAAACCAAGGCCTTGAAGTTAGGTTTGAGGAAACTGCAGACACCAGAGGAGCAGAGACAGTAGCGGAGAGAGAGATGGACCATTTCAACTGTGTAGAAAACTCGAAACACATTTACGCCCCTGGAATCTGTCATATTAAATTCAGTTAATATGTCTATTAAAGACCAGGACTTTCTTTTCTTCCATAGCTCGAAATGAAAACAATATGGGTCTGTCGTATTTACCGCACAAAGACCAGCTCCTCCCGGTCCATTTAACCTTCACAACGTACAGGAGAATAGGGGACGTGTTTGAACAAGATTTTCACACAATAAGCAGCAATGTTTAGTTCAATCTATTAGACGGAGCTGGAGGGCACATAGGTTCAAAGGCTTGTGCATTACAGTTCGCTTTGTGTTAGCTTGTTGCTCAGGAGTAGAACGTGATCAGATGGTGAGATTAAACTGTAATGATTTTCAAATGAGTTATGAGGCCATCAGTGAATGTAATTTTAAAGATTTGCCTTAGTCTATGGTTCTCAAACCTTCCCACCAAGTACCACCAGGTCTAAACAAGGCCTAAAAAGAACTATTCTACGTCTAAAGTAGGACCAAATCAGGACTAAAAATGACTACACATCCTATTATAGAAGTCTGAGAAACACTGGGTTAGACATAAGGGGACAGGAGTTTCATATTCCATTTCTATAAAATATGAAGCAAAAAGTATGAAAAAGCATAATCTTAATTAAATATAGTTTACAGTGTTGGGAAGGTGACTTTTAAAATGTATTCCCCTACAGATTACAGATTACATACCCCAGAATGTAGTCTGTAACGGAATCCATTAAATTACTTAAAGTGAGTAGCGTAATCTGAATACTTAGGATTACTTGATTTGCTGTAGAGAAGCAAAGATGAGGATATCGTAACATAAGATGTTTTGTCTGATAAAAAAAAATCAAAAGCCCAAACTTTACTTAACCGTATTATTATTGATAGAAGAGGAGACACGTCCACGCAGCATGGTTTAGTCCTGTTTTAATCCTGTTAAATCCTGGTTTAGTCCTGGTTTTAGTAATGGTTTTGGTCCTGGTTTAGTCCTGGTTTAGATCTAGTTTAGACCTGGTTTAGTTTCCGGCAATGAGTGGAATTACCGAAAAAAAAAAAAGGGGGGAGGGAGGGGATATAGCCCAAAATGTGAAAACAGGAAAACAGGAAAATACCGCTGTGTAATCCATTTATTTTAACAAAGTAACTGTAATCCAATTACCACTCACTGAAACAGTAACTGTAACTGAATACAGTTACTCATAATTTGTACTCTGATTATGTAACTCCGGTACATGTAATCTATTACTCCCCAACACTGATGGTTTATTGTTAATGGCGATAACTGTGATATTGGCAGATTTCTACAGGTATCAGTATCGTTCCAATATCAAACATTTAGCTGATATTTGGCATTGGTATGTTTTTTTGCACTGTGTGAAAATTTTAATTTATACCCCAGACAAAATACATTTTGTCTTTGACAAACGCGACAAGTTTGTAAAGTGCACTCTTACTATAACATACATTTGGTCCTTCCTTTTTTATTTTTTTTTTATTTTGAAGTCTTAAGTTTGAAATGTAATCGAAAAACAAGTCTAGACCTCGCTTTACCCATAAACCACATGGTACTCCTGCAACTGCGCCTCTGACACCAAACTGTGAGCTCTGACCTGGACCTCAGCCTGGCGCAGTTTGATTCACAACAGCTCAGTTTAGAAACCAAAGAGAAAGGGCTGTATTATAAAATAATCTCTTTTTTCATGATCTTGAGCTGTATCAGAACAAGTATAAGAGCACATAGACTAGTACACGTCCACGGACCACTGTGGAACCGACCTGGACGACTGACGGATTACACAATATTGCGTACTGTTGGAAATCACATTCTACTGTCTAGATGAGTGTTTTTTTATTATTATTGTGGTATTAGTGTCAGAATCAGTATTCAGTATAAAGTCTATTCTTTAGCATCAAAATCATATTTAAATTTCAGTATCATGACAGCACTGACAGACTCCTTGCTGGTATCGTCAACATTCCCTAAAAGCACTACTCTGTCAGAAGCTCTGTTATTCAAATAAGACTTTAATGTGAGCTTCATTTTAACACAATCTGACCAGAAAGAACTGACTTGGTTGCAACTATAACAGGTGAGATGATTTGCGCAGTTAATCGAGTCTTTTCACACCAGGGTTGGACTCAGTGAGGTGGACCATCCCAGCCACCTTTTTGTTGAAAACCAAACACCTACACAGGACCACGGACGCTCGTGTCGATCACAGGCTCCTGAAAATGTGTTCCTTAAATCCATTTTGTATTTTTTCTTGCGTTTTCAGATTATTTTAAAACTTTTTCTGTGTTTGCCAATGTGTGCACTGTGTCGCCATGGTAACTGATGAACATTCCTCCACTCACCTAAGAAGTTGTTCCACTCGGTGTCCAGATCAGCCTGATTGGCCAAACAGCCCCTCATTACGTTCAGACAGTAGTTTTGACACGGCTTCAGCGCGACCTGCCCCGAACAGTAGGGGCAGTATAACATCTTCATGGCAGCACGCACACAGCTCGGAGATGCACTGACCTAAGAAGAAGAGGGCAAGACAAATGTGAGAATGAAATGAAAAAATATTTGTGGACAGATGCGAAAAGGGCTGAAGAAGCAATACTTAAGTCTAGCCACAGTCAAATTTAATCATCTATGAATCACACAGTGGAAAAATATGTTTCCCAAATGGTGGATTTAGTGGACTATGGAAGATGTTATTGCTTTGCCTGGAATGTTCCACAGTATGGCATTAAACTGATCTATCTTCACGGAGACAAGCCAGTGCCAGGCTAGAGGTCAGATCAGTGGAGAGGAAACCCGTTAAGAAAAGCAGGACATTTTAAGCAACTAAGAAGCACATATAACTTGAATTAATGCAACATAGATACCCTTAATGCCATACTGTGGAACATTCTATAGACAAAGGAATAACATCTCTACAGACAAAAGATTATCTGATCAGAAAAGCTACACAGTGCAACTTGAAAGGGGCCATCTTACTCTATTTTCTGATCTATGTTGTTTCCTCATCACAAACAGACCTGGAGTTGTGTTTTGTTTCATTCACACACGTTTAACTCACAAACCATGAATATTTAGGCTGATTTCTTCTCTAAAACTGAAAACACTCTCTTCCACCTTGAGGCTCCACTGTGTTTTTAAACTCCATACACCTTCACGAGAATCAATTGGACCATTTCAGCCCTGGAATTGCCAAACTCTACTGAAGGTGAAAGCTGCTAATTGAAACTACAGCTTCATGACATCACAAGGTGGAACAGAGCATTTTAAGCTCTTCAGATATAGAAAGATTAATAATAATAAAATATTATGCAAACATGTGAATGAAACAAAATACAACTCCAGTTATGTTTTTGATGAGGCAACGGCATTATAACTAGGGGTGTGCAAAAATATCAAAATATCAATATATCGTATCATTTAATTTGATGACACAGTATTGATATCGTGGGCTGCTGTAGCGATATATCACCAAGAGTATTTTTTGGTATATTTTTTAAAATTATTTTGTTGCAGCACCACAGTTTAGTTGTTTGTTTAGTGGAAGGAAACTCGTGTATGCAGCACATTTCACATTTTCACTGTTTTGAGGAATAAAATGTGTTTGTTTCATTTGAACTTTGTGGTTTAACAAAGACTTTTAATGTCGCAGACGTGATTTAGACATTATTCTTTATTGAACTATATTGAATCGATTTGAAATATATCGTATCAAATCGTAAGATCACTGTATCGAGATATGTATTGTATTGGCAACATCTTAATGATACCCAGCCCTAATTATAACATGGCTTAAAGCTCACAAGAGTCAATTTATAGGACCTTTAAAGTAAAACACAAGATGCTACACCTTTTTTTTTTTAACATGATGATTTGGATTGGTTTGAACAGGGCAAACTCGTAGTTTTGACCCATTTTCTCTGCTTGGACAACCATCCAAATTCCTAGGAAAGACTAAAGTTTGGATGCTGAGGTTCATGGGAGAATGAGTGGGATTTGTGGACTATTGTTTTGGAGGACATCCAGAGACAGATCTTAAGTTTTCCTACAGGGACATTTGACTGAGCGTGATGCAAATTCCAAAAGACAAATACAAAAACACTTTAAAAACCTCTGAATTCAGCACTTAAAAGGTGCACTGTGCAAATTTTCTGGTGTAGATAGGACACTTCACTATGTGTCTGATGTCAATACTTTGGTTTAAATGGTCCAGATTCTGGTACTGAATTAATCTGTCCTGCATGTATTTAACTACAGGTGTTAAAGTGCTCAAAAAGTATCTTGAAAAACATCCATTCTTACAGTGATTAGGGTCGCCTCGCCACAAATCTAACCAGTAATTTGGATTGCAAGTCTCCATGGAGATTCATAAGTTTATGTAAACAAGTAAGGCGACTGACCCTCTACCAATCAAGTTACACAGTGCACCTTTAAAGTTTTATTTTGAACCATTTGCTCTTCAGTGTGTGTTTTATCATCATAATACACTATGAGGAGCAATAGTGTATGGCATTATTGTATTATTTTTAAGGTTGCACTATAACTTTTGTAGCAGACGGTTTGACACCTGCTTGTTTCCATGGAGATGTCATTGCTTTGCCTTGAATGATCCACAGTACGGCATTAAAAGTGTCTTATCTTCACGGATATAGGCCAAGTTATAAGCAAGATCTGTGCGCACTCACAGTAAGATTGTGCTTTTCGAGTTACTTTTGAGGTGTAAAAAGAGCTATATTTGAATTTCCCAAACAATGGAAGTGGTTGCATTTGATTGCCAAGGTAATATGTAAACTGTTATATTTTACAGTTTATTTTATGGTGTAAGTTGAGATAAAGAAAGCAGGTGACAAATTAGTTACAGTTAACCCAAACTATTTCCCCAACCATAATCATAATCCATTTCCTAACCTAAATTATAACCCTGTTCCTAAACACCATTACTTTTCAGGCCGTCTCTCCGGAGCGTACTATCTTGCATTCACTAGGGATGGGGCAAGATTCTGTGCCACAAGATCTTGTGAAATAAAACTGACACAAAAAAAAAAAAATCCCCATGTTTACATTTCCTTGGGCAAACAAGTGGGTTAAACGCTGGAGAGAAGCTGTCGTTCCAAAAAGCAGTGCAAATATAACAAGAAAAACACTGAACAAACTAAAATAATGTCAAGTCTAAAAGTCTCAGCTTGTCTTGTTCTCAAGCTTGTGTTGGATCTCATCTCATTGAAATTGTGTCTTGTCCCATCCCTGGCATTAACTGAAGTTCAAGTCTATAATGTGAAATCTTCTGGGCAAACCAGTATCATCTCCATGGAGACGAGCAGAAAAGTTGCACAATACACCTCCAACATCTTAGCTTATACTCACTGCCCTCTCACTACACACAGACCTCTCCAGAGCTTACTAGAGAGTACACTAGATAGATAGATAGTATATAGACAGAAGCTTGTACTCACTGTGGACACTTTGTTGACCACTTCGGGCATGAGGGCCAGTCCCTTGGTGAAGGTTCTGGCTGCCACAAAAGCCCTGGTCAGTTGGATCCGAAGTTTCCGCGGCACATCTCCAAAGGGCATCAGCTGATCCGTGTGCCTGCTCACACACTCCATGTAGGCATCATTAAACTCGTACTGGACGTTGACCAATCGAAACATCCGCTCCAGAAGCTCCGCCCAGAAGTCCGACAGCATGGACTCCAGGTTGATGGCGGCGCTTCCGCTCACGTAGTAACGGGTCAGGTCCTCGAAGAACTTCTTGAAGAGTTCTGCGTTCTGGACGTACATCATCCCGTAGGTGCGCACGAACATGTTGTGTAAAGAGCTCTCGGCGTTTTTAAGCAGCTCTCGGAAAAACTCTGAGGAGAAAAGAAAGAGAAAGATAAGTGAAAATCAACAGTAATAATAATTGAAGTAACTACAGTTTGAGTTAATAAAGAATGAACGGACTTAATTCATAACAGTTTATCAAGAATTGGCCAAATAATAATAGAAATAACTACACTTTGAATGCCCATAATAAAGCATGAATAAAGTCTTGATTCATTCTTTCATTCATTCAAGAGTTTATCAAGAATGAATCAGTAGATATTACCTACTTGATATCTTAACTCATAACCCCAATCCTTAATTAAGTAGTTACTGAGCCTAATAAACTAATAAACTATTATTATTATTATTATTATTATTATTATTATTATTATTATTATTAAATTTTATACCAGGTAAGTCAATTGGTAACACCTTCTCATTTGCAGTGATGACCTGTCCAAGAGGCAGGATAAAACAGAAGTACTAACAGAATACACTCATATTCATAAAATGAAACTGAATAGACGTGAGACAGTGAAACATTTGCAGAATTAAAAGATATAAAAGTGTTAAAAGCAAGTGCAATGATCCTGTAAAATACTCTGGATGGAGCTTTTAAAAGTCAACAGAGGTAAAAACTAACTATTTTTAAAAGTCAGTTTCATATTTGTTCTAGAGATAGACCAATATAGGCCGATATTTGCACTTTTTAGCATATCAGCAATCGGCTGAAGATTTAAGTCCAAAGAGTGTACTGTAAAAATGTGTCTACAATGAACACTACACAGCTTGTCTGTACAAAATTTTAATTTGATAATTTGGGGAAAATTACCTAAATTGGTATGCAGCAGTTATTAGATCATATACTTAAAGGTGCACTGTGTAACTTTTCGTGAGGAGGTCCATCACCTTTTTGTTTCTGTAGATATGTCATTGCTCTGCCTGGAATGTTCCACAGTATGACATTTAACAGCTGTACCTGACATTTATTCAATTACAGGTGATTTAATAGCTCAAAAATACCTAGAAAAACGTGGGTCGCCTCTCCACAGACCTGACCTGTAACTGGTTTGGCCTCCATGAAGATAGAAAGGTTTAAGACTATACTGTGAAACTTTTCAGACAAACAATAAAATCTCCTTGGAGAAAAGCTTTTGACCAACCCTTCACTAGAAAAGCTACACAATGCACCTTTAAACAGCCTCACCAAGAGCGAGGGCAGACGGCATTACACTCACAAGAGACAGGGGAGGCTGGAATTAAGTTAAAACTTGCAACACCCAAGGACTCGTGAGGAGAAATAAAGAGACTGTGACCTTGACTCAGAGCTTTCACTTAAACAAGACAGTAACTCCTCTTCAGAACCACACGCTCTTACGATCTTTAAGTTTTTGGCCTTACGTAGAACTGTTAAATTGGTTGTAAGGTGAAACATTTCTTAGTGGCTTTAAGGAATTCTCATTTTATCCAGATTAAGAAAGTTTCAGGATGGAGTGGACAGAGGGGGAGGAGGGGAAGGAGGGAGAGAGAGGGAGAGAGGGAGAGAGGAAAGGGTAGATGGACATTCCTTGGGATGAAATAGGTCATTGTTCAGCGTCTCCAATGAAGAGAGTCTGAAGAAACTGATGAGGTGAAAGCTGCATTTGAGAGAGAGGAGGGAGATATAGAGAAAGAGGGAAGAGAGAAAGAAATGGAGAGCGGGAGCGTGACAAGAGTGCTACAGAGGAGACAGAGGAGAGGGTGTAAGGGGGTTGAGAAACAGACAGCGAGAGAGAGCATGATAAGACAGAGAGAGAGAGAGAGGAGGGGAGTAAGGGAGATGAGAGAGAGAAAAGGAGAGAGAGAAGAGATGGTAAGGGGGATGAGAAAGAGAGACGGGGGGGGGGGTTCCTTTTGAAAGTGTCAGCGAAGGACAGTCCTCGAGTGAAGGAAAATGAATGGAATGTGACAGAGAAATGCTGTTGATTGTGGTCAGTGCAAAGAGGCTCAACTTAAAGCAGCAAACCTTCGGACAAACAAAACGACTCACGACAGCACAATTACCATGGCGACAATCTACACGTGCTATTCATTTGTCATAGTGATTATATCATAAAAATGTTGTGTGTTAAAACATGAGTGTTCGGTTTGATTTGTTTTAACTGAGGTCACAAAGTAGCAATTCAATTTAAAGAAAACACTAACACTTTATAATAAGTACACTACTGCACAACATTTTCTATGTTTTAATGTTGTTTCATCATCGCAAACAACCCTGGAGTTGTGTTTTGTTTCATTCACTCACGTTTAACACACAAACCCTGCACATTTAGGCTGAGTTCCTTGAAAGGTAAGAAACAAATTTTTTGAAAGTGGCAACCATTTATTGACTTTTTTGAAACAGTCTAAACCAGGGGTCTCTCCAACCTATAGCTCTGGAGATACCCGCAGTAGCTCTCCACCCCCATACAAGTAGCTCGCCAAAGGATTTCTGAATTATGTACTGAACGTATTGTACTAAATAACTCAAATTTTGTACTCAAACTTTGTAAATGGATAATGGTTTAATGTTTTATAGGCATCTACCTGTACATCTAAGGCTTGCCTCTTATATCGAATAAATTTCTTGCAACAGCTAAAATGAGTAGCTCTCCTGCATTTTCATTTTGTAAAGGCAGCTCACCTGACGCAAAAGGTTGGAGATCCTGGGTCTAAACCAACCATATATTTTATTTATGTATGTATGTATGTATGTATGTATGTATGTATGTATGTATTATTATTATTATTATTATTATGTAGTATTAGTAGTAGTAGTAGCAGTAGTAGCAGCAGTAGTAGCAGTAGTAACAGTAGTAGCAACAGTAGTAGCAGCAGTAGTATTAGTAGCAGTAGTAGTAGTAGCAGGAGTAGTATGTTAATAATAGTAGTAGTATACTTATTACCATTCTATTATATTGTATGACGCTACTCATGTTTCTTGAGTGATTTGCTTTTGTTAGTCAACTTTGTAAGTTATGTTTTATCTGCATAAAAAGTAAAATAAAGTGTGAGTACATGACATATCTATATCTGTTTGCACATGAATAAAAAAAACATGAAACAGAGATTTAGGCTGAGTTTTTCCCTCAAACAGAAATCACTGTGTTCCACCTTGAGATGTCATGTGGCAATACAGGAAGTGCTCCACTGTGTTTTTAAAACTTCATACACCTTTCACTAGAATCATTTGGATAATTTCAGCTCTGGAAATGCCAATCTCTACTGAACAAAAGATGAAGCCTTCACCTGAAAACTACCTCTACATGACATCACAAGGTGGAGCCAAACATTTTGAGTTTTTAGAGATGTAGACAGACTAATATAGAAGAGTTACTCAAAGGTGCGAATGAAACAAAATACAACTCCAGGTATGTTTTTGATGAGGTAACAACATTATAACATGGCTCAACACTCACAAGATAAAATTTTGTGTAATATAAAGACCTTTACATCTGTATAAATGCTTTGTTAAGGACAATTACAGTTTATTACAGGGCTGTACCAAATAATTAAACATACTCCTGAGAATGTATTTTATTTTATTTTATTTTGGTATAGAGCTACAAAAAATATAAAAAATGTTGTCAGTTTTGATAAGTTAGAATCTGGACCCTTCTCCTTTGCTTGTCTTTGAAATGTTAAGTTCCTGTTTTGGGGGGGTCTCTGCCTTTTCTGTCCCCTCCCTGAGGAAAGCTGTCACTTCCACTTCAGACTGACATGTTCAAAAGAAGGAATGTCCCGGGGGAGGGGCAGAGGGGATGGGGGGCGGGGGCAAATGAATTCTGGGTGGAGTCAGGGGCGGTGTCAATGCAAAAGACCCCACTGTGTCGCCTAGGAGACCGGAAACATTCAGATCCGGAATTCAGACCCCCAAACCCGTCATCCTTTTAATTCGATACAACAAAGCAGTTAAAAATTACTAGTCACCAATTGGTATTTTTAGCTTTAGATTTATTCAGCAGCTCCCTATTCTGTCATTTTATGCCAGATGCCCTTCCTTCCAATCACATATAATAATAATAAAAATTTAATTAATAAAATAAAATACACAACACAACACAACACACAACAGCGATATCAGTGCAAATAATTATAATTACATGAGTTGTTTTAATCCAAAAAAATACACATGCAGGAAGGTGTGAAAAGTTTGTTATTAAAAATGTTGCTGTTAGGGTAAAGCTAACAACTAGCATGCTAATGGACACTTCCTGATTATAGTACAATAAAAAGCTCGCTAATCAGATACAGACAGTACACAGCAGACTTATTTTGACGTCAAGTACTGGTACTGGGGCAAGTTATGGGGAATAAAAGAAACAGGCCTTTAAAGATACACAACGTAACTTTTTGGTTGAGTTGTTTCTATGGAGATGTCATTCCTCTGCCTGAAATGTTCCACAGCATGATATTAACCAGCTCTACCTTACATTTATTCAATTACAGGTGGTTTTAGAGCTCAAAAACACCTAAAAAAACCAAAAACAAAACAGGCAGACAGTGAGCGGGGTCGCCTCTCCACAGACCTGATCTCTAACTTGGTCTGGTTTGGTCTCCATGAAGATATAAAAGGTGGATATCAAACTGGGAAACAATCCAGACAAAGCGGTAACATCCATACGGAGAAAAAACATTTGACGGAACCTCCACCAGAAAACCTCCACCAACTTCTATTTCTACTAGTAAAAGTTAAATCAAGTTAAAGCCCAACTACGCAACATTTTTGGTGGAATGCCAAATAGGTCCACAAGATTTATCTAAACTGAATAAAAAATGTAAATGTTCACAATAAAAATTGCAAAGAGCTATTTTAACACATTTCTACTAGTAAAACTTGTGCTCTGTGTAATTTTTTTGGTAGAGGGTTCACCACCTGCTGGTTTCCATGGAGATGTGATTGTCTTGTTTGAAATGTTCCACAGTATGGTATTCAGCTTGGCTAGTTTGGATTTATTCAGTTACAGGTGTTTTTATCGCTCAAAATACCGTCAGTCCGGGTGTTCTCGTGATACACTCGAGACGCCTC